CCCATTCCCACGTGATTCATCAGGAGATAACAGATACCATTACGTACCAATGCAACAATAACACAACAACAAAGGGCACACAACTCTGATACTCACATTTCAACCAGCAAGTCAGACAACTCCCATGACTAAGATGCATGGAACCTCACAAGTAACCGACATTATCTTTCCAAACCAGCTGTCAAAAACCCGTTAGTAGTCTCCTGTTGGGGGACTTCACACTAGCAACATTTCGTGAACTTGTCTGACTGAGATTGTTGGAACTTGGGACCCACCTCTAAAATACACAGAGGTCTGTGTTAGATATTCTCTGTTCCAAATATTTGCAACATCGCAATGCACAGTATTCGACTCTCTATATATTATATGTTAAATTACAATGTTATACACGACCTTAATACTTAATATGCTAGATATTCTATGTTTAGTTACAATGTTATAAAACATCTTAATACACAACATTCTATGCTATATATTCTATGTTTAGCTATAATGTTATGCATTATCTTAATACATAACATTCTATTCTAGATATGCTATGCTTGGTTACAATGTTATACACACCATTCTATTCTAGAAATTCTATGTTTAGTTACAATGGTATACACACCATTCTATTCTAGATATTCTATGTTTAGTTACAATGGTATTTTTTTTTCAAATAGTGTACTAAGTAGGCCTACTACAATTCTAGAGGCATCAAAATTAAGCAAAAATTATTTATGTCCGTTATCCAATGGTATACACACCATTCTATGCTAGATATTCTATGTTTAGTTACAAACTTATACACACCTTTCTATCCCCTGTACAAATAAAAACAATTAAACAAAGCATTAAACTCCCAGTGAAACTATTTTTTTCTGTGTATAAGAGCCTTACTCTATTCGCTGAAAAAATACATTTGATATAGAAACGTGTATTGGTTTTAAATTGCTCTTACTGGAAGCGCTAGCTGATTTCTATTTTAAACCAACGACAGGTTATCTCCCTGTATAAACCAGCTGTTGCGCATGAATACAGCACTGCGACCTTTCACCCCAACAATAAGTTCTTGATTGAAAAGAAAAAAAAAAGGTCGAGTAATTGTGTTGGGTATGAGTAATATTTAAACTGGCCTACTTAACAGCATCGATTGGATAAAAAAACAAATAAGGAAACCTATAAACCATTCTATTTTATTCCCACGTTTTCTTTAACTTGCTTTCTCTGTTTGTTTGTCTTTCCAATCAAATCTTGCGATCGAAATTTCTGGCACTTCCCAGATAGCTAGCGCGCTGAAATTTTCAGGGAAGCTTTCTTTTGGATGACCATTGAATATTCAATTGTTATTATTACTAAATTGATCAATGGAAACATTTTATTGAGCATTTTAGACCGCTATATAATCTATATATATAATTCTCCTCTGCTAGCCATTAGAAAAAAAACCAGCGACGCGTACCTCGCGCGCAGTGAAGCGAACGATCACATGTCGCCACAGGCTTAGGGGCAAGTAATTTAGCTTGAACCGAGTTTAAACTTACAGGAGGTAGGCCAGTTTGGGGGAGACGATATGGTCGAGTGGTTGGGCACACGATTGCTATCCCACTCGACACGGGTTCAAATCTATGTGTTCTAGTCAGTAACGTATTCAAACAACGTGTTTTTTACGAGTTGTCTTTTTACGAGTTGTCTTTTTACGAGTTGTCTTTTTACGAGTTGTCTTCGTTTACCCAAAAAAAAAGTGAAAAGATAAAATCGATAGCAAGATTTTAATGCAAACAAACAGACAAAGACTAAAAAGTAGAAAATAATAATCATTAAAAAAGTTTTTAAAAACCCACGTTTTCTGATTGAACTAAAAAGTAGAAAATAAATACTATACATCACAATAATGCAAGCGATCACTCTACTATAAGCGATCAAAAACGTGGGGCGCCGTGATTTTCTTACAGTTTCTAATACTGTTGACTCTCTACAAGCTCCCTAATAAAAGTCAATAGTATTATCTAATCAATAGTAATATAACTTTTACTTCGGCGCCCCACGTTTTTCATCGCTTATAGTAGAGTGATCGCTTGCATTATTGTGATGTATAGTATTTATTTTCTACTTTTTAGTTCAATCAGAAAACGTGGGTTTTTAAAAACTTTTTTAATGATTATTATTAATGTTGTCTAAGTTAGGGTAGATAAGGGGGCGTCAGTAGGGAAACCAGGTCATGAGACATCTGGTGCGGTAAAGTAGGGTGTCAACCCCCCCCCCCCCCCCCCCTACGAACAAAATTTTTTTTTTGGGTTGGTGTCACTCCTCTCTACCTACTATTTTGTTATAATAAGGGGGATAAAACTTTTTTTTTTAAATTTCTTTTTTTATTTCTAATTGGTGTCGCCAACTAAATGGTACACGGAGCAGACGACTCCCTCCCCTCGCACTTTGTGACGCCTCTGGGGTGGGACGTGTCTCCCTCCACGGGTAGGCGAGGTATATACATGGGTCAATGCTGTGGTCGTGTTGTGGTTTACTTGTCTGTTAATACTGGTAGACGTGGTCATATGGTAAAGATGACAGGCCGGTTAATGATGTGTGCGTGTGTCGGTGTGTGTGTGTGGGGGGGGGGGGGTGTGGGGGGTGTATTGTTATATTGCACACACACAGCTTTTTTTTGTTTTAAAGTCTGACGACGTGGCTAATGGAAACAATTTTGTAGTTTAAAAAATCTGCTGATAGCAATTGTCCCGGGCACAAGAGTAAGAGAAAAATAATTGAATGCAGTTTTTGCAAATATCTGTAAGAACTGAACTAATAAATGTGTTTCAAATAGGACACTGTTTGTCTTCTTGATGCAGCTGAGAAACAGATTTTGTGGTCAAACTGGTATTTGTACCATGTTGTAAAACTTTTTCTCGCGAATAGTGAGATCGGTTATACTGTAATATACGGCAAGTTGGTTGTCTGTAGCAGTACAAGAAATAGTTCCTACCCCCGGAACAAAAAATATCCTTAAAACGTTTCGGAACAGCCCGTCTGTCTAGTTGTACAGCTAAGGAGGTTTGAGTCGAACTTACGATGTCTAATCAGTTAAGTAAGAGCTAATCGGATGTAAATACTGGCTACAAAAGTCGATAAAATTGTAAATCTTTTTCATCCGGTCCGATTAAAATGTTCAATAGTTTACGTCGGTCTATGTGATGGTGGGGGCTGAGGGTGGGGGAGGAGGAATTGTAAGTTGAGGGAAAATTTTATACTGTGATTTATAGTTCGACGTATTTTTTTTTTACAAAAAAACGTATATTTATATTATTTATACATTGTTTTATGTATGTTATTCATACTATTAATATTTTATTTAGATGTTTGAAACTATTATTTATTGTTCTAATGATAACAAATGCATTTATATGGTTTCATATTCACTTATTGGTATTATCCATACACAAAAGATGTACGCAGAGGCGTAGCGAGGGCGGGGGTGCGGACCGCACCGGGTGACACCATTTAGGAGGGGTGACACCAAGGCAAAAAATTGCAAAATATATAAAGAAAAATGATAATTCCACTTAATTAAGCGATTAATTCGAGTGTTAAACAGTGTTTTAAGAGGTGCAAATCGAAAGTTTGAGGGGGGGGGGGGGAGGGGTGCAAATCGAAGTTTGTCCCCGGGGGACACCATTAAGTGCCGCACCGAGTGACACCCGACCTCGCTACGCCACAGGATGTACGTATGTTAATACGAGATAGTAACACCACTTCGACGATTTGTATTATCTCGGCCGGTTCAGGTTCCTATAGATCAGGATAACTGATGGATGACTGTACGTATTAGTACGGAAGTGAGTGTGAATGTATGTGTGTCGGGATGGGGGTGATGTTTAATTAAAGCCCTAAAAAATGTAACAGGCCTGCTGATAAATTATCAGCAACGTCATCATATCAAATGCAGGAAAACCAATGTGTCAAACTGACGACCTTGGTCTGGTATTGTGTTGGGTGGGGGATGGCGAAGATTAAAAGTTGTGCCGGAAATATAATATTGCATTAGCGACAAAAAAAAAATAAACATAGCATGAAATAACATACCGTATCAGAAAGCTGGAAAATGTAGTAATAATAAAAGGGAGATAACTTAAATCGCACAAAGGGAGAGAAGTAAAATAAAGCTGACAATATGTTGAATGTGTCAGAAATGAATGATTGAATGGTTAGTAACTACACGTAGGGATTATTCTATCTTTGATCATTGCGGTTAACTCACTGCCAGTATGGATTAGCTCTTTGACACACTGTAGTTTCCAACACACTGTGTTCAACACACATTTTAGTGCCCAACACACATCGTTGTATCCAACACACACTGTAGACTCAAATACGCTGTGTTCATCATTTGAAGTTCCATTGTGATGGCATTTTTTTTTCTAATAGAAATTATTAATAGTTTTTAAGGTATTTTTATTTTATTTTTTATTTTAGTTTTATTATATTTAGACGTTTTGTATTAGATCTATGTATAAGTAAACCCTCTTAAATGAATGAAAGTAGGCTATAAGTAAGAAAGAAATATTACTATTGTAAATCTGTATCAGTCCTCACAAGCCGGTGATGAAAACTGTAATACTAAAGCGAACACACACAACTGACGCTGTAAATTACATGTCTGAAACACACACACACAAAAAATGTTTTTAAAGTGGTTTAGCTTCTGAGCTAAATTGCAGCTTTTTTTTCTAAATATCAAGAACAACAATAACAAAACATCGAACAAAACTAGCTAAACATTACTTGTTATATAAGCAAATGTATTGTTGCTTGTCCATAGCCTAACATTGACCCACTAACCTAAGCTAAGCCTTAGAATAGTAACACAACAACAAATACTGGTCACGTGTCATGGGTAAAAATAGAAATAGTTAATCTCTAATTACGAACAGCTGTTTGTGATGAATCTTTTCATTCGAACTTGATTTTTTTAAAGCTGTAAATTATAGACAAAAGTGCAGTGTGTTGTGTCTATTTCAGGTGTGTGTTGCAAAGATTTCTATAACCGTTATTAAAAGTGTGTGGTACTTAGCTTACATTCACGGCGTTGGCTGACCTTTTAGCGCGTGTTCCCTGTGCACGTGCGATTGTGTAATTAAAATGCTCACCTCCCTGTTGACAATAGTCACAGCTGACGTACCGGATGTGTGAGTAACATTGATTTTAACCTAACCCTAACCTACAAATAGCTGCTACGACTGACACACCTCACAAACACTGGCTAACTTTGATCTCACCACAAACACTGGCTAACTTTGATCTCACCACAAACACTGGCTAACTTTGAGCTTACAACAAACACTGGCTAACTTTGAGCTCACCACAAACACTGGCTAACTTTGAGCTCACCACAAACACTGGCTAACTTTGAGCATACCACAAACACTGGCTAACATTGAGCTCACCACAAACACTGGTTAACTTTGATCTCACCACTGGCTAACTTTGAGCTCACCATAAACACTGGCTAACTTTGATCTCACCACAAACACTGGCTAACTTTGATGTCACCACAAACACTGGCTAACTTTGATCTCACCACAAACACTGGCTAACTTTGATCTTACCACAAACACTGGCTAACTTTGATCTCACCACAAACACTGGCTAACTTTGAGCTTACCACAAACACTGGTTAACTTTGATCTCACCACTGGCTAACTTTGATCTCACCACAAACACTGGCTAACTGAGCTCACCACAAAAACTGACTAACTTTGATCTCACCACTGGCTAAGTCTGAGCTTACCACAAACACTGGCTAACTCTGAGCTCACCACAAACACTGGCTAACTTTGAGCTCACCACAAACACTGGCTAACTGAGCTCACCACAAAAACTGACTAACTTTGATCTCACCACAAACACTGGTTAACTGAGCTCACCACAAACACTGGCTAACTTTGATCTCACTACAAACACTGGTTAACTTTGATCTCACCACTGGCTAACTTTGATCTCACCACAAACACTGGCTAACTTTGAGCTTACCACAAACACTGGCTAACTTTGATCTCACTACAAACACTGGTTAACTTTGATCTCACCACAAACACTGGCTAACTTTGAGCTCACCACAAACACTGGCTAACTTTGATCTCACCACAAACACTGGTTAACTTTGATCTCACCACAAACACTGGCTAACTTTGATCTCACTACAAACACTGGTTAACTTTGATCTCACCACAAACACTGGCTAACTCTGAGCTCACCACAAACACTGGCTAACTTTGAGCTTACCACAAACACTGGCTAACTTTGATCTCACTACAAACACTGGCTAACTCTGAGCTCACCACAAACACTGGCTAACTTTGATCTCACCACAAACACTGGCTAAGTCTGAGCTTACCACAAACACTGGCTAACTTTGAGCTTACCACTGGCTAACTTTGAGCTTACCACTGGCTAACTTTGAGCTTACCACAAACACTGGCTAACTTTGAGCTCACCACAAACACTGGATAACTTTGATCTCACCACAAACACTGGCTAACTTTGATCTCACCACAAACACTGGCTAACTTTGATCTCACCACAAACACTGGCTAACTTTGATCTCACCACAAACACTGGCTAACTTTGAGCTCACCACAAACACTGGCTAACTTTGAGCTCACCACTGGCTAACTTTGAGCTTACCACTGGCTAACTTTGAGCTTACCACAAACACTGGCTAACTTTGAGCTTACCACTGGCTAACTTTGAGCTTACCACTGGCTAACTTTGAGCTTACCACAAACACTGGCTAACTTTGAGCTCACCACAAACACTGGCTAACTTTGAGCTCACCACAAACACTGGCTAACTTTGAGCATACCACAAACACTGGCTAACTTTGATCTCACCACAAACACTGGCTAACTTTGATCTCACCACAAACACTGGCTAACTTTGAGCTCAAACACTGGCTAACTTTGATCTCACCACAAACACTGGCTAACTTTGATCTCACCACAAACACTGGCTAACTTTGATCTCACCACAAACACTGGCTAACCCTGAGCTGGGCCTGATCACAAACTCCAACAAAACAAACCTTCAGCATGCGTGTCCTCGCATCATGAGAACGACTGAGTAGAATCTGATTACGTCAGGTCCTATGGTCCACTATTGGATGCCCAAAAAAACGGACGCATATTTTAGTTGGTCTACTCCAACAAGTTGTGCCATTTGTGTTTGGGTGAGTCTCTCACACGCGGTACACCCTCATCACGTGACCTAAACGTCTAGGCAAAGTTGATAGGAAATCGATTTTCTTTTTAAACCAAGAGACACGATTACTTTAGACCTAAGTACAGAGACTGGATTAAATGAGACAGGAGTACTAATAGTCGAATGTAATCGATTACATGAGATACGAATACAGATAGTCGAATACGTGAGACAGTGTACGTACATGTAGTTTTCTACCTTCTTGACTTCTTGTGTTTCAGTTGGTGTATGTAGCCTGATCGCTGGTATTCATATGAATACAAAGCTTCAACAGTTTACAAAAGTAACAAGACTACACTAATTTAACCTCATAAGAAGTAAAAAAAAAACAGTCGTACAATGATATTTTAAGGTTTTGTTTATTTATTTATTTGCACGACCACGAACTGATCGGAGTTTTCCGTATCTCTGCGCTCTATTGCGCACAATCCACACCGGTGCAACTGCGTCACACAGTTCAGCGAAAACGCAAAAAAATATTTCGACGTTCGATTGTTTATCGATTTATAAAGGTAATATTTTTATGTAAATAACAGAAAAATAATAATCGATTTATTGTATTCTATTAACGGTTTCCGTTGGGGCTAATATATTTCTAGATCTAGATCTATTCTAGATCTCTAGATCTAGATAGATATAGATCCAGAGCTAGATCTAGATCTAGATTCTATTCTAGATCTAGATATCTAGTTAGATCTACATTTTAAAGCAAAGAATTTACTGTCTCAGTAAAGTTGAGTAAAGATATTTAACTTTTAATGATTCTAAAGAGAGAACTTAGGCACTGAGTGTCATTCGGTAAACTTCAACAAGTTGGTTTAAAAAAATTAAATGTAACCTCACAAACCTACCCAACCTATCCCATCCTTTCACAACTTCCCCAACCTTCTTTAACCTACCCCAACTAAACCCAACCTATCCCAACTATTCCCAACCTACCCCAACTATACCCAACCTACCCCAACTATTCCCAACCTATCCCAACTATTCCCAACCTATCCCAGCTATTCCCAACCTATCCCAACTATTCTCAAATTACTCCAACTATTCCCAATCTTTCGGCAACCTCCCCAAGCACCCCATCCTTCCCAACCTACTCCAACCTTTCCCAACCTACCCAACCTACCCAATCCACACCAACCTTTTCCAACCTTTTCCAACCTTTTCCAACCTTTCCCAACCTACCCAATCCACACCAACCTTTCCCAACCAACCCCAACCTACCCAATCCACGCCAACCTTTACCAACCAACCCCAACCTACCCAATCCACGCCAACCTTTACCAACCTACTTAATCCTACACCATCCTATCATTAAAGTAACGGAGTGGACATTTCTTCTATTGAACCATTGTTTATTGCCAGCTAAAATACAATTCTGCTACAACATCTTGGTGATTGAAGCATGACCCTAATAGTGCAGCATAGACCTAACTCTATCCTTAACACAAGCTGAACATTTTTACCCACTTCTCGGCTACTGCAGCCTTTTAGAAGCCCTATCAGTGCATTAAATCAATACTTAGCTATTCTCTTAAACCATTTAGTCCCGCCTGTGTTAGAAATATGTGGGCGACAAAATAGTTCATTATTAGTTTATTTACCCTCATATAACCACCCCTGATATATATATATATATATATATATATATATATATATATATATATATATATATATATACATACATATATGTGTGTATGTACGTATGTATGTATGTGTATATCAACCCTGATATTACATTTTATATGGGAGCAGGTCATTTCACTTCTTTGTTATTCCTGTATATTACCCCGACCACAAAACTGCAGTAGGACATTACCCCCTATCGATTACTAATTGACACATAACTAAGTAAGGATCGGGGTAATATCAATGATAGGTACATGGTCTAGTAGAGGGAAAGTGACAGGATATGAATAGGCGTAGAAATAGGAATATGGATATGTTCTACGTTACGGTTCTGTTACGGTTCTGTTCCGGTACAATAAAATGGAGATTTAATATAGAAATGCGATCAGTTTTAGGTTGTTATAACCTGATTTTTTTTCCTGTGTTGTTCATGTTTAACACTGAAGGGACGTACATGACTTAATCAATATAGCCATCGCTATGAGTAAAATAACATGACAGCCAGGTAACAGGTGGTTTCGTATTCAATTATTCAATTGTTTTTCAATATCTCTTTTGTTTTCTCAATCAGGTACTTGCATGGCTTTGTCTTGCATACACAATATTTACAGCTGAACAAATAATGTTCACACGATTACAACACACGATCAACACACGATTACTCCACTCGAGAACACGTGCACGCCCCCTCCCCACCCACACACACCCCACCCACCCACACCCACACCCACACCCACACACGTATCACTTAAAGACACAATCCAAACTCACCATATTTTAATATGTCACTCCAATTGTTTCAAATATCATTTTCCTAAAGGGATCTAATCAGTGAAATCACATGTTCTCTGTTCATGGCTAGTTGTCATTGTGATTGTTGTTGTTCATGTTAACTGTTAGTGTTTGTAATTGTGTTTGTTCATATCACCTGCTAGTTTTTGTAATTTTGTTTGTTCATATCAGCTGCTAATGTTTGTAATTGTGTTTGCTTATGTCACCTGCTAGTGTTTGTTATTGTGATTCTAAGCCGTAGTTGTTAATGTTGGTGTTTGTTATTGTTTGCATCATTTTCTAGATTTTGTGTTTGTTCCTTCTGATCTGCTACTGTTTGTGTTTGTATTCATGCCAGCTGCTAGTTTTTGTGATTGTGATTTTTGTGTGAGATTGTTGTGTTTGTGATTCTGATTTTGTATGTGAACTGATATTATACATGTATGTGTTTATGCGAGAGAGTATACTTGCATATGTACAAGGTGATACAACGTATTTTATGAAGCTGATGTCTGAATATTATCCCATATATTAAGTGAATACACTGATACCATTCACTACTACCCTCTACCCCAAACTTCACAAAAGATTTTTTTTTTACTGTCCATAAAATTGCTATAACTTTACAGGCCTCTTGTCAACATACGTTGAATATCCTTCAGTCTATAGGAACATGCAAACAGTAACAGGCTTTTTGCCCAACTAACTATACGTATATTGAATATCTTTCTTTCTTTAGGAGTATATAAGCAGTATCACTAGAGGGGACCAATATGGAGAAAGGGGAAGCAATAACAGCTTTAAAACAACGCATGACAGTGGCTACCCCTCTTCCTGACGAACCAAATTTCGCTACATCAGACGAGACGTAAGGAAATATTTCATTTTAGTACATCTAATTAATTAATTAATTTAGCTCCTTAATTGTTCTTTTGGAAATAAAGTGTGAACCTTTTGCTAGACAGAAAAATAACGTCAGATCGTTTTTCAGACAAATGAGGATTCCAATGTCCGATAATAGACTCTTCCAAAATAGGTGTGCAAGGTTTTAAGTAGTGTCTTGTAGTCTCGAAATGGAATTTATATAGAAAATTTATATTTTTAACAGTGTCCGCCCCCCTCCCCCCAGAAAATTTAGTCCGCCCCCCCCCCCCCCCCCGAAAATATCAAGTCCCCCCCCCCCTCGGAGAAAAAAGTCTGGAAGAAACACTGCGGGTTAAGGATAGGGTTAGCACTGACATTAGCTAGTCATATATGTAACTCTATATTGAGTTAACTTCCAGAAATTTAACACCCCTTTTTAACGTACCAGTTTTCTTTACCAGTGTCTTACACGTAATGAACTTTCCCCAAAATAGGGGTGTCATGTTGTTGATTGTAACCCAACGACAATTTCATGTGCTAGTGTTAGGTTAGGGCTCGGGTTAGATTGAATGAAATAAGGTTAGGGTTAACATAGTTCATAATTACCGTTTTTAAAGAGAACTCCATCGAACATCAGGAAAACTGTTAAAAAGCCCACGACATATTGACACGGTCAAGTACTTTATGTACTAATTTGACCTTTGTCCCGGAAGTACAGACCAGGTGTATTCCTCCCTGAGAGTGATCCCCCTTGGCGTAGAAGCCAATACTTGGGCAGCATCAATCTTCTCCACCACACCAGACTTTCAGGGGAGAGAAAAAATCAGCGGGGCAGCTTCCGGTCACGAGGTTTAACTAAAACATGCAGACGGTTGGCAGACGTCACCCCGATTTGTCAAGCCGTAATTGTTCTGTTTTTGATTTTACCCTGGCCATTATTGCCTTGTTGGACCCTGCCCTTTTGTCTGAACCTTACAGTACATTTCATAAATTTATCTTCAAGGGGACAGACCGAACAGTGTTGTAGAATTTTTTTAAGGCCAGTTTGTTTTTATACACAAGTCCAATAACGTTTTAGATATTTTTTTGCTTGTACTCAAGTATTATCAAACATTACTTGCTAATGTCAACGCTAACCATAGTACTTCACTAATCCATACCCTAACCCAAGCTCTAGTCCTGACTTTCTATGCAGATATTTGAATACCAGTGACGTCACCAAATCGAGTGTAGCCCGGTGCGATAATCTTCCTCATATACAAATTTAATTTTTTTGTTTTTGCATTTTCGCTTTTTTGCGAGTCCCTTTCCTTCCATTTCATTAACTGAATTTATAGTGCCCCCCCCCCCACCCCCGGAGAAAAGTCTGGAAGAAACACTGCTCCTCGCCCTCCATGCCACGCTGCTGATACTTACAGTCTAAACAATTTTTAGGAAAATGTATTGCTAGACACTAGAAGTAAAATACTTGGTTGGTGACGTGCTCTAATGAAGCCATTACTGAGAATTACTCTCTCTCCCTCTCTCTCTCTCTCTCTCTCTCTCTCTCTCTCTCTCTCACTCTCTCTATTGAATCCCCTCTGCCAGTGTGGTGCGGTTCCTCAAGGCCAATGACTGGAAGTACAAGGACGCCGAGAAGGCCCTGCTCAACACACTCGAGTACAGACGTCAAGTGAGGCCATTGACCACAGACTGTCAGTTTTGTCACGAACGGCCTGGCTTTCATTCTATGGTAAGTAGGAGGGGAGGGGGGGGGGGGGGAGGGGAGGGTTGCGATATTTACTCGGAGACAAGGTGCTGTTTGTGGACTTTGTTAATTTATTATTATTTACAGAAACAACATTTTTTCGTGTACGTTTTTCACAGAAACAACAAGTCATTAATGTACATTGTTTACACAGAAACAACATGTATTTATGTACACTATTTACACAGAAACAACATGTATTTATGTACATTGTTTACACAGAAACAACATGTATTTTTGTACACTATTTACACAGAAACAAAATGTATTTTTGTACACTATTTACACAGAAACAACATGTCTTTACGTACATTATTTAAAAAGAAATTTTTTTTTATGTATATTATTTTCACAGCAACAATATGTAGCACCTCTTCACAATTCATTTAGCTTTTATGACTCTAAAAATAAGAATAAGCACAGAGAGTTATTTTACAAAGGTAGATAATCACACCAGTAACTTTTGCTCTGATGATAATGTAGAGTAATTTCCCTTGCTCTGTTTCCATCGTTAGTGTTGCTTTACTCCCCTCCCTCTAGCGTCAGGTAGGATTTGACGAGTCTGGCAGACCAGTGATGTATTCCAGCTTCGCCCAAGCTTCTATCCACAAGAACTCTGTCGATGACGTCATGGCCCATTTGACCTACCTGATTGAGAATGCCAAGGCCACCATGGACAATGGCGTCACAACTTGGGTCTTCGTCATCGACTGCACATGTGAGTCGTTTTTTGGCTGCCTCTAGTTGAGCGTTGAGCTGTGTAAGTTGCCGGTCGTGTTATGCCTGTAGACTTGGGAAGACACAGATGCTGTTGCTGTTTATGTGTATTATCCTGTGGTTTCTCACCATTATAGCTGTCAAAGACTTTATTTGTTAAATGTGTCCATCACCAAAGTATCCGACGATTGCAGTTAGTATTCTGACGAACAAGCGGATGATATATGATTTTTTTAATGACTGTAGCGTAGCTCATGCTGTTGGTTTTAAAAACATCGTAAAATGGACCTTACCAAACCTGACCACATCTGACCACGCCTCACCACACCTAACCACACCTGACCACACCTAACCACACCTGACCACATCTGACCACACCTGACCACACCTGACCACACCTGACCACACCTGGCCACACCTAACCACAGCTGACCACACCTGACCACACCTGACCACACCTGGCCACACCTAACCACAGCTGACCACACCTAACCACACCTGACCACACCTGACCACACCTGACCACACCTGACCACACCTGACCACACCTGACCACACCTTACCACACCTGGCCACACCTAACCACACCTGACCACACCTGACCACACCTAACCACAGCTGACCACACCTGGCCACACCTGACCACACATGACCACACCTGACCACAACTTACCACACCTGACCACACCTGACCACATCTGACCACACCTTCCACACCTGACCACACCTGACCACACCTGACCACACCTGACCACACCTGACCACACCTGATCACACCTGACCACACCTGACCACACCTGACCACACCTGACCACACCTGACCCCACTTCCCCCATGTCCCCAGGGATGACGTTCGGAGCCTGCAACCCCAAGCTGGGCTACACCGTGTCCAACATACTGGGTAGCCACTACCCCGAGAGACTGGGGCTGGTCATCTGTGTCAACATCAACCCGGTCTTCCACGGAGTTTGGAAAGCTTTAAAGAAGTTGATCTCGCCGGGGACTGTATCCAAGGTAACTGATGACAACAATCTTGTTTGACGTACATATGGATATCGTACGATGTTCGCATCATATAACTCCGATTACTTGTTGTACATCCTCAGGTCAAACTGGTCAGGTCAGAGGCCAAAGTTCGTCAAGTTTTCTCTACCTATTTTTCTGAAGAGCTCTCCGACTGGTTGCTGGAGGAGCTGGCACTAAACCGCAAGAAGCCCTTACCCCGGGGTCAGATGGAGTTCTGGAACCCGCCTCAGCCTCCCGTGACCCATGACCCCCGCGGGTCACCAGCGTACATAAGACAGTGCATTCACTCATTCAATCGGGATTTTCTAAAGTTCGTCCCCGGGCAGAAGAAAAGTCACTGCCCTCATCCGAACATTATCGACGCCCTAGGGGCAGAGGTCACGGCCGTGGTACTGACCCCGCAGGAGGAAGCCGAACTAGCCCAGGCCATAGACGAGGTCAAGCTGAGCGGGGAGGTAGCTGATGAGGAGCTGTCTGACGTGGACGTTGATGACGTGCCGGATCACGTGACCACGCCGAAACCAGAGGAGCCTCGCGATAAAGCCCACAGCGAGGGGCCGAGCGAGGAGAGCGGGAAGACAAAAAGCAGGTTGAAGAAATGGATTCTAAGGTAGTTCCAGTGTAATCGTCTAGATGTTTAAAAGACTTGACACAATCTTCTGCTGTAATCGATACCTTTGACGGGCTTCCTACCCGCGTGATTCATACTGTGATTCCGGTAACACTAATTAATTAGCATAAGAGTAAGGCCATGTTGTTCTATTGTTTGAAATTACTTTAGTCGTAATAAATATATTTATGTGTAATAGTTATTTTTTGCTTGTCAATTCTTAAAAGACATTCCAATATTTTAAACTCCATAATTAAAAAAAATTACTTTAAGTTTTGCATATTAAACGAAATAATCGTTCGCAAATTGTAAATGTTAACGTTAACTTATGAAGTTTAAAAGTCAAATATCAGTTTAAAATTTTTAATTATGGTCTAATTTTTCTGCTTGTAATAGAATTTTATCTGTTTGACATGCACGAATTGACTTTTTCAATTTGAATGAATCAAATATCTGGACAAAAACATCTTTATCAGGTACCATTCCCTTTACACCGTCTATTTCTCATCCGAAAATTCGAATTGCATCAAGGTTTGACACAATATCGTCCAAGCTTCAGTGTGAGTAAACTAGTAAACACACGATTAACACACGTCTCCCATTTACCATATCAATACCATTATACCAAGGCGTAAAAATCAGGATTTCAAGGGAAAAAAACAACTCTTTGACACAGCCAGTCAACCCCTGATACGCCCCCCCCCTCCCCACCCCGACACATATGCCCTACATTATAATGCAAGCGTATTGAAAACAGAATATCTTATCAGACACTTACATGTTTATAAAACAGTCCAAACAACAAATTCAGCAATTGATTGTTTTTTATTTAAACTTTAAAAATATGAGATATAACAAAATATTTGAAAGACGTTTGTTTGCCGATGTTGGAATTGGGACCTACACAGTGGTAGAACATACTACACATACAGTTTTATAAATTTACTTTCTAGATCAGTTATATCAGTTTACATTGGTAGATACATTTACATTTGTAAATACATTTACATTCATAAATTGATTTACATTGATAAATACATTTACATACCTAGATACATTTTTCATTCGTAGATACATTTACATTTATAAATTGATTTCCACTGGCAAAACGTTTTCATTCGTAGATAAATTTACATTTATAAATTGATTTACACTGGCAAAACATTTACATCCGTAGATACATTTACATTTATAAATTGATTTACACTTGTATTAAAAAATTGGTTTACATTGTTAAATACATTTACCCTCGTAGATTCAATCATGATGCTACATCATATTTCTAGCCACTATCCCCTTCCTCCCTCCATGCCTCCCCCCCCCCCACACACATCACATTAAGTCAGCATAAACTCCCAGCCTAAAATGCGCGGGGTCATACTTAAATTCGGAGTCATAAATTCAATGACAAGGCAAACGGTCTAAATTATAGGGATACACAGCAAATAATTGGAACGAGGGAACATGGAGTGAACTTATTAGAGGAAATATAAAATATAGTTTGTTGATAATTATGCTACAAAAAATTATGGTCTATGGTGAGCTGCTATAGAATACATAACACAGCTAACAAGGCCACGCCGAGTGTGAGCGTGTATGTTGTCGAGTGTATGTGGGTAGACACTCCAATCTGTGGTCTTACAACTGTAGATACAAAGTTTAAAAATATTTATTATTAGAGTGCATAAACAAGCCTGCTTCAAGCATAGTTTTAATTCACAGTATGTCTGAGTACGGAAAAGTACATAGCGAAGGTGACAGTTAGTTTAAGATAACAATACCAACAAAAACGGCCTGGTGTGATCCTATTTAAAGTTTTTAATATAAATTCTTCCAGTTTACGTCTTCTAATTAAAGTCGTCTACTTGACATCCTCTAAAGACTTCTACACAACGTCTTCTATATTATAAAATCTTCTACGTAATGTCTTCTATATACTCTTCTACTTAACGTCCTCTATATAAAGTCTTCTACTTAACGTCCTCTATATAAAGTCTTCTATTTAACGTCCTCTATATAGTCTTCTATTTGACGTCCTCTATATAAAGTCTTCTATTTGACGTCCTCTATATAAAGTCTTCTATTTGACGTCCTCTATATAGTCTTCTATTTGACGTCCTCTATATAGTCTTCTATTTGACGTCCTCTATATAAAGTCTTCTATTTAACGTCCTCTATATAGTCTTCTATTTAACCTCCTTTATATAAAGTCTTCTATTTAACGTATTCTGATTAATGTTTTTTTACGTCCTATAAAGGCATAAATAAAAATTAACGTCTTCGGATTAAAGTCCTCTATTTAAACTTTTTTTGGTAAACGTACTCGTTTTTTAAATCTTTATATTAAGGCTGTTTTTATTAAGAGCTATCTTGTTGTCTATTTAAAGTCTACCATGGGAGTCTTCTAATTTAGTCTTCTGTTTGAAGCAGAGGCGTAGCGACCCTTCCCGGCGCCCGGGGACAAACTTTTCGATTTGCACCCCCCCCCTCAAGATTTCGATTTGCACCCCCCCCTCAAACTTTTGATTTGCACCCCCCTCAAGATTTCGATGTGCACCCCCCTCAAACTTTCGATTTGCACCCCCCCCCTCAAGATTTTGATTTGCAATCCCCCCCCCCCCCCTAAAACTTTCAATTTGCACCCCCCTCAACCTTTTAATTTATTTTTCCAATCCATTTTGGCGCCCCCTAAGGTCGGCGCCCGGGGACATATGTCCCCCCACCCCTCGCTACGCTACTGGTTTGAAGCCATCCATTTGAACTATTCTGCCCCTTTATGTTTTTGATATAACTAGAGAGGTGGGTGAAGTTTTTCCTGTATTTTTATCGTGCATACATAGGTGTCCAGTTTTCAAAAACCAACCCTATTTTTCACTGTAGCCTATTTGAACGTTCAAAAAACGTCGTTAGATCTAGTATCTAATCCTGCTTCACGCTCCATATTTGACACGGCTGTTAAAGGATACTCCTGCAGCTACACATCACAATACACATTGAATTTTTCTATTCACGAATTCACACACATGCCCTGTCACGCTTTTACACACTGATACACATGCGCACACACACACTTACCACACATTCCTTTATGGCAGTATTTTGTTTCCGCTGGGCACTTGGTACATTTGTCTCCCTTTGTGAAAGGTTTCCTACCCTGAATGTTGCCGCTAGAGAATAGAACAATAGGTTGTTTCATAACAATAGGTTGTTTCATAACAATAGGTTGTTTCATAACAAAAGGTTGTTTCATAACAATAGGTTGTCTCATAACAATAGGTTGTTTCATAACAATAGGTTGTCTCATAACTATAGGTTGTTTCATAACAATAGGTTGTTTCATAACTATAGGTTGTTTCATAACTATAGGTTGTTTCATAACAATTGGTTGTTTCATAACTATAGGTTGTTTCATAACAATAGGTTGTTTCATAACAATAGGTTGTTTCATAACTATAGGTTGTTTCATAACAATAGGTTGTTTCATAACTATAGGTTGTTTCATAACAATAGGTTGTTTCATAACAATAGGTTGTTTCATAACAATAGGTTGTTTCATAACTATAGGTTGTTTCATAACAATAGGTTGTTTCATAACAATAGGTTGTTTCATAACTATAGGTTGTTTCATAACAATAGGTTGTTTCATAACAATAGGTTGTTTCATAACTATAGGTTGTTTCATAACAATAGGTTGTTTCATAACAATAGGTTGTTTCATAACAATAGGTTGTTTCATAACTATAGGTTGTTTCATAACAATAGGTTATTTCATAACAATAGGTTGTTTCATAACAACGGGGGGACATATATAAGACTGGGTTCTACTGGGGTAATATACTATTACAAAAACTATCTATTATAAAAACTATCTATTACAAAACTATCTATTACAAGGCTATCTATTACAAAACTATGCTATTACAAACATTTACAATTTCACAAAAACTAATTACAAAAAGTAGACTATTACAAAAAGTATGCTATTACAAAAAGTGCTACTATAAAAACTTTACTACTACAAAAATATACTATTACAAAAAAAAAGAAATTTGACATAAAATATTAATTACAAAAAACTAGGCTATTACAAAAGCTATACTATTTAAAAAAACTATCAATTACAAAAATTACACTATTACAAAAACAACGCTATTACAAAAACAACGCTAGTACAAAAACTATACTAGTACAAAAACTATACTATTACAAACTTATACTATTAAAAAACTACAATATTTAAAAAAAAATTAAACTATAACAAACATCAAACTAGTTTTTCAGTCCTTACCCTGGACCGTAATGACAGACAACAATATAGCCGTGGTCAAATGTAGAGGCACCCTGTAGAACTGGACAGTACTTGACCCCACAGCCCAGAAAATTACTGCTGGACCACACGACCTGCAAGACGAGACACTCGGACATTACATGGGCCGCTGGGTTGTCAGTCAAGCGTGACTTCAACAACAACAAACTCTTACAGTGGCGTGACTTCAACTCAAACCACACCAAACTCTTATTGAGGGAGTGTGTGCCCCCCCCCCCCCCCACCGATAATATTAATCGATGTGGTCGAGTTTTTTTCTTTTTTAAAATAGGTAATAAAAAGCTCTCCGGCCTCATCAAACTACTTTTCGTGCCCGAAATAAAGTGCCCCAGAGTCATTTGCCCGAAACGACAATTGTATGAAAAAAGCCCTTTAAAAAACATTCCAGGATCAGCCATTGAAGTAATGACTCAAGGAACAGAGTGACCTAACCATAAATCAACATAAGATCTGATAACTTAATCGCGGACACAAAGACAACCCACTAACACAAAGACAACTCACTAACTCAGAGACAACTCACTGACCCAGGGACAACCCACCGACCCAAAGACAACTCACTGACCCAAAGAAAACCCGCTGACCCAAAGACAACCCACTAACCCAAAGACAACCCACTAACCCAAAGACAACCCACTAACCCAAAGACAACCCACTAACCCAAAGACAACCAACTGACCCAATGACAACCCACTGACCCAAGGACAACCCACTAACCCAAAGACAACCCACTAACCCAAAGACAACCAACTGACCCAATGACAACCCACTGACCCAAGGACAACCCACTGACCCAAGGACAACCCACCGACCCAGGGACAACCCACTGACACAATGACAACCCACTGACACAAGGACAACCCACCGACACAGGGACAACCCACTGACCCAATGACAACCCACTGACACAAGGACAACCCACCGACCCAGGGACAACCCACCGACCCAGGGACAACCCACTGACACAATGACAACCCACTGACACAATGACAACCCACCGACACAGGGACAACCCACTGACCCAATGACAACCCACTGACACAAGGACAACCCACCGACCCAGGGACAACCCACCGACCCAGGGACAACCCACTGACACAATGACAACCCACTGACACAAGGACAACCCACCGACACAGGGACAACCCACTGACCCAATGACAACCCACTGACACAAGGACAACCCACCGACCCAGGGACAACCCACCGACCCAGGGACAACCCACCGACCCAGGGACAACCCACTGACCCAATGACAACCCACCGACCCAAGGACAACCCACTGACACAAGGACAACCCACTAACCCAAAGACAACCCACCGACCCAGGGACAACCCACTGACCCAATGACAACCCACTGACCCAAGGACAACCCACCGACCCAGGGACAACCCACCGACCCAGGGACAACCCACTGACCCAATGACAACCCACTGACCCAGGGACAACCCACCGACCCAGGGACAACCCACCGACCCAGGGACAACCCACCGACCCAGGGACAACCCACCGACCCAGGGACAACCCACTGACCCAATGACAACCCACTGACCCAGGGACAACCCACCGACCCAGGGACAACCCACCGACCCAGGGACAACCCACCGACCCAGGGACAACCCACCGACCCAGGGACAACCCACCGACCCAGGGACAACCCACCGACCCAAGGACAACCCACTGACACAAGGACAACCCACTAACCCAAAGACAACCCACCGACCCAGGGACAACCCACTGACCCAATGACAACCCACCGACCCAGGGACAACCCACCGACCCAAGGACAACCCACTGACCCAGGGACAACCCACTGACCCAGAGACAACCGACCCAGGGACAACCCACCGACCCAAGGACAACCCACTGACCCAGGGACAACCCACTGACACAAGGACAACCCACTAACCCAAAGACAACCCACCGACCCAGGGACAACCCACCGACCCAGGGACAACCCACCGACCCAAGGACAACCCACTGACCCAGGGACAACCCACTGACACAAGGACAACCCACTAACCCAAAGACAACCCACCGACCCAAAGACAACCCACTGACCCAATGACAACCCACCGACCCAGGGACAACCCACTGACCCAATGACAACCCACCCACCCAATGACAACCCACCGACCCAGGGACAACCCACCGACCCAGGGACAACCCACTGACCCAATGACAACCCACCCACCCAATGACAACCCACCGACCCAATGACAACCCACCGACCCAGGGACAACCCACTGACCCAATGACAACCCACCCACCCAATGACAACCCACCCACCCAATGACAACCCACCGACCCAGGGACAACCCACTGACCACCCACCGACCCAGGGACAACCCACCGACCCAATGACAACCCACCGACCCAATGACAACCCACCGAACCAGGGACAACCCACCGACCCAAGGACAACCCACCGACCCAGGGACAACCCACTGACCCAATGACAACCCACCCACCCAATGACAACCCACCGACCCAATGACAACCCACCGACCCAGGGACAACCCACTGACCCAATGACAACCCACCCACCCAATGACAACCCACCGACCCAGGGACAACCCACTGACCACCCACCGACCCAGGGACAACCCACCGACCCAATGACAACCCACCGACCCAATGACAACCCACCGAACCAGGGACAACCCACCGACCCAAGGACAACCCACCGAACCAGGGACAATCCACCGAACCAGGGACAACCCACCGACCCAGGGACAACCCACCGACCCAGGGACAACCCACTGACCCAATGACAACCCACCCACCCAATGACAACCCACCGACCCAATGACAACCCACCGACCCAGGGACAACCCACTGACCCAATGACAACCCACCCACCCAATGACAACCCACCGACCCAGGGACAACCCACTGACCACCCACCGACCCAGGGACAACCCACCGACCCAATGACAACCCACCGACCCAATGACAACCCACCGAACCAGGGACAACCCACCGACCCAAGGACAACCCACCGACCCAGGGACAACCCACTGACCCAATGACAACCCACCCACCCAATGACAACCCACCGACCCAATGACAACCCACCGACCCAGGGACAACCCACTGACCCAATGACAACCCACCCACCCAATGACAACCCACCGACCCAGGGACAACCCACTGACCACCCACCGACCCAGGGACAACCCACCGACCCAATGACAACCCACCGACCCAATGACAACCCACCGAACCAGGGACAACCCACCGACCCAATGACAACCCACTGACACAAGGACAACCCACCGAACCAGGGACAACCCACCGAACCAGGGACAACCCACCGACCCAAGGACAACCCACCGAACCAGGGACAACCCACCGACCCAAGGACAACCCACCGAACCAGGGACAACCCACTGACCCAAGGACAACCCACTGACCCAAGGACAACCCACTAACCCAAAGACAACCCACTGACCCAGAGACAACGCACTGACCTGTGTATAGTGTCCACACATGGAAATAAAACATTGACCAGTGTCATAGCTGTAGTTGTATTTCTCATCGTAGAACAATTGTATCACATTTGGCGGGTCAAACTCTCCTGGAATTGTGACCACAATGTTATGGTACAACAAACAGCAGTACAGTAAAATATAAACATCTTTGGCACAGCAAAATAAGTTGTAGTCCAACTAAACAAATACTTATCGTGAAGTTTAGAGCGGTTTAAAAAGTAATGAGGTTCTGACCTGTCCCGGCGTAAAGATTCTCCCCAACATACCGGTAACCTGCCAGGTTTTCTCTGTTCTTGCTGTGCTCGAAGATGCATTTTTCAGAGTACACTTGTGCGGATTTTTCCAGCTTCTCGTCCCATTTCTGTAAAACGTGCAACACAAAATGTGAAATATAAGACTGTTAGGATCGTTTCTTTGTTAAACAGAAATAAGTCAGTTCGTGGTAAGGGCAGTAAGTCAACCAACATACTTACAATGAAGTACTAGACAAATGTACCACTGGATTACCCTGCCACAACCAATTCTTTTTAATTGTTTTGGAACTAAGTCTGAACATAAATATCTACAAAAATAATGTGAACTAGTCATAGTAATTCGGTTGGATCACCGTCATGCCCACACCATCACCATCTTACCAGCATGCCCACACTATCACCACCCCACCAACGTGCCCACACCATCACCACCCCATCATCACCACCCCACCAACACACCCACACCATCACCACCCCATCATCACCACCCCACCAACACACCCACACCATCACCACCCCATCATCACCACCCCACCAACACACCCACACCATCACCACCCCACCAACACGCCCACACCATCACCACCCCACCAACACACCCACACCATCACCACCCCACCAACACACCCACACCATCACCACCCCATCATCACCACCCCACCAACACACCCACACCATCACCACCCCACCAACACGCCCACACCATCACCACCCCATCATCACCACCCCACCAACACACCCACACCATCACCACCCCACCAACACGCCCACACCATCACCACCCCACCAACACACCCACACCATCACCACCCCATCATCACCACTCCACCAACACACCCACACCATCACCACCCCACCAACACGCCCACACCATCACCACCCCATCATCACCACCCCACCAACACACCCACACCATCACCACCCCACCAACACGCCCACACCATCACCACCCCACCAACACGCCCACACCATCACCACCCCATCATCACCACCCCACCAACACACCCACACCATCACCACCCCACCAACACGCCCACACCATCACCACCCCACCAACACGCCCACACCATCACCACCCCACCAACGTGCCCACACCATCACCACCCCACCAACACACCCACAACATCACCACCCAACCATCACCACCCCACCATCCCGACCCTACCTCCCAACTCACCATTGCCATCATATCACTGGCCCCCTCTGTACTCCTCAAGTAGTTGTGCCTGGCCAACAAGGCTCGCTTCTCGTCCTCATTGAACCCAACCACCACCACCCTTACCAACACGCCCACACCATCACCACCCCACTAACATGCCCACACCATCACCACCCCACCAACACGCCCACACCATCACCACCCCACTAACATGCCCACACCATCACCACCCCACCAACACGCCCACACCATCACCACCCCACCAACACACCCACACCATCACCACCCCACCATCACCACCCCACCAACACACACACACCATCACCACCCCACCATCACCACCCCACCAACACGCCCAAACCATCACCACCCAAACAACACGCCCACACCATCACCACCCCACCAACACGCCCACACCATCACCACCCCACCAACACGCCCACACCATCACCACCCCACCAACACACCCACACCATCACCACCCCACCAACACACACACACCATCACCACCCCACCAACACGCCCACACCATCACCACCCCACCAACACGCCCACACCATCACCACCCCACCAACACGCCCACACCATCACCACCCCACCAACACACCCACACCATCACCACCCCACCAACACACCCACACCATCACCACCCCACCAACACGCCCACACCATCACCACCCCACCAACGTGCCCACACCATCACCACCCCACCAACACGCCCACACCATCACCAACCCACCAACACGCCCACACCATCACCACCCCACCAACACGCCCACACCATCACCACCCCACCAACACGCCCACACCATCACCACCCCACCATCACCACCCCACCAACACACCCACACCATCACCACCCCACCAACATGCCCACACCATCACCACCCCACCAACGTGCCCACACCATCACCACCCCACCAACACGCCCACACCATCACCACCCCACCAACGTGCCCACACCATCACCACCCCACCAACACACCCACACCATCACCATCACCACCCCACCAACACACCCACACCATCACCACCCCACCAACACGCCCCCACCATCACCACCCCACCAACACGCCCACACCATCACCACCCCACCAACACGCCCACACCATCACCACCCCACCAACACGCCCACACCATCACCACCCCACCAACACGCCCCCACCATCACCACCCCACCAACACACCCACACCATCACCACCCAACCATCACCACCCCACCAACATGCCCACACCATCACCACCCCACCAACACACCCACACCATCACCACCCCACCAACACGCCCCCACCATCACCACCCCACCAACACGCCCACACCATCACCACCCCACCAACACACCCACACCATCACCACCCCACCAACACGCCCCCACCATCACCACCCCACCAACACGCCCACACCATCACCACCCCACCAACACGCCCACACCATCACCACCCCACCAACATGCCCACACCATCACCACCCCACCAACACACCCACACCATCACCACCCCACCAACATGCCCACACCATCACCACCCCACCAACACACCCACACCATCACCACCCCACCAACACACCCACACCATCACCACCCCACCAACACGCCCCCACCATCACCACCCCACCAACACGCCCACACCATCACCACCCCACCAACACACCCACACCATCACCACCCCACCAACACGCCCCCACCATCACCACCCCACCAACACGCCCACACCATCACCACCCCACCAACACGCCCACACCATCACCACCCCACCAACATGCCCACACCATCAACACCCCACCAACACGCCCACACCATCACCACCCCATCATCACCACCCCACCAACACACCCACACCATCACCACCCCACCAACATGCCCACACCATCACCACCCCACCAACACACCCACACCATCACCACCCCATCATCACCACCCCACCAACATGCCCACACCATCACCACCCCACCAACACACCCACACCATCACCACCCAACCATCACCACCCCACCAACACGCCCACACCATCACCACCCCACCAACATGCCCACACCATCACCACCCCACCAACACGCCCACACCATCACCACCCCATCATCACCACCCCACCAACACACCCACACCATCACCACCCCACCAACATGCCCACACCATCACCACCCCACCAACACGCCCACACCATCACCACCCCACCAACACGCCCACACCATCACCACCCCACCAACGTGCCCACACCATCACCACCCCACCAACGTGCCCACACCATCACCACCCCACCAACACGCCCACACCATAACCACCCCACCAACACGCCCACACCATCACCACCCCACCAACACACCCACACCATCATCACCCCACCATCACCACCCCACTAACATGCCCACACCATCACCACCCCACCATCACAACCCCACCATCACCATCCCACCATCACGACCCAACTCACCATTGCCATCATATCACTGGCCCCCTCTCTACTCCTCAAGTAGTTGTGTCTGGCCAACAAGGCTCGCTTCTCCTCCTCATTGAACCCAACCATGTCCTTGTTCACCGCCCTTTTGTATCGGTTTCCTGTCACCTGAACTTCGACCCCGGCTGTACTTCGAAATATAAATCTTTTATCTGGAGAGAAACAAGCCCATTAAAAAAAATCCTACAGTGTATTCGAAGATTTAAGTATTAGACTTTAATATTTATACCCTCCTTCCCCCGATCAGTTCAAAGGTTAATCATTTTTAAAAATAGAACAGTGTCACATGACACTCGCTTCCCAAAATATTTCATTAGCCTCGCCAGGCGGTTTCTAAGAATAATATACCACTCTATATGATCAGCTCAGATTTAAAACTCTTTTGATTTATTAAAGCCTAACCTAGTAATGGTTGTTTTTCTTTTCCTTTTTAATTTAATTTAATTTTATATTTGTTCTCACGATTTGTTCCCTATCAGTCAAGCAGGAAGTTTAACTCAGACACTGAAAACAATTTACTGAAAACTTTATGCAAACATTGCTATCTGGATGTTTTTCAACACATAAACTTTATACAGGCCGTATATAATCCTGTATATTAAGGTATATATAGGGGTTTGTTTTCAAGTTAATATCCATAATATAACGCTGGTGGTAGTGCGTCAGTCATTCCGTCATTCCGTCATCGCTATAGATTTTGGAACCATGTGGGAGTCCCTCCCTGTGCGATGACATCCGGCTAAACGTGTTCGGGAAGGATATATATATATATATATATATATATATATATATATATATATATATATATATATATATATATATATATATATAGGCCTATATATATATATATATTTATATATATATATATATATATATATATATATAGGCCTATATATATATATATATATATATATATATATATATATATATATATATATATATATATATATATATATATATATATATATACATATATGAATATATGCTACAATCTTAAGACCCCCCCACTCTTGACTACAACCTACACCACTGTGTCACGTGACCAAACAAATGTTTAAAAACAAACAACTAACCTACTTGTGAGGCTTGCACCACATGAACACACGTCCACACGATCCACGCGAGAGCACACCACTCCGCCATGCCAGCCACATCAAGACCTTGACCCCTCCTTAGCTGGCGGCGACCTTCACACCTGGGCGAGTCATTAATAATTTAGTTCGGGCAGGCACAAATAGGAGCATTAATAAAAATGGTCAGACATGCAGTTGGGTTGATTTTCAAGCCACGCTCAAAACATGGAAGGTGTATGGGCGCATATATATATATATATATATATATATATATATATATATATATATATATATATATATATATATATATATATATATATATATATATATATATATATATATATATATATATATGCGCCCAGCACGACTGTAACCGCCTGGTGCATAAGGTTAATGTTACGGTTAAAATTATCGATTTTAGTATTACTAATTTGTTACCAAATCAACAACATACCACTTCCAACCCAATGTGGAAAAACACCATGTTTTTTTATACCCGCGATTTTAAACAAAAGCGACAGATTTACATCTCAGCCACGCGACACAAACAACAGTCTTATGCATTATGACCGTAGACTTTGGCCTGTATTTGTATCTCGCTGAATAATACAACAGTAGCGACCAATTACTCTAGGTAAACAGTAAAAGTCACAACGAAGAGTTATAGGACTTGGGTATAATTAAATGGTTAGGGAAATCATTATTGGCTCTGATCGACTCGATGATTTTAACAAAGGAATCCACTATGATGGGCATAATCATGACTTTTAAGCCTCCCTCTCCTCCCCTTCCCCCACACTTTCCACACCAAATGGATCCCTTAAACGAAAATTGAATCGCGTAAACGTGCTGAAAGGTAACCACGCGTGTCGATGATATTCACAATTTCAAAGTTGTGAATGTTATCACAATTACGATTTTGGAAAAAAATGTGAACCTTTCCCCATAAGTGAATGTTATTAAAATTGTCCACAGGCGGAACATCGTCAATTTAAATAACTTGGTTTAAGAAGGGGGGGGGGGGGGTGTACAATGTTTAACTTCCGTGTACACAAAAGTCGTATAGTAATCAGAGCGGGTACAGTGGTCAATAAGTAATGACCTGACCTGTGTAGCCTGTGTAAATGTGTGTGTTCACCTGTCAATGTGTGTTCACCTGCAGTCATAAATCACGTGACTGCAAATAAGCCAAGCGCAGTCAAATTGTTTAACAACCCGGACAACTGACAGAAGGCGACGTTGGCAGTAAAAATAGAAACGACTTTGTTAAAAAATAATTCTACATAGACATTTATTACACGAGAATTTATAAAATAACTAGCTACTGAAGATGGTTGTATTGAAAGGTAGTCACACATATAAAAATGGATCTGGGCAAACCTGTTTTAAGTTTACACAGAGTACTGTAAGCCTCTGTATCACGCCCTAAATTTCGACACTATATCGTGCATCAGTCCACTTGTTTAAATGCTATTTCTTATGAACCTAACAGTACTAGACGGACTTTAAACGAAACCAAACGTTGTTTGTTTTTAATATTCACGTCGGAAATTCCCGAATTTAAAAAATAGAATAGGTAGGAAAAGTGGTTCCAAAAGTGGTTCCACTTTGTGTTGCCAGAAAGCATATTTTTGAACCAAAATTGAATATTTTATAACATTTGTGAAATAAGTAAAAATCACTTCCGGTTTTTACTAAGGCTAGAATTTTAAACACAAAATTACTAATAATATAATAGTAATTTACCAAACATTTTTATTTTAATTTGGATTAGTATAGTCAGGGTGTTGTGGTGAAAGGGGATGTTATATTATTTAACATAATTAAACTACTAGGCTATATTCCATTGTAATAATAAGTAAAGCGTAATTAATATCAACATTTTAATATAGGCCTAAGCAATCTAGATCGACCTCTGACTATGGGGTCATCTATTAACGATGTCACAACGATGCCAGACCTCCCCCTTCCCCAAAGAAGTAAACCTAAGCCAACATCCCCCCCCCCCCCTAGTTTGTTTTTAAAGCAGCGATTTTCATAAAATATTTAGACCTATGGGCTTTTCCAGCATTCAATGTAGGCCTATTGATGAATTATTTACAACAATTTATAAACCAACTTTTAATAATGCAATAAAGGCTTAAATTCAGTTTCTTAACATGAGTGTTTGTTGAACATGGAAAAGTGTCATCTTACTTTCTGAACCCCCTCCCCTTTGACACAAAGGTCCAAATCTCCACCACCACCTCAAAGTCGTTTATAGACGACCACCTCAGCATTTTATATTTATTTATAGGATATTCATTAATTAGTCATACAAACCCAATTACATTTGTTGCTGTGATGGTATCTCTGTCATTACAATTATTAAATAGTTTATCTTAACTCAACATTTCCCCATACCTCATTTGCTATAGCTGCCTATCCTTATAGAAAACATCTTTTCCTCAAATATCTGGAATGCATCTGATCAGCTACAGTCTTTTTCTTTTGTAATGTATAAACAATTACAAAATGTTTATAAACTTGCACAGCCAATAACAACACATTACCAGGAAACAAGCAGTTATTATAGTTTGCTGTATTTGTGGTTTATGGTTAGTTATCAGCCATATTTCTATAAGCTTGGTCTACATTTATATGCTGGTATGGCTAGAATTGACAAAAACCCATATTCTTGATTCTTCCCTTATCATGTTTTACAGCTATGATAGATATAGTAGTTTTATTTTTAACATTGTAGAAAATTTAAGTAATAGTTACAAAATACTAAAGTTGAAGCTTAAACCATAACGTAAGATATTTTAATAATTGTTCGTTTTGAACGAGATATAATACAAAGTAGAAAATTCTAAATAAAAAATTAAAGTATAATTGTTTGCAGACATTGCCCTTTTATTATTATTTGTATTATTATAAGCAAGCTGTCTTATGGGAAATTTTCATTCCTTATTTTCTTCTTGTAATACAATGGGTTTCATATCAGCATGTTGTTTGGACTAGGAATAATATTAACAAATGATAGATTATATATTGATATAAACTTATATGTAAATAATATTCAAATGAAAGACTTATAGTGGGACTACATATTTGTGAACACATTTGCTAAAGCAAAAGTTCTTGAGTTTAAATTTTAATCCTTTAGGTTGTCTCTGATTCAAATTCAAAGCAGTTAACTGGTACCTGACTGGTTATGGACAGTAAAAGCTGTTTGATATTTTCCTGACCATACAATTTATTAATATGGAAGGGCAACAAAACTAGGTGAAATCTACTTCAGCACCATATTCTTAAAAACTATTTATAGTTCGCCAGTTTAAGTCAATTATTAAATTAAGGTAACAATAATTAGTTTCCGCATACACCATCACACACAACCAGTGCTGAAAAAAATAAACATAACAAACTTTATAAATTTCTTTTTTAATTACATTCAGAACTAATATATTAAAAAAAAAGTTGTTCAATATGAACAAGTTTTCTTGGGTCCAACATGTATCCTTGGACTAGTTGGATCTAATAGGTATGTGTAGGCCATTTTCAGTCAAGCCTGACCACTGTTGAAGAATACTGTATATTAAGTCTTCAGAACTGGAGGATTCAGTGATAAGAGTTTTTAAAAGGAACTTCATCTGACTTATCTTCTCTGTATGTAGTATCTAAAAAAAAAACATAAATAAATTTCACAAACTGTTATATTAAACTCATTACATTTATATACTTTAACATTTTATGGTATAATTAAAAATATTTGTCTGTCTTATAAAAATCATAAAGCAATGATGGGACTATTTATGCATGGGATTGTATGGGCTATCTAATTATTACCATTCATTAAATATATAGATCTAAGATTTTCTTTTAATATTTTAATGTAAGGAGTTTGTCATTAAATACAATAGGTCTTCAAAAGTGTCAAAAGTCATGTATATATCATAAAAAAAAAACAAAATTAAAAATGTATCAATAAAGGTCTACTACTTATGTTTAGCCACCTCAAGAATTAGTTGAAAATTTATATTCAAACTAGGCTACTAAAACTATCATCAATTCATACACCTACTAGAATAAATAAGTATAATTATATTGATTTGAATAGTAAGTTAATCCATCTATGACAATTGACACCTTTTGGCTTAATTAACTATTCTGCATTTTTTAATAAGTTCAAAAGATAACTACAGGAGACTAAGAGTAGACTAAGTCATATATTAATTAAGTAGAACTAAAATAAGACAGCTCTTCACAAGTAAGCCTACTGTTCTATTCAGTAATTTTTACAATTATTAAACTAATGTAGATTAAACTTAAATTTTGGATATTATTTAATGCACTAGTCTGTAACCTTTTATTTAGGCTGCATGTAATTTTTAGTTTAAAATTGTAGCCTTATTAAGCTTAGTTATAGTAGTTAACTGTGTTTAACTTACATACTAATACTAACTACCTGCGCTATCACAGGCCTACTACTACCTACTAAAACTAAAATTAATATGACAACTGTAAAAAATTAAGCATACTTTATTTTTTTACAATACTATTCTATACCTACAGACCTACTGCTATTAAATATGAATCTATTAGTTATTAGACCAACGTAAGTTATCATACGTCTAATTAGTAATTTAATAATTACCTCTAAATAGGCCCTAATTCATAATACTAATGTAACTGAAGTATTCAGCAGTATCATAGCCTAAATTATCTAAAATAAAATGTATTCATTTGTACAAATCTAGTAATTTAAGAAGTATTAACTATTAAAATTATATTAATATAGAACTTATTGGCCTACTAAATAACTGAGTCACTAATGTCATGATTTTGCGATTATGAGCAGAGTTTCTTCCAGGCATCTCTTCGGGGGGGCGAAGCCCCCCTGAAAATTTTTTACCGCCCCCCCCCCGAACGGAATGAAATTTATATAATTTATATAGAAAATATATACTTTTAACAGTGTCCGCCCCCCGAAGAAAGTTTACCGCCCCCCCCGAAAATTTCAAGTGCCCCCCCGGAGAAAAAAGTCTGGAAGAAACACTGATTATGAGGTTGTGTATTATACCTAATAACTATACTTTGAATAGAGTAACTATACTTTATTAATACTACTAAATAGTAAATATATTTAAACAAGTAGGCTCTAACTAATTAGACTAATCATTAATTAGACTACATGTATATACTGCCCTACTAATTACTATTTACTATACGACAAGTCTAAAACTATCTATACCAGCGACACTTTGTAATAATATAAAATATGGGCCTAATTTAATTTATCTATTATTATAATTAACTGAAATATAGAGTATAAGATAGACGCTAGTATAGCAATACTAAAACTTAAAACTATATCTAGATCTAGTCTAAATCCACCACACTAGTCAGACGGTCTACTTTATTTCTATTGGGCCTACTATTAGTAAATTAAATTAGTATCACTACTATACTTAGATTCAGATACTAGATTCTAGATACGATACTATCTATTACAGTTCTAGATTCTACTATTTATTAGTACAATCATTAGGCCTATAGAATATTTATACTAAATACTTATTGATTTTATTGAATAGCCTAAAAATAGATCTATCTAGATATATATTTTTTAACAGATAATCTTTCTAGTCAATCTAGTCTGGATCTAGGTCTAGATCAACTTAATAAATTTAATACTTAGGCCTAGGGCCTCCCCTATAATATAGTATTAAGTAGTATTTAGTATTATTTAATATATTTAAGTTCCTTACGCTAAGGCTAAGGCTTAGCTAACTAACTACTAATAATCTATCTATTATCTAGGCCTATTATTAATAATAATATTAGACTTACTAGATCTAGATCTAGATCTAGTAGACTCTCTAGTCTAGACTAGTATTTTTATATTTAATAATTTATTAAACATATTAAAAAGCCGTAGCATACTATAGATAGATCTAGATCTAGATCTAGATCTAATCTAGAATCTAATAGTATCATGGCGTAGAAGAGCAGGCCTAACAAAAATTATGAAACTTGCGTTAAAAACCGTCTAATATCTATCTAATAATATTATAATAATATAATAATATTATAATAGATCTAGACTTACTAGATCTAGTAGACTCTCTATTCTAGACTAGTATTTTTATATTTAATAATTTATTAAACATATTAAAAAGCCGTAGCATACTAATCAACTATAGAATAGATAGATCTAGATCTAGAGATCTAGATCTAGAATCTTATTTAAAAAAAAGGTAGATTAACAATTAATAAGAATAATGTTAATAATGTTAGATCTTAATAATCTGAGCATAACAGTCATAAAAAAATAAGCCAACTGTAATGAAAGGGGATACAAACGAATTTTTAAAGCTTGAATCGAACTGAAAATCTTCCCTTGTTCGCCATTTTGTTTATTTTGATTACCTTGTCCGCATTTATCATGGATAACAAATGTTATGACTTGCATCGTTTACCTCTCCCTGGCCACTTAAGTTCAGTTCAAGGTGGGGTTGAGGGCGGTTTTATAAAATATGTAAATTAGTACAATTATTCAAAATTATTTTTAACGGCTTCTGTTCAACACAAAAATATGAAAATGAGTGTAATCGATGGTTCCTAATCGACTTTAATTTTTAAAATTGTAGCTATAATTTTACCGCTTGCCATATTTTTTAAAATAATTTTTTAAAAATTTAGTATGATTACATAGACTTTTCCTACCTATTCTTACCTTTCGATATATATTAGACTAATATTATTCCACTCACAAATTAAGAATCATTCTTGTAAACACTACACTTCTCTTATTGCTCCTTTTAATATTAAAATAGTTCTATCTTTTATAATGAGGTTAGAGGGGGACATTGTACACGTTTTAAATTGAAATTTGGATATGGTATAATTGTGGCACTTTAAAATACTTGCCTTCTTTTTGTGCAGGAAGGAAAGAAGGAAGGAAGTAGAATCTTAAAGAGAACTGTGCGTGTCTTTTCGTTATTTATAAAATGGTGATATGCGGTGTGTGTGTGGGGGGGGGGGGGGGGGAAGGGGGTATGGACTGTGATGGTCTAGTAACACTAATGGAAATAATATACTGTTAATTAGCATTGTGATTAAATTAAAATAACGAAAATTGTTGAATATGACAATACAGCAAAAAATTAATTAAAATTTCAAAGTTATGGAAGAATATGTTGAAAATGTTGGATAAAACCAATTAACGAAAGTAAAAAAAAAGAGTAAAAGTTCAAAGTTTTTGAAGCATAAATTGAAAATGTGTGTTCAACAGGGTTGAAAGAAAGTGTTTAAAACGTAACTATGCATACACGGCGGTATATGATTTCATTTGAAAGGGAAAATTTCTACAGCATGTAAACAAAATGTACTAGAAGAACTGCCCAGTCACTACTAGTTAGGGCTAGGAATAATTCTAAACTCACACGTTAAGTTTAAAAATAACTTTAAGCTGACAAGTTAGAATAAAGGTAAGTCTAATCCCACACGTGATTGCCAGATAAAACCCCAAACTAATTAATCTAACATAAAACCTAACATTTTTTTTTAAATCTCGAATTTAAACTTTAACAAGAACAAAAACAACAAAACAAGACGAAGGGGAATCCCCTTTTGGCCCGGACAGAGGAAATCCGTGTTAATTTAATCAGCCTACACCAGAAAAAATACGGCACCTGTCATCACTAGATAAAAATTAATCAGCTTCATCTCATTTACGACATCTTTACACCAACAATAATTTACCTTCACCCAAGCTGTAACTAACTGAAAGTTTAAAAGCCTGATCCTCAAATCACATCACAAGCGAATATTCCTCAATGAAATCATGTTGTCAATGTGAAACAAATTCCTCCATCAAATTTGAATGAAATTCACAATCTTACATCCTGTCCCTACACACATTGTTAATACATTCCTCTGAACTACACACGTCATGGAATACAATCTATGCTTCTATTATTACACATTTTTGTTCATGCTAGAGTAATCTCGAGTCACTTGTCAGCAGAAGTACCTGTATCGTCTGCCACACCACGAGGTCGCCTGCCCAGGTAAACAGTGTGTGTGTAAATATCGTCTGCTTGTCAGAGAGTCCGTGTCACACCTTTTGTCAAATTAAAAATCCGAAGTGTTTATCTGGGTTTGGTTGTTTTGCCCAAATGTGAAAAGCCCACCATGTTTAAGTTATACAGTTGAAGTAGATGAAAAAAATGTGACAGGAAATGCGTATTAGAGTTGAAGTGTAGCTGGTAAATAACGCGGCGTTGACAGGGGTGTTCACTCTTGTCAACATGCCCTCAACATATGCAAGCGTTGACAGGGATCCATGACTCTTGTCATCATGCCTTCAACTTTGGCAAGCTATGACATGATATGCAAGCTATGAAGGGGTGCATGACTCTGCCAACATGCCCTCAACATATGCAAGCTTTGACAAGGGTCAATGACTCTGTCAACGAGTCTAGCCCGTAGTGGCGAAGTTTTGGACATGGTCCGTACAGTCGAAATCCTTTTTTTTTTGTATTTGAAATAAATCAAATATTGATTTTAAACCTAACCCTAACCTTAGCGCTAACTCTAACCTTAATAAAGCCGAACTCTAATAAATATTTGATTTTTTTAAACACAAAAAGAACTTCGCCAGTACGAACAATAGAAAAGTTTAAGTTTATCTGTTCCGCCCCTATGGTCTAATCCCCTGTCAACATATGCAGACCTTTTTCTCTCATCGCTAGAAAATTACTTTGGCGTCAGAGTGTTGTGGGCAGCTCTAAACTAAAGCTGGGACAGGAGCTGGAGTGGGACAGGAGTTGGAGTGGGACAGGAGTTGGAGTGGGACAGGAGCTGGAGTGGGACAGGAGTTGGAGTGGGACAGGAGCTGGAGTGGGACAGGAGCTGGAGTGGTGGAACAGGAGCTGGAGTGGGACAGGAGCTGGAGTGGGACAGGAGTTGGAGTGGGACAGGAGCTGGAGTGGGACAGGAGCTGGAGTGGTGGAACAGGAGCTGGAGTGGGACAGGAGTTGGAGTGGGACAGGAGCTGGAGTGGGACAGGAGCTGGAGTGGAATAGGAGCTGGAGTGGGACAGGAGCTGGAGTGGTGGAACAGGAGCTGGAGTGGGACAGGAGCTGGAGTGGGACAGGAGCTGGAGTGGTGGAACAGGAGCTGGAGTGGGACAGGAGCTGGAGTGGGACAAGAGCTAGAGTGGGAGTGGGACAGGAGCTGTAGTGGGACAGGAGTTGGAGTGGGACAGGAGCTGGAGTGGGACAGGAAGGACAGGAGCTGGAGTGGAAGTGGGACAGGAGCTGGAGTGGAAGTGGGACAGGAGCTGGAGTGGAAGTGGGACAGGAGCTAGAGTGGAAGTGGGACAGGAGCTGGAGTGGTGGGACAGGAGTTGGAGTGGGAAAGGAGTGGGAGTGGGACAGGAGTGAGAGCTGGAGTGGGACAGGAGCTGGAGTGGTAGAACAGGAGCTGGAGTGGAGTGGGACAGGAGCTGGAGTGGGATAGGAGCTGGAGTGGGACAGGAGCTGGAGTGGTGGGACAGGAGCTGGAGTGGGACAGGAGCTGGAGTGGGACAGGAGCTGGAGTGGGACAGGAGGGAGCTGGAGTGGGAAAGGAGCTGGAGTGGGACAGGAGCTGGAGTGGGACAGGAGCTGGAGTGGGACAGGAGCTGGAGTGGGACAGGAGCTGGAGTGGGGCAGTAGCTGGAGTGGGACAGGAGCTGGAGTGGAGTGGGACAGGAGCTGGAGTGGGACAGGAGAGAGTTGGAGTGGGAAAGGAGCTGGAGTGGGACAGGAGCTGGAGTGGGACAGGAGCTGGAGTGGGACAGGAAGGACAGGAGCTGGAGTGGGGCAGGAGCTAGAGTGGGAGTGGGACAGGAGCTGTAGTGGGACAGGAGTTGGAGTGGGACAGGAGCTGGAGTGGGACAGGAGTGGGAGTGGGACAGGAGCTGGAGTGGAAGTGGGACAGGAGCTGGAGTGGGACAGGAGCTGGAGTGGGACAGGAGCTAGAGTGGGAGTGGGACAGGAGCTAGAGTGGGAGTGGGACAGGAGCTGGAGTGGGACAAGAGCTGGAGTGGGACAGGAGCTGGAGTGGGACAGGAAGGACAGGAGCTGGAGTGGAGTGGGACAGGAGCTGGAGTGGGACAGGAATGACAGGAGCTGGAGTGGAGTGGGACAGGAGCTGGAGTGGGACAGGAGAGAGTTGGAGTGGGAAAGGAGCTGGAGTGGGACAGGAGCTGGAGTGGGACAGGAGCTGGAGTGGGACAGGAGCTGGAGTGGGACAGGAAGGACAGGAGCTGGAGTGGGGCAGGAGCTAGAGTGGGAGTGGGACAGGAGCTGGAGTGGGACAGGAGCTGGAGTGGGACAGGAGCTGGAGTGGGACAGGAGTGGGAGTGGGACAGGAGCTGGAGTGGGACAGGAGCTGGATAAAAACCTGTCGTTAACAATTTAACAGTTTAGACCGAATGGAAACCCTGCAGAATTTTCCTGATACATCGGAGTTCGGTGTTAGGGTTGTTAGTTCTACAAAGTGGGGCTGGTTTATCACGTGGGACCTCTGAGCAGGCTAAGTAAAAATACAAGCTACGTTCTGGCTAATGGCACAGTCTGTAAGGCTTATACGAGCTGCACTAACGTCTCCATGTAGGCCGACACTTTAGGCCAGGGGTTCCCAACCCCGTGCCCGCGGGCGCCATGGCGCCCGCCGAACGATCCGTTTGTGCCCGCCTCTCACTATTCGACAGAGACAGAATTTTTTTCATAAACATTATTGAAAGGTTGAAGGGGATGGAAATCGAAAGTTTGAGGGGGGTGGTGCAAATCGAAAATTTGAGGGGGGGGGGGGGGGGCAAATCGAAAGTTTGAGGGGGGGGGGGTGCAAATCGAAAATTTGAGGGGGGGGGGGTGCAAATCGAAAGTTTTGTCCCCGGGTGACGGGAAGGGTCGCTACGCCTCTGGAAGGAGTTTGTCGATTTAAAATAGGTGGTGCCCGACACCCTACCGATATTTTAGAATGTGCTCTAGAGTAAAAAAAGGTTGGGAACCCCTGCTTTAGGCAATCTGTCCACCATTTAAGGCTTATACTAGCTGCATCATGTATGCGGACACCAAAAGACACTCCGTTCATCACTACAACACAAAACAGAGAACTGGATATTTCTACCACCTCATCCTGAACACGCCCGGTTACGTATGTACACTATGTAGATCGATACAGCAGTCACAACACAGTGCCAGATGATTCGATTTCAGAATCGATATTTGAGTGTGTGAGGGGGGGGGGGGGGAGAGAAGGTAGGTTGGACTCTAGACAAATATGACTGAGATAAGATTAAATGCGTGTTTAGAGACTTTAAAAACGTTACTTACTTACATTATTCCATCCCACAGAACATAGACCCTAAGTCTCTAGTCACAAGTTGCAGGGTTGGTCCGTGTGATTCTATTTATAGATTCTTTAATAACACAGTTACTTCCCTTACTCCACAAAATACATATTTAAAAATAATTTGTTCCATGAATACATTGTTTCCTTCTCAATACAACGTTGTATTTATAATAATTTATTACATTACAAACAAGTAGAATATTATATTTGAATGAACTAGTTAAAGTAAAATCGAATTGGAATACTCTGCGTGTGATTTTTTAAATGGTAGATTAGTTAAAGGAGCGTATGTAAAGGGAAATAACTCACTTTATTAAATAAAATTACGACTAAGCTCCCTTGAATATGTATAGTCTGTTAATTAAACTTTTTGTTTTATTTGATTTTTAATACACAGGAATATCACATATTGATAAATAAAAATAAGTATAAAGTTTTGTTAAATTACGACTATTAACACGAAAGTCTCGAGTTCGTATAAGGTTTCAAGTCTATAAACGGGTACCTGACTCTCGTTAGTGAAGTAAAGGCGGCTGGACATAGTGCTAACAATACTATGTCTTCATATGCCGAGGTCACAGAAACAGATGAACTCTAACATAGACCTTCAGTTTTGAAAGGGAACATAGTTCTAATCATAAATGATATTTAAATCAGCATTATACTTCAATAATTATCCACAAACTATTTATCATTTCTATAAGCTTTAATAGAAACTTGTTAAATAAAAAACAATACTGGTTATATTTCCCGGGCGTCAAGAAAAAATCAAAAATATGTTAAAAAATCTTAGCCTTGCAAATTTTATTGAACAGTTGAATGATATTTGATTAGCCGGCCGTGACATTTAATGACACTGACAGTTGAATAGTAGTGACATTAGAGTTAGAGTGACATTTTATTCACGGTGTCATGTAATAGAAGCGATATTTGAATGACAAATTTATAGAAGTGATATTTGATTAGTGAGACAAATTTATAGAAGTGATATTTGATTAGTGAGACAAATTTATAGAAGTGATATTTGTTTAGTGAGACAAATTTATAGAAGTGATATTTGATTAGTGAGACAAATTTATAGAAGTGATATTTGATTAGTGAGACAAATTTATAGAAGTGATATTTGATTAGTGAGACAAATTTATAGAAGTGATATTTGATTTGTGAGACAAATTTATAGAAGTGATATTTTGATTAGTGAGACAAATTTATAGAAGTGATATTTGATTAGTGAGACAAATTTATAGAAGTGATATTTGACTAGTGAGACAAATTTATAGAAGTGATATTTGATTAGTGAGACAAATTTATAGAAGTGATATTTGATTAGTGAGACAAATTTATAGAAGTGATATTTGATTAGTGAGACAAATTTATAGAAGTGATATTTGATTTGTGAGACAAATTTATAGAAGTGATATTTGATTAGTGAGACAAATTTATAGAAGTGATATTTGATTAGTGAGACAAATTTATAGAAGTGATATTTGATTAGTGAGACAAATTTATAGAAGTGATATTTGATTAGTGAGACAAATTTATAGAAGTGATATTTGATTAGTGAGACAAATTTATAGAAGTGCTATTTGATTAGTGAGACAAATTTATAGAAGTGCTATTTGATTAGTGAGACAAATTTATAGAAGTGATATTTGATTAGTGAGACAAATTTTTAGAAGTGATATTTGATTAGTGAGACTACTTCTTCTTCTTCTTCGTTCTTAATTATTAGTGTTGAAGGGGATCGAGATTTATCTGCCAGTGCGTTTGAACTCGAGACTTTGTTCGAATTTAAACCATGAGCTTTTTGCCGACTCGACCACGCCTCCAACACAATTAAGCGTTACGTGTCAACTGGTTATGCGCCATTAAGGCCATTGACTCCGATTTCATCCTGTTTTTCTTTTTGGATTTGCTTCCATAGCCTTTGTCCAACCAAGAACAAAGTACAAGGCAGCAGTTGTTTAATTTTGGAGTTGTCTCTCCTAGAAGAGTGGCTGTCCCCAGCTAACGAGCCTCATCTGCCCGAGGGTTCGAACTCGAGATTTCTCGGTTTAGCAACCATGAGCTTTACCGACTCGACCACGCCGACCCCTATATTAGTGAGACAAATTTATAGAAGTGATATTTGATTAGTGAGACAAATTTATAGAAGTGATATTTGATTAGTGAGACAAATTTATAGAAGTGATATTTGATTAGTGAGACAAATTTATAGAAGTGATATTTGATTAGTGAGACAAATTTATAGAAGTGATATTTGATTAGTGAGACAAATTTATAGAAGTGACATATGAACCTTTCCGATATTCCAAACGCTACTTACAAGTTATCTAATTACACCTGCTGAAAGATTCAATGGCACCTGGCACACATGAGTGTTATTTATACTAATCCGTTGTGTTCAATATTTACATACACATACACTCACACACACCAGCGCACACACACACGCACACGCACACACGCATATATATATATATATATATATATATATATATATATATATATATATATATATATATATATATATATATATATATATATATATATATTTATTTATTTTATATATATATATATATATATATATATATATATATATATATATATATATATATATATATATATATATATATATATATATAAAATAAATAAATATATATATATATATATAGATGTCGGCGTGGATGTGGATCGGTATAGCTAAACTAAAAAGTCCCGAGTTCGAACCCCTCTCAGTATCAACTCATCTCGGTGAGAAAACTCCCAACTCAACCAACTGATGCTTCAACACGGCATCACTGGGCGTATGACCTTCCAGTAAAGGTCACCGGCCAGGGCGCTAAAGTTCCTAGATGGACTTGCCACTTGTACATACCCAAGGCGAGCGACCTAGATGTAATCGTGAACACCCAGCTGTGGTCAGGCATGGAGAGGGGGGGGGGGGGGCGCCGGCATGCGATACTTAGCCACAGACACTCTGTGGTGCCTCAACTTTATTTTAGACAAGCAAGATTTTATTGGGCTAGGAAGTGTAAAGGTGAGAGGTGGTTAATGTAAGCAAAATTCACAAGCGCATAACATGCTGCGATATATATCTACACGTGTGTGCTTATCCGTATATATGTGTGTGTCCACACACTACACGAATGAGGAGTAAAATAAAAGTATGCGTGAACTTTGAACCCAAGCCGTAAATAGCCACTTACTTTCCCTTCAAGCCTCACATCATTAACATTGACCGTGAGAGCGAGTTGAGTATGTGAGTACTGTGTTGTTTCGCTGATCTAAATTGTATTGTTTCGCTGTTCTTATGTGGAATTATAGTTTTTAATATTCTGTCTAACGTTGGTACTTTATTGTTTCGTTGTTACAGTAATATTCTGTCTGTTTTTTTACATTGTTGTTTCATTGATGTAGTTTAGAATTAGTTTTTATCATTCTGTTTAATTCAAGTATTTTATTATTTCGTTGTTTAAGTGTAGAATTATGTTAAATATTATTTGTTCGTGGTGTTTTCTCAAGAGTTATTTGATTTTTGCATTTGTGTGTTGGTGTGTTTTTGTACTACTGTTGTTTAGGTGTGTATGTGTGTGATTGAGAGGGTGTGTGAGGTTTTGTGTATCCGTCTGTAATAATTGTGTGTATATGTGCGTTATTTGTCGTTTATATGTGTGTATGTGGCTGTGTGTGTTGTTATAAGTGTGCGTGTTTTTGAGACCGTTTGAATGTGTGTATGTGTTGTATCATTATTTGTATGTGATTGTGCATATGTAAGTGTATCTATACAAACGTGTAACATGTCACCACTAGGAAGATTAATACTAAATTATTCAACCCGCCTGATAAAACAAAAAATTAATTATGTAAATACATATTGTGCATTGAGCCGAACAAAAAATTAATTATGTAAATACATATTGTGCATTGAGCCGAACATCAAATCTCGAAAAACAAACACTCTAAAATATCTCAACTCAAAGAATGTAAATAAAATAATTTTCTCTACATTCGTCGTTGTGTAAGGGAAAACAACTCATTAGTCTAATTACGAATTGCCTCCCCTTGAGTGTTTGAATTCCACTTGACCTCGCCTGTGTGACAAAACCACACATCGATGTTATATCCTGTCCGTGTTTAGCACGCCCAATATTTACATGCCATGTATGTGATTGTTTGCTCTACTAGTCATACAATTTAGATTCGTGAAATGAATGCATGTCCGAAATGCATTCATTTCGTCATAATCTCTTACCTTGTTTGACGCTTAATACAGTTTTCCAAAAGTTCTATATGAAATGTCACTGTATCATTGTATCTGGCCATTTAGACTTACTATCATTTATCTGATCGTTGTCGTCCATAACATCCATCATTTTAAAATAAAAGGATTGGTTAATGGCGCTGTTGTTATTTTCTCTAAATTTCAGAATGCTGCGGCCGTTTTGTCTACCATCAGCGTTGGTGTACTGCTTGTTATTTGTAAATCATGAAGCTATGTTATCAAGTGAGTTACATCCCTTCTTGTTATTTTGTAAAACGTGAAGCTTGTTATCAAGTGAGTTACATCCCTTCTTGTTATTTTGAAAAAACGTGAAGCTTATTATCAAGTGAGTTACATCCCTTCTTGTTATTTTGTAAAACGTGAAGCTATACTATCAAGTGAGTTACATCCCTTCTTGTTATTTTGTAAAACGTGAAGCTTATTATCAAGTGAGTTACATCCGTTCTTGTTATCAGTAAAACGTGAAGCTTATTATCAAGTGAGTTACATCCCTTCTTGTTATCAGTAAAACGTGAAGCTATGTCAGCAAGGGAGTTACATCCCTTCTAGTTATTTGTAAAACGTGAAGCTATACTATCAAGTGAGTTACATCCCTTCTTGTTATTTTGTAAAACGTGAAGCTATGTTATCAAGTGAGTTACATCCCTTCATTCCTTATCCTGACGCCATGCCAGATTTATCTTCCATGCATCCTTACGCTACATTATTATCGTTATTATCTCCTGGGGACAGATCGACCGGAAGTGAAGGAAGTAGCCGGACGACACAAGCGAAGCGTCTATAGCTCTGTATCTGGATTGACGGACGAAGAGAGGTTTCGATTGGTCAAGAAACACAACTCACTGAGGAGTCTTGAAGCAGCTAGTGATATGATGCTACTGGCGAGTCGACAGCTTTTATACGTTTATGTTTTCATTTCGTTTTGTTTTCGTTTTGTTTTGTTGGTTTGTTTAACTATTTGAAGGCACGATAATAAACGGATGTATCGAAATTTAAAAGAAATTATAACTTATATAACAAAACAAAAATAAACCTATGTAAGTAGCAATGAAATCAATTTGATAAATTTATAAATAAAACGTACTAATAGAAGGACTTAGCTGAGGTGGGGCGTGCTAGAGTTTTGACGTCGTTATTCGTTGTGGGCGTTATATTTTTAAACAAATATATATAGGAGTGTATATCAAAATAATCCCCCTGGCCCCCACCCCCCCCCTCCATAATAACATAGATAAATATGGTCGACAAAATCAGATGAGTGTATACAATGGATGTTTCAAAACTTTAGAACTAGTTAATTAAAATATACTTATTTTCTTTTTTGTAAGTTTTTTTTATGGTTTGATGTTTTCCAGAAGTGGAGTAAAGATCTGGAAAAATCAGCCCAGTCCCACGCCAACCTTTGTATTCTTCAGCCCAGCACGAGGAGGGACGTGGGCCCGGCAGATGAGCACTTGGGGGAGAACGTTTACGCCGTGCCGCGTGAGTCTTGTCCAGCACAACACTTTAGTCAGATCTGAGGGTGTCTTTTTGTCTGTGCATTCTACTCTTTCATAGGTGCACTCTACTCTATCATATGTACACTCTATTATAGGTGCACTCTATCATTGGTGCACTCTATCTTAGGTGCATTCGACTCTATCATAGATGCACTCTATTCTATCATAGGTGCACTCTACTCTATCATATGTACAGTATACTCTTTCATAGGTGCACTGTACTTTATCATTGGTGCACTCTACTATATCATAGGTGCATTCTACTCTATCATTGGTGCAGTCTACTATATTTATGTGCACTCTATCATAGGTGCACTCGATCATAGGTGCACTATAATAGGTGCACTCTATCATAGGTGCACTCTATCATTAGTACACTTGGTTCTATCATATGTGCACTCTACTCTATCATTGGTGCATTCTATTCTATCAATTAAAATCAATCAATCATTAGTGCACTCTATCATATGCGTACACCATTCTATCATAGGTGCACTTAACCATATGCGTACACCATTTTATCATAGGTGCACTTAACCATATGCGTACTCCATTCTATCACAGGCGTACTTTACTTTATTAGAAAAGTATTCCCCCTCTAAACTTCGCACCTTGTAAAGATTTGGGCCTATAAAATATCCTTGACATAATTCAGTTTCAATTGACGATCTAAAATATCTTTGTCCGTTTTTAGATTCCCTGGACCTTGAAGAATTCGTGCAGACTTTGTATGAGGAGAGAAGCCATTTCAATTTTAAAAACGTGTCTTGTTTGGGTTCAGGCGAGTGCGGGCACTATACACAGGTATGTTAAGGTATTCTGGTACTATAGACTGGTATGTTTAGGTATTCTGGTACTATACACAGGTATGTTAAGGTATTCTGGTACTATAGACTGGTATGTTTAGGTATTCTGGTACTATACACAGGTATGTTTAGGTATTCTGGTACTATAGACTGGTATATTTAGGTATTCTGGTACTATACACAGGTATGTTTAGGTATTCTGGTACTATATACAGGTATGTTTAGGTATTCTGGTACTATACACATGTCTATTTAGGTATTCTGGTACTATACACAGGTATGTTTAGGTATTCTGGTACTTTATACAGGTATGTTTAGGTATTCTGGTACTATACACATGTCTATTTAGGTATTCTGGTACTATACACAGGTATGTTTAGGTATTCTGGTACTAAACCCAGGTATGTTTAGGTATTCTGGTACTATACACAGGTATGTGGGGCAAGTTAGGTATTCTAATATTATACACAGGTATGTGGGGCAAGTTTAGGTATTCTGGTACTATATACAGGTATGTTAACTTATTCTGGTAGTATACACAGGTATGTGGGGCAAGTCTATATATTCTGGTTCTATACATAGATATGTGGAACAAGTTTAGGTATTCTGGTAGTATACACAACTATGTGGGGCAAGTTTAGGTATTCTGGAGCAGGCACACAAACACACATTACCCTCAAACAACCACATAAACAGACTCGAGCGTACACACATAAACACCCACACATACACGTAGACAAACCCAAGCACGGACACATGCTCATCCACCGGTTATGTAACCCCCCCCCCCTCCTCACATGGTCCCTGTATGTTGCAGATCGTCTGGTCCAGCAGCAAGTACCTGGGCTGTGGGGTCAAGTACTGTCCACACCTGCTGGGTGACCAACACTCCCCTAGCGGCTACCTGGTGGTGTGTCATTATAGACCCAGGTCAGTAGGACTTGACGTGACACTACAGACCCAGGTCAGTAGGATTAAACGTGACACTACAGACCCAGGTCAGTAGGACTTGACGTGACACTACAGACCCAGGTCAGTAGGATTAAACGTGACACTACAGACCCAGGTCAGTAGGACTTGACGTGACACTACAGACCCAGGTCAGTAGGATTAAACGTGACACTACAGACCCAATTCAGTAGGACTTGACGTGACACTACAGACCCAGGTCAGTAGGACTTGACGTGACACTACAAACCCAGGTCAGTAGGACTTGACGTGACACCACAAACCCAGGTCAGTAGGACTTGACGTGACACCACAAACCCAGGTCAGTAGGACTTGACGTGACACTACAAACCCAGGTCAGTAATACTAAACGTGACACTACAGATCCAGGTCAGTAGGACAACGTGACAGACCCAGGTCAGTAGGATTAAACGTGACACTACAGACCCAATTCAGTCGGACTTGACGTGACACTACAGACCCAGGTCAGTAGGACTTGACGTGACACTACAAACCCAGGTCAGTAAGACTTGACGTGACACCACAAACCCAGGTCAGTAGGACTTGACGTGACACTACAAACCCAGGTCAGTAATACTAAACGTGACACTACAGATCCAGGTCAGTAGGACAACGTGACAGACCCAGGTCAGTAGGATTAAACGTGACACTACAGACCCAGGTCAGTAGGACTTGACGTGACACTACAAACCCAGGTCAGTAATACTAAAAGTGACACTACAGACCCAGGTCAGTAGGATTAAACGTGACACTACAAACCCAGGTCAGTAATACTAAACGTGACACTACAGACCCAGGTCAGTAGGACGTGACAGACCCAGGTCAGTAGGACTTGACGTGACACTACAGACCCAGGTCAGTAGGATTAAACGTGACACTACAAACCCAGGTCAGTAATACTAAACGTGACACTACAGACCCAGGTCAGTAGGACAACGTGACAGACCCAGGCCAGTAGGATTAAACGTGACACTACAAACCCAGGTCAGTAATACTAAACGTGACATTACAGACCCAGGTCAGTAGGACGTGACAGACCCAGGTCAGTAGGACTTGACGTGACACTACAGACCCAGGTCAGTAGGATTAAACGTGACAGACCCGGGTCAGTAGGACTTGACGTGACACTACAGACCCAGGTCAGTAGGATTAAACGTGACACTACAGACCCAGGTCAGTAGGATTAAACGTGACACTACAGACCCAGGTCAGTAGGATTAAACGTGACAGACCCAGGTCAGTAGGACTTGACGTGACACTACAGACCCAGGTCAGTAGGATTAAACGTGACACTACAGATCCAGGTCAGTAGGATTAAACGTGACACTACAAACCCAGGTCAGTAATACTAAACGTGACACTACAGACCCAGGTCAGTAGGATTAAACGTGACAGACCCAGGTCAGTAGGACTTGACGTGACACTACAGACCCAGGTCAGTAGGATTAAACGTGACAGACCCAGGTCAGTAGGACTTGACGTGACACTACAGACCCAGGTCAGTAGGATTAAACGTGACACTACAGACCCAGGTCAGTAGGACTTGACGTGACACTACAGACCCAGGTCAGTAGGACTTGACGTGACACTACAGACCCAGGTCAGTAGGACTTGACGTGACACTACAGACCCAGGTCAGTAGGACTTGACGTGACACTACAGACCCAGGTCAGTAGGACTTGACGTGACACTACAGACCCAGGTCAGTAGGACTTGACGTGACACTACAGACCCAGGTCAGTAGGACTTGACGTGACACTACAGACCCAGGTCAGTAGGACTTGACACTACAGACCCAGGTCCGTGTGACTAAACGTGACACTAAAGACCCAGTTTAATACGACTAAACGTGACACTAAACACCCAGTTTAATACGACTAAACGTTACAGATACATAATATGAGTATTACTTAGGGTGACAAACTTTGGTCAGTATGATTTGATAAATCCAGGTCAGAATCACTTGACATTACTTTAAAAAACATTGGACTTTTGAATATATTACATTATATAATATATATATATATATATATATATATATATATATATATATATATATATATATGTAACGAGTCTATTTGCTTGTAGTGCCAAATGTTAACGAGTGTATTTACTCATTCTACACAACATCGACCACAATATAGATACTCGAAGATGCAGGTTTACCATTGATCCTTTTATTACATGAATCAAAAGAAATACTTCACAATAATAGAATGAATCAACTGACCCCCAACCGTCCTCACTAGTCTTCACATAACCGAATGCACATGTCTATCGTCCCTATTAACACAATACGTCTACAACGTTCAGTAACCAACTTGATACTCCTACTCAGCCCAGCCTCAACCACGTTCTACCTCCAACTGTTCTAGCCTCCAACTCATACTTTCCTATATATCCCCTCGTATCCGTAATCGTATTCGGTTCTATCATAGTTATGTTCAATCCGAATATCTCGCCTTCCGATTACTACGCAGTTGTCTCGTACCAGTCTTTATTAGACTTGTTATCAGTCCAATTAATAGAACACATGCACTGTTACGTCAGCCAAGTCATGTCAAAGTTGACAGCGGCTTGTCGTATCCTTCCCAAAATACGCCGTGGCTTTATGATCGTTATCAGTTGCATCAGACTGTAATACGTTGTTAACCATAGTATGGTAACTACCCTAGTTACATATATATATATATATATATATATATATATATATATATATATATATATATATATATATATATATATATATATATATAAAACTGAGTGCAATTTTGACAGGGGTAACTACATTGGTGTCGAGCCTTTTAAGAGAGGACCTGTCTGTTCATCGTGTCCAAAGGAAACAAAGTACTGTGTACGGGGATTGTGTGGTAAGTCTGGGAGGGGAGACAATCGGTAATATGGTAGAAGGGAGGCAATCTATCATAGTTGTCAAGGGAAGCAACTAGTCACATTATATTTTAGGAAAGGATAGGCTCTGTCATATTATAGTAAAGGAGGGGCCCTGTCAAAATGTAGTAATGGAGGTGTTGTTATATTATGGTAAAGGAGGCTCTCGGTTATATTATAGCAATAGAGAATAATCAGTCATTGGTTAGCAGGGAAGGTTGTATTATTTACTAGAGGCACTACATTGTCAGTGGTAGAGAGTATGACAGCAAAAAGTCTCGATATCAGGTCTACTATTGTTATATCAATAGAAGGCAGGGCTATAGAAAGTTAAGCTGCCACTAAAAGCACCTCACTATGATCCAACGAATAACAATACAACCTTACTTTTTTAGCGTACCGGCCTGTTATAGGATCAATGTCACCGAAATACCATATGTCATGTCAGTTTTACGGCGTGGATATCTTCTGGTGGATAGTCGTCCTAAGATTAATGATTAATAAATTTTATGTAATTTATAATTGATTGTTTTTACTTGCTACATAATAAATGGGCTGTATGTAGTGTATATCATGTGATGGAAACTTGTGGATTGTATACAGTGTATATCCTGTGGTGGAAACCTGTGTATACAGTGTATATCCTGTGGTGGAAACCTGTGTATACAAGGTATACCCTGTGGTGGAAACCTGTGTATACAGTGTATATCCTTTGGTGGAAGCCTGTGTACATAGTGCATATCTTGTGAATGGGATCTTGTGGACAGCATGTAGTTATATCTTGTGATGGAAGCTTGTGGACTGTATGGAGTGTGTATCCTGTGATGGAAGCCTATGTATACAGTGTATATCCTGTGAATGAAAGCGTGTGGACTGTATGAAGTGTGTCTCCTGTGGACTGTATGAAGTTTGTCTCCTGTGGACTGTATGAAGTGTGTATCCTGTGGACTGTATGAAGTGTGTATCCTGTGGACTGTATGAAGTGTGTATCCTGTGAATGGAAGCTTGTGGACTGTATGAAGTGTGTATCCTGTGAATGGAAGCTTGTGGACTGTAAAAAGTGTGTATTCTGTGAATGGAAGCTTGTGGACTGTATGAAGTGTGTATTCTGTGAATGGAAGCTTGTGGACTGTATGAAGTGTGTATCCTGTGAATGGAAGCTTGTGGACAGCATGTAGTTATATCTTGTGATGGAAGCTTGTGGACTGTATGAAGTGTGTATTCTGTGAATGGAAGCTTGTGGACTGTATGAAGTGTGTATCCTGTGAATGGAAGCTTGTGGACTGTATGAAGTGTGTATCCTGTGAATGGGATCTTGTGGACTGTATGAAGTGTGTATTCTGTGAATGGAAGCTTGTGGACTGTATGAAGTGTGTATTCTGTGAATGGAAGCTTGTGGACTGTATGAAGTGTGTATCCTGTGAATGGGATCTTGTGGACAGCATGTAGTTATATCTTGTGATGGAAGCTTGTGGACAGCATGTAGTTATATCCTGTGAATGGAAGCTTGTGGACTGTATGAAGTGTGTATTCTGTGAATGGAAGCTTGTGGACTGTATGAAGTGTGTATCCTGTGAATGGAAGCTTGTGGACAGCATGTAGTTATATCTTGTGATGGAAGCTTGTGGACTGTATGAAGTGTGTATTCTGTGAATGGAAGCTTGTGGACTGTATGAAGTGTGTATCCTGTGAATGGAAGCTTGTGGACTGTATGAAGTGTGTATCCTGTGAATGGGATCTTGTGGACTGTATGAAGTGTGTATTCTGTGAATGGAAGCTTGTGGACTGTATGAAGTGTGTATTCTGTGAATGGAAGCTTGTGGACTGTATGAAGTGTGTATCCTGTGAATGGGATCTTGTGGACAGCATGTAGTTATATCTTGTGATGGAAGCTTGTGGACAGCATGTAGTTATATCCTGTGAATGGAAGCTTGTGGACTGTATGAAGTGTGTATTCTGTGAATGGAAGCTTGTGGACTGTATGAAGTGTGTATCCTGTGAATGGGATCTTGTGGACAGCATGTAGTTATATCTTGTGATGGAAGCTTGTGGACTGTATGAAGTGTGTATCCTGTGAATAGAAGCTTGTGGACTGTATGAAGTGTGTATCCTGTGGACTGTATGAAGTGTGTCTCCTGTGGACTGTATGAAGTTTGTCTCCTGTGGACTGTATGAAGTTTGTCTCCTGTGGACTGTATGAAGTGTGTATCCTGTGGACTGTATGAAGTGTGTATCCTGTGAATGGAAGCTTGTGGACTGTATGAAGTGTGTATTCTGTGAATGGAAGCTTGTGGACTGTATGAAGTGTGTATCCTGTGAATGGGATCTTGTGGACAGCATGTAGTTATATCTTGTGATGGAAGCTTGTGGACTGTATGAAGTGTGTATCCTGTGAATAGAAGCTTGTGGACTGTATGAAGTGTGTATCCTGTGGACTGTATGAAGTGTGTCTCCTGTGGACTGTATGAAGTTTGTCTCCTGTGGACTGTATGAAGTGTGTATCCTGTGGACTGTATGAAGTGTGTATCCTGTGAATGAAAGCGTGTGGACTGTATGAAGTGTGTATCCTGTGGACTGTATGAAGTGTGTATCCTGTGAATGGAAGCTTGTGGACTGTATGAAGTGTATATCCTGTGAATGAAAGCGTGTGGACTGTATGAAGTGTGTATCCTGTGAATGGAAGCTTGTGGACTGTATGAAGTGTGTATCCTGTGAATGGAAGCTTGTGGACTGTATGAAGTGTGTATCCTGTGAATGAAAGCGTGTGGACTGTATGAAGTGTGTATCCTGTGAATGGAAGCTTGTGGAGTGTATGAAGTGTGTCTCCTGTGAATGGAAGCCTATTTTTGTCTCTAGAAGAGTGGATTGGTCTATTTAAATTGTTTTATATGTGATTAAAAACTATATTAACGTATCTAACAATTTTAAACGTTTATATAAAATGAATATGTTTTTTTTATTTTTAAATAAAAATAAAAAACTTAATTGCGTTGATTTATAGATGACATAAAATCTGGCTTGTTTCTTTTCTTCGTTTTGTGTGATGAATCATAATTTCAGAGTGGGCTTGTCTTAGTCGAGTTGCCACGTTGGATCACGAAACTTACGTATCTTTTGTGCCATGTGCCAGGCCAGTGTGTCCAGCGTTGGGTTTGTCAGTCATGGCTTTACTGCTCACCTCAACACTGACAAAATGTATCGAACGTAACGTTGTACATATTGGTGTGTGAACACGTGTGTGGCTGTTTATGTATGCTAGTTCATTGTGTATGTGTCTATAAATAATTATATACTTGTAGGCCTACATATATTTGAAACGTTTATTCGTAATAATTTACATGTATACAGTAAGTTATAAATTGTTACTTTCTGGCCAAAACGCGATAAAACCCAACTCCTTTACACCAATGGATAAAAAAAAACCGCACACAAACTTCCTCGTCAAAGGCCATTTTCGATGAACCGTTTGAGGGGTGACACCAAATAGAAAAATCGTAAAATGCACTGTCAATACTGTTTTATCCAGTTAAAATAATGATCTAGTAGTGGGGAGGGGTGACACCAAATCGAAAAATGCTAAATTGTTGTTTAGTGTTGGGGGGATGATACCATGATACGATAATACTATTCAATTATAGGCCCAGATCAACAGATGTACTCTACTTCGTCTGCACTTATTCTTAAATGTCACTGCATTTCTCTAGTTTTTATTTTATCTTAAGTGCTATATTATATCTAAATTGATTTAAAACACATTTGCAAATTTTAAGGAGGGGGGAGGGGGGTCACCGAAAAAAAATGTTTAGGTCATTTATTTAAGTGCCTTGAGTATCCTAGGGCTATATCGGAGCCTCAAGTAGGGTCATACACGGTTATAAGGCCTAAAATGGGGCCATACGCGGATATAGGAGCCTCAAGTAGCCTGGAGTCACAGCGGATATAGGAGCCTCAAGTAGCCTGGGGCCATAGATATAGGAGCCTCAAGTAGGGTCATACACGGATATAGGAGCCTCAAGTAGAGCCATACACCGATATAAGAGCATCAAGTAGGCTGGAGCCATACACTGATATAGTATACTGAAGTAGGGCCCTACTCGGATAGCGATTGCGAAAGGTTACATAACAATTTAAAAATTGCACACCAAATGAACGCAAAAAATGTGTGTAAAATATCGCGGAAAACCAGCACTTCTTATTGAAATATTTAATTACTTTTAAAATAATTAATTAAACAACTAATTATGTCAAATTTTAAGGCACATTGCATTGTCATCATTTCAAGGGGAAAACATCATTCGCTAGAAGTGGTCCAGATTTCTCCCTAAAGTTCGAGCCACAAATAGATCTAGATCTACTGACGGAATGAAGTTTAAGAAAAGCTTGTAAAAATATGCAGCGCATGTTCAAAAACCAATGACGTCACCAGACGCACCGTCATTTTGTTTTTCTTGGAGAAAACCTAAACATGTAGAATCTAGATCTAGGCTCTTTAGGGTTTAACAATTTGTGGGCCAAAACTTGCTCAGGCTGTTCTATGATGTAGATCTAGGTAATGCACCAGGATACGTTCTAAGATTAATAAATCATTGAGAACGATTGTGACCTTGGTGAAATGGAAGTGAATCGCGCCTGATTTATTTAGATCAGATCTCGATCATAAGATCTAAATCTAGATCTAGATCTAGATCTAGTCCAGTAGTCTAGTTAAATCTAGATCTAGATCTAGTCCAGTAGTCTAGTTAAATCTAGATCTAGAAACTAGATCTATTATTATCTAAAAATCTATAGATCTAGATTTAGTTCCAGACATTTAGAAATGTGACTACACAATCCAATCAAAGTTCTAACCACATAATCCAATCAAAGTGCTGACCGCACAATCCAATCAGTCAAAATGCTGACCACAGGGCGAAATTGCTTTGAGATACGAGCAAATAGCCACATGAGCAAGCTTACGGAGCGAAGAAAAGTTCGTATCGCGAGACATTAGGGTGTGGTATAAACAGTGTCTAAACCAGAGTAGGTTTGTTATTTCACTTCCGCTTGAAAGTTTGACATATTGCCCGAAACACGGTTAAATGTTGAGGATAAGTGGGTGTCGTTGATTGATACAATTCTTAATATACACATCCTAAATACATTCTAAAATTATTCACAGACTAAAATGTTAATGAGTGTATTTTTCTTCATGGGGGCCCTGAATCTCGCTGGGTGTGCTGTGGGTAAGTTAAGAAGGAACTGGCTTAGCATTTTGTTGCGGTCTCATTAAACGTCCCTTGAAGTGTACTTATTATCGCCTTAAGACGGTTAATATTTTCTTATTGTTCGTGTAAGTGGCGTTTTTATTTGACACAGCTTTAGATTTTTTTGGATAGTGTATTCTTTTTGTCAGTGTTAGTATGTTCTGTTTGTCAGTGTGTTAGTGTGTTCTTTTTGTTAGTGTTTGTATGTTCTCTTTGTCATAGTGTTCTTGTGTTCTTTTCGTCAGTGTTAGGATGTTCTTTTTGTCAGTGTTAGTATGTTCTGTATGTCATAGTGTTAGTGTTTTCTTTTTGTAAGTGTTAGTGTGTTCTTTTTTGCCAATTTTAGGATGTTCTTTTTGTCAGTGTTAGTGTGTTCTTTTTGTCACAGTGTTAGTGAGTTATTTTTATCACAAAGTGTTCTTTTTGTCACAAAATCTAGTTTGTTCTTTTTGTCACAAAATCTAGTTTGTTCTTTTTTCAGCGTTAGTGTGTCCAATTTGCCAGTGTTAGTGTGTTCTTTTTGTCAGTGTTAGTGTGTTCTTTTTGTCACATTGTTAGTGTGTTCTTTTTGTCAGTGTTAGTGTGTTCTTTTTGTCACATTGTTAGTGTGTTCTTTTTGTCACATTGTTAGTGTGTTCTTTTTGTCACATGTTTAGTATTTGTTTTCTTTGCCCCACTGTTAGACAGACTCGTGAAAATGTTCAAACCGTTCCATCTCCTCATTCTCCTGTCTAGCGGATGTTGCTAAGTTATTAACCTTTTCCAGACACGTCGTTTGGGAACAGTACCTGGCCACTTCCGGTCTTCCAGCCATCGCACAGAGCCCACAGGGTCCGCAGATATTCACCCAAAGAAAGCAATTATTTTAACGAGGAGGAGAAAGCAACCATACTGAAACGTCACAACGACCTGCGGAAAACTCGTGGATCCAGCAATATGATCAAATTGGTAGGTGGGCTGAGGGGCTCTGGGGGTGGGGGTGGAACATGAGAGGGGTTGGTAGTAGACAATGTTACTCAATAGCTACTTAGACATAAATTATTATTACAATGCCAAACTTAGACACAGGTAGGGCCTACACAATATAGTCCTAGAAATTACAGAGTCGTATTAGCCAGACGGGATCCGAACCCACCACTTCACACAGCACGAATGGCCTCGCCAACCGTGCTTCAGGTCAGAGGTGAAGGCTATGAATGTGGACGGTCATGGACCCTCTATTTTTGTACGGCTAAATAGTCTTAGTGTTTACACCTAAGATCTGAAGCTAGTCGTAGTGTTTACACCTATGATCTGAAGCTAGTCGTAGTGTTTACACCTATGATCTGAAGCTAGTCGTAGTGTTTACACCTATGATCTGAAGCTAGTCGTAGTGTTTACACCTATGTTCTGAAGCTAGTCGCCGTGTTTACACCTATGATCTGAAGCTAGTCGTAGTGTTTACACATATGATCTGAAGCTAGTCGAGAGGTTTACACCTATGATCTGAAGCTAGTCGTAGTGTTTACACCTATGATCTGAAGCTAGTCGTAGTGTTTAAACCTATGATCTGAAGCTAGTCGTAGTGTTTACACCTATGATCTAAAGCTAGTCGTAGTGTTTACACCTAAGATCTGAAGCTAGTCGTAGTGCTTACACCTATGATCTGAAGCTAGTCGTAGTGTTTACACCTATGATATGAAGCTAGTCGTAGTGTTTTCACCTATGATCTGAAGCTAGTCGAGAGGTTTACACCTATGTTCTGAAGCTAGTCGTAGTGTTTACACCTATGATCTGAAGCTAGTCGTAGTGTTTACACCTATGATATGAAGCTAGTCGCCGTGTTTACACCTATGATCTGAAGCTAGTCGAGAGGTTTACACCTATGATCTGAAGCTAGTCGTAGTGTTTACACCTATGATCTGAAGCTAGTCGTAGTGTTTACACCTATGATCTGAAGCTAGTCGTAGTGTTTACACCTATGATCTGAAGCTAGTCGAGAGGTTTACACCTATGTTCTGAAGCTAGTCGTAGTGTTTACACCTATGATCTAAAGCTAGTCGTAGTGTTTACACCTATGATATGAAGCTAGTCGCCGTGTTTACACCTATGATCTGAAGCTAGTCGAGAGGTTTACACCTATGATCTGAAGCTAGTCGAGAGGTTTACACCTATGATCTGAAGCTAGTCGTAGTGTTTACAACTATGATCTGAAGCTAGTCGTAGTGTTTACACCTATGATCTGAAGCTAGTCGTAGTGTTTACACCTATGATCTGAAGCTAGTCGTAGTGTTTACACCTATTATCTGAAGCTAGTCGTAGTGTTTACACCTATGATCTGAAGCTAGTCGAGAGGTTTACACCTATGATCTGAAGCTAGTCGTAGTGTTTACACCTATGATCTGAAGCTAGTCGAGAGGTTTACACCTATGATCTGAAGCTAGTCGTAGTGTTTACACCTATGATCTGAAGCTAGTCGTAGTGTTTACACCTATGATCTGAAGCTAGTCGAGAGGTTTACACCTATGATCTGAAGCTAGTCGTAGTGTTTACACCTATCATCTGAAGCTAGTCGTGAGTATTTACATCTATGATCTGAAGCTAGTCGTGAGTGTTTACACCTATGATCTGAAGCTAGTCGTAGTGCTTACACCTATGATCTGAAGCTAGTCGTAGTGTTTACACCTATGATCTGAAGCTAGTCGAGAGGTTTACACCTATGATCTGAAGCTAGTCGTAGTGTTTACACCTATCATCTGAAGCTAGTCGTAGTGCTTACACCTATGATCTGAAGCTAGTCGTAGTGTTTACACCTATGATATGAAGCTAGTCGAGAGGTTTACACCTATGATCTGAAGCTAGTCGAGAGGTTTACACCTATGTTCTGAAGCTAGTCGTAGTGTTTACACCTATGATCTGAAGCTAGTCGTAGTGTTTACACCTATGATATGAAGCTAGTCGCCGTGTTTACACCTATGATCTGAAGCTAGTCGAGAGGTTTACACCTATGATCTGAAGCTAGTCGTAGTGTTTACACCTATGATCTGAAGCTAGTCGTAGTGTTTACACCTATGATCTGAAGCTAGTCGAGAGGTTTACACCTATGATCTGAAGCTAGTCGAGAGGTTTACACCTATGATCTGAAGCTAGTCGTAGTGTTTACACCTATGATCTGAAGCTAGTCGAGAGGTTTACACCTATGATCTGAAGCTAGTCGTAGTGTTTACACCTTTCATCTGAAGCTAGTCGTAGTGCTTACACCTATGATCTGAAGCTAGTCGTAGTGTTTACACCTATGATATGAAGCTAGTCGTAGTGTTTTCACCTATGATCTGAAGCTAGTCGAGAGGTTTACACCTATGTTCTGAAGCTAGTCGTAGTGTTTACACCTATGATCTGAAGCTAGTCGTAGTGTTTACACCTATGATATGAAGCTAGTCGCCGTGTTTACACCTATGATCTGAAGCTAGTCGAGAGGTTTACACCTATGATCTGAAGCTAGTCGTAGTGTTTACACCTATGATCTGAAGCTAGTCGTAGTGTTTACACCTATGATCTGAAGCTAGTCGTAGTGTTTACACCTATGATCTGAAGCTAGTCGTAGTGTTTACACCTATGATCTGAAGCTAGTCGTAGTGTTTACACCTATGATCTGAAGCTAGTCGTAGTGTTTACACCTATGATCTGAAGCTAGTCGAGAGGTTTACACCTATGATCTGAAGCTAGTCGTAGTGTTTACACCTATGATCTGAAGCTAGTCGAGAGGTTTACACCTATGATCTGAAGCTAGTCGTAGTGTAACACCTTTCATCTGAAGTTAGTCGTAGTGCTTACACCTATGATCTGAAGCTAGTCGTAGTGTTTACACCTATGATATGAAGCTAGTCGAGAGGTTTACACCTATGTTCTGAAGCTAGTCGTAGTGTTTACACCTATGATCTGAAGCTAGTCGTAGTGTTTACACCTATGATCTGAAGCTAGTCGCCGTGTTTACACCTATGATCTGAAGCTAGTCGAGAGGTTTACACCTATGATCTGAAGCTAGTCGTAGTGTTTACACCTATGATCTGAAGCTAGTCGTAGTGTTTACACCTATGATCTGAAGCTAGTCGTAGTGTTTACACCTATGATCTGAAGCTAGTCGAGAGGTTTACACCTATGATCTGAAGCTAGTCGTAGTGTTTACACCTATGATCTGAAGCTAGTCGCCGTGTTTACACCTATGATCTGAAGCTAGTCGTAGTGTTTACACCTATGATCTGAAGCTAGTCGAGAGGTTTACACCTATGATCTGAAGCTAGTCGAGAGGTTTACACCTATGATCTGAAGCTAGTCGTAGTGTTTACACCTTTCATCTGAAGCTAGTCGTAGTGCTTACACCTATGATCTGAAGCTAGTCGTAGTGTTTACACCTATGATATGAAGCTAGTCGTAGTGTTTTCACCTATGATCTGAAGCTAGTCGAGAGGTTTACACCTATGTTCTGAAGCTAGTCGTAGTGTTTACACCTATGATCTGAAGCTAGTCGTAGTGTTTACACCTATGATATGAAGCTAGTCGCCGTGTTTACACCTATGATCTGAAGCTAGTCGAGAGGTTTACACCTATGATCTGAAGCTAGTCGTAGTGTTTACACCTATGATCTGAAGCTAGTCGTAGTGTTTACACCTATGATCTGAAGCTAGTCGTAGTGTTTACACCTATGATCTGAAGCTAGTCGTAGTGTTTACACCTATGATCTGAAGCTAGTCGTAGTGTTTACACCTATGATCTGAAGCTAGTCGTAGTGTTTACACCTATGATCTGAAGCTAGTCGAGAGGTTTACACCTATGATCTGAAGCTAGTCGTAGTGTTTACACCTATGATCTGAAGCTAGTCGAGAGGTTTACACCTATGATCTGAAGCTAGTCGTAGTGTAACACCTTTCATCTGAAGTTAGTCGTAGTGCTTACACCTATGATCTGAAGCTAGTCGTAGTGTTTACACCTATGATATGAAGCTAGTCGAGAGGTTTACACCTATGTTCTGAAGCTAGTCGTAGTGTTTACACCTATGATCTGAAGCTAGTCGTAGTGTTTACACCTATGATCTGAAGCTAGTCGCCGTGTTTACACCTATGATCTGAAGCTAGTCGAGAGGTTTACACCTATGATCTGAAGCTAGTCGTAGTGTTTACACCTATGATCTGAAGCTAGTCGTAGTGTTTACACCTATGATCTGAAGCTAGTCGTAGTGTTTACACCTATGATCTGAAGCTAGTCGAGAGGTTTACACCTATGATCTGAAGCTAGTCGTAGTGTTTACACCTATGATCTGAAGCTAGTCGTAGTGTTTACACCTATGATCTGAAGCTAGTCGTAGTGTTTACACCTATGATCTGAAGCTAGTCGAGAGGTTTACACCTATGATCTGAAGCTAGTCGAGAGGTTTACACCTATGATCTGAAGCTAGTCGTAGTGTTTACACCTTTCATCTGAAGCTAGTCGTAGTGCTTACACCTATGATCTGAAGCTAGTCGTAGTGTTTACACCTATGATATGAAGCTAGTCGTAGTGTTTTCACCTATGATCTGAAGCTAGTCGAGAGGTTTACACCTATGTTCTGAAGCTAGTCGTAGTGTTTACACCTATGATCTGAAGCTAGTCGTAGTGTTTACACCTATGATATGAAGCTAGTCGCCGTGTTTACACCTATGATCTGAAGCTAGTCGAGAGGTTTACACCTATGATCTGAAGCTAGTCGTAGTGTTTACACCTATGATCTGAAGCTAGTCGTAGTGTTTACACCTATGATCTGAAGCTAGTCGTAGTGTTTACACCTATGATCTGAAGCTAGTCGTAGTGTTTACACCTATGATCTGAAGCTAGTCGTAGTGTTTACACCTATGATCTGAAGCTAGTCGTAGTGTTTACACCTATGATCTGAAGCTAGTCGAGAGGTTTACACCTATGATCCTTAAGCTAGTCGAGAGGTTTACATCTATGATCTGAAGCTAGTCGTGAGTGTTTACACCTAAGATCTGAAGCTAGTCGTAGTGTTTACACCTATTATCTGAAGCTAGTCGAGAGGTTTACACCTATGATCTGAAGCTAGTCGTAGTGTTTACACCTATGATCTGAAGCTAGTCGAGAGGTTTACACCTATGATCTGAAGCTAGTCGTAGTGTTTACACATATGATCTGAAGCTAGTCGCCGTGTTTACACCTATGATCTGAAGCTAGTCGTAGTGTTTACACCTATGATCTGAAGCTAGTCGTAGTGTTTACACCTATGATATGAAGCTAGTCATAGTGTTTACACCTATGATCTGAAGCTGCGAAATGATTCGGTGGGCGGTCACTATGGTAGGTGGGGGTCCTTCTCTGGGACTTTCTCGCTAAGTATCTTTTGGGTCTTTCTCTCTAAGATTCTTTGAGACTTTCTCTCTGAAATTCTCTGTGTATCTTTGGAGCTTTCTCTAAGGTTTGGTCATTCTCTATATTTGCGCCCGTCATTCTATAAATATCTTTGGGTCGTTCTCTCTATCTTTTGGAAACATCTCTCTCTAAATTTGTTTAGATACTTTCTCACTCTGTAAGTAGAGATATTTGGTGCCGTGCGGCGTCAAAACGGCCAATGACAAAACGGCCCCGTCAAAACGACCCCGACAAATCGGCCCCGTCAAAAGGGCCAGCGACATACGGACCCCGTCATATAGGCTCCCGACAAATAGGCTCCCGTCATTTAGGCTACCGACAAATAGGCTCCCGTTATATAGGCTCCCGACAAAAGGGCTCCAGTCAATAAGGCTCCTGACAATTAGGCTCCCGTCATTTTGACTCCCGACATATAGGCTCCCGTCATTTAGTTTTTTCCACAAAACGGCCCCCGTCATTACGACTCCCGACAAATAGGCTCTCGCCATTTAGTTTCTCCACAAAACGGCCCCCGTCATTACGACTCCCGACAAATAGGCTAGCGTCATTTTGGCTCACGACAAAAAGGCTCCTGTCAATTTGGCTCCAGACAAAAGGACCACTGACACAGTGGCGTAGCTACCGTAAAGCTAGCGTAAGCAAGGCATAGGGGCCCAAGGCACATAGGGGCCCTTTTCCCTCATAAAAAATTAAAACTTTTACAATGTAATTTTAATATTTGTTACATATAAATAATTTTAAAAAAGAAAAAGGTTAAAAGTTCCAAAAAGCCCCCCCCCCCACCGTTTCGGCAGTGGGATTCAGTGTGTGTGTGTGTGTGTGGGTCAAACAGAGCCCAATCGTTATAATAACACTACAGGCGATATCACTTTGTCGTGCAAGACATTGAGAGAATCAGCCTATAAATAAACTTTTTAGCAGTAGTAGGCAAACATAATAATATAGTATAAATACATAATCAGGACATATAAAATACAAAATGTTGCCTTCAGAATATTTATATATTAAAAAATATCCATCGCAAGCAGAAGTTGATCTCTTCGTTTAACTCCTCTGTAGCCTAACGCAGAGGCGTAGCGAAGGCGAGACGGGGGGTGCGGACCGCAACGGATGACACCGTTTAGGGGGTGACACCAAAGGCAAAAAATTGCAAAATTTATAGAATGAAATGCCATTTTTCCAGATCCATTAGTTAAAGTTAAATAGACTTCTAAGTACAAATCGAAAATTATATCAAGAGGGGGGGGGGGGGGAGGGGGGGGGTGACACCACAACCTAAACGTAAACTATAAAGAAAACAATGCTACATCCAACTGTATTATAAACAGACTGTAGATAAACGTCGTTACTATTAAGTCTGCAGTGATTAAAGCTTAAACACGTACGTGAACCAGTAAGTGGCATATATATAAATTTTAGGCCTATGTAGGCCGACACACACACACACACACACACATGCATACATACATACATATATATATATATATATATATATATATATATATATATATATATATATATATATATATATATATATGGTTCCATGACAAATGATCTCAGGACAAATGATCTCAGACAAAATATCTCAGACAAAATATCTCACGGACAAATGATCCCAGGACAAATGATCTCAGGACAAATGATCTCAAGGACAAATGATTTCACGGACAAAAGATACCAGGACAAAATATATCAGGACAAAAGATATCATGGACAAATGATCTCAGACAAAATATCTCAGACAAAATATCTCACAGCAAAATTTATTAGTATGTACGATGATTTTAGTTGATTTGAACTTTTTTTTTAATTGACCGTCAATATGGTTTTGTTTACTCTTTTTACGCATAATAACTGATTGTTATAAAATGAATTTGTTGAACTTAACAAACAAATGTGAATGGGCCTTCAGGTTCGTAACTTAAAAGTGTTGTTTTTACTGCATCATTAACACAAAAATAAAGTTTACGTTACTTTGCTGGCAGGTACATCGTTCTGATCACACATTTCCAATACTATGTGATCATGTATTGTGTGAACTTTCGGTGTAGCCTACATGTTTTACTTGACATTTCCAAATCTCTTTGCCTGCTGCTCTACTTATGGCTTTTATAAACAGAAATTCATTAGAAACTAATGCCCTATAGCCTATCTTCGAGGTAACGAAAGAGGCCTTAGCCGAGTAAGCACCAATAATACTGCTTTGTTCGTATGTACGCTACGACAAACTTCGCTTCGCGATGACCGCTGTCGTTTAAATAAGCATTTGTCACCTGATCACTAAGGTGTGACCGACGCATACAAATTGACTTTGGATGCTAGATGTATTGTCCATGGAGGGCGGATGTCTTTCCAATAAGACATATCTCTGCCATCAAAGTGAGCGGCTACCTTGATTCGAAGGTGTGTCGTTATTGTTATTTCATTCCCTTTGATCTAGTTTCGTCCACCTAACGTGGTAGGATTGTTTCATGTTTGTCAAGCACACCTTCACTATCTATCGAAGCAAATTCTTTAATCTTCGCATACTATATTAGTAATCTTATTTTAAAAATGCTTAGTACAATATGGCAAATTTATACGGCAAACATTTTTTACAATTATTATATAGTCCTATAAACAATATTAAACACAGTAAACAAAACCATATGACAGTCAATAAAAAAAATGTTCAGATCAACTAAAATTATCCAATACATTTTTAAAATTTTGCTGTGAGATATTTTGTCTGAGATATTTTGTCTGAGATCATTTGTCCATGATATCTTTTGTCCTGATATATTTTGTCCTGGTATCTTTTGTCCGTGAGATCATTTGTCCTTGAGATCATTTGACCTGAGATCATTTGTCCTGAGATCATTTGTCCGTGAGATATTTTGTCTGAGATATTTTGTCTGAGATCATTTGTCCTGAGATCATTTGTCCTGTCACCATATATATATATATATATATATATATATATATATATATATATATATATATATATATATATATATATATATATATATATATATATATATGCTTTGTTTCCTGGGAGGGGGTGACAATACGAAGTGCTGCACCGGGTGACACCCGACCTAGCGACGCCACTGGCCTAACGGCTGACGAAGGGGCCCACTGATAATTTTTGCATAGGGTCCCAAAAATCCTAGCTACGCCACTGCACTGACAATACCGTTTCTGTAGAGACTAAGTCTCCCGGTCATTGAATATGACACCTGCCAGTGGTACCCCTTCATCAATATTCTTTAGTTAGCTTATCCAACACTCTTATTTAATACAACGTATGCATCTCAAATTCGGCAGGCCTTATTTTTATATTAGTTTATCTATTATAAAATATAGTATGTTTAATTTAGGGGTCATCTATCTATGACATCCATAATTGAGTCGGTTATAGGCTGTTCCAACTCAGTGTGTGGGGAGAAGGGTTCACGCTGTACCTTCCTAACTGCAGTATGCTTGTAGGTTATCAAAACAAAATGCTGTTATCATGTAAACATCAGGTATATCATACATTTACACTTCTGTGTCCTGAGCCTATTTGTCAAGGGTTAATATGTCGGGAGTCCATTTGTCGGGAGCCTAAATATCGGGAGCCCATTTGTCGGGAGCCTATATGTCGCAAGTCAATATGACGGGAGCCCATTTGACGGGAGCCAATAAGTCGGGGCCCTTTTGACGGGGCTATTTTGACTGGGTCGTTTTGTCGGGGGTCGATTTGACGGGGTCAAATTAACGGGGCCGTTTTGACGGGGCCGATTTGTCCCAGGCCGTTTTGACAGGGCACCATTTGGTGCATTCTCTATTGTTTAGTCGCTCTCTGATTATGTTTGGGTCTTTCTCTTTCTCTCTCTCACTCTCTCTCTCTCTCTCTCTCTCTGTTTGGGATCTTCTCTATCTAACTAAGTATGAGACATTCTCTCTCCTCTGTCTGAGACCTTCCCTCTAGTTATCGTCCTTTGCTCTCTATCTCTGGAGCTTCTCTCTCTCTTAGTAGTCTTAGTGTCTTAAGAACCTTCCTCCGTCTAATTTAATGTTTAATCTTTCTTTTCTCCGGGTCTTCTTGGGACCTTCTTTACCAGCCCTGCCTTTGTGATTCTCTCTCTCTCTTTCTCTCTCTCTCTCTCTCTCTCTCTCTCTCTCTCTCTCTCTCTCTTTCTCACTTCCGAGTGTCTCTTGCCTTTTTCCCTCTTTACCATTTCTTGTTCGAACATCTCTTTTCTCAAAGTCTCTTTGAAATTAAAATCTGTCTCTGTAATAGTCTGTAATTCGGAAAACATCGTGTGGTCTACCCTGTACAATGGTGATAAATATACACATTTATTTTGACCATGAATTCTAACTAAACCTGAATATACCCGAACTGATCGTTATAATGTTTATAAAACAATATTAAATATTGAATTTGAATATATTGCCTAGGAATGGAGTGATGAAGTTGCGCACAGTGCATTCAAGCATGCTGAAAATTGTGATTTTCAGCACAGTTCTAACGAAATGCGTTCAAATGTAGCGGGTTATAAAAGAGTTGGTGAAAATCTGCATGTTCGCAATGAAGACTGTAAGTTGTTGTAACGTGTCTTAACATTGCGTTTCTTCTTCCATGGTCAAGGGAATTGTATTTTTCCTGCACGGAACATCTTATGTGGTGGATGGGAGAATAGATGGAAGAATGGATGGCTGCACGGATGGACGGAAAGACGCACGGATGGACGGATGGTCGGATTGTTGGATGGTCGGATTGTTGGATGGTCGGATGGTCGGATTGTTGGATGGTCGGATGGTCGGATTGTTGGATGGTCGGATGGTCGGATTGTTGGATGGTCGGATGGTCGGATTGTTGGATGGTTGGATGGTCGGATTGTTGGATGGTCGGATGGTCGGATTGTTGGATGGTCGGATGGTCGGATTGTTGGATGGTCGGATGGTCGGATTGTTGGATGGTCGGATTGTTGGATGGTCGGATGGACGAATGGATGGCTGCACGAATGACGGATGGACGGATAGACCAATGGATGGCTGAACAGATGGTTGGATCGTCGGATGGACGGAAGGACGCATGAATGGATTGATGGATGGGTGGACGGATGGGTGGACGGATGGATGGATGGATGGATGGATGGATGGATGAATGGATGGATGGATGGATGGGTGGATGGATGGATGGATGGATGGATGGATGGATGGATGGATGGATGGATGGATGGATGGATGGATGGATGGATGGATGGATGGATGGATGGATGGATGGATGGATGGATGGATGGATGGATGGATGGATGGATGGATGGATGGATGGATGGATGGATGGATGGATGGATGGATGGATGGATGGATGGATGAATGGATGGATGGATGGATGGGTGGATGGGTGGGTGGATGGGTGGATGGGTGGATGGATGGATGGATGGATGGGTGGATGGGTGGATGGGTGGATGGGTGGATGGATGGATGGATGGATGGATGGATGGATGGATGGATGGATGGATGGATGGATGGATGGATGGATGGATGGATGGATGGATGGATGGAAGGATGGATGGATGGATGGATGGATGGATGGATGGATGGATGGATGGATGGATGGATGGATGGATGGATGGATGGATGGATGGATGGATGGATGGATGGATGGATGGATGGATGGATGGATGGATGGATGGATGGATCGATGGATGGATGGATGGATGGATGGATGGATGGATGGATGGATGGATGGATGGATGGATGGATGGATGGATGGATGGATGGATGGATGGATGGATGGATGGATGGATGGATGGATGGATGGATGGATGGATGGATGGATGGATGGATGGATGGATGGATGGATGGATGGATGGATGGATGGATGGATGGATGGATGGATGGATGGATGGATGGATGGATGGATGGATGGATGGATGGATGGATGGATGGATGGATGGATGGATGGCTGGGTGGATGGGTGGGTAGGTGGATGGATGGGTGGGTGGGTTTGGGTGGGTGGGTTTGGGTGGGTGGATGGATGGATGGATGGATGAGTGGGTAGGTGGGTGGAAAGGCTTCGTGGATTGTTAATAGGATGATTTGGTTCATTGTTAGGTGCGTGATTGGATGAGTTTTATTCTTTAAAAAAAACACGTAAATATCCCTTTCAAAAAAAATATTTCTATTTAATGTGACTATAGCTATCGAAGACATCGGTATTGTCATTGACGCGTTCAACGCTGAAGAACCTGATTGGGATTTCGATTCGATGAGATGTCTAGGAGCCATGTGTGGACATTACACTCAGGTAAAGTTGGACTAGCACGTTGAAATGTGTCGGACACATGTGTGGACATTACACTCAGGTAAAGTTGGACTAGCACGTTGAAATGTGTCGGACACTTGCGGTGTACCCTGTAATTATATCTGATAAATGGCCGATGAAGTTTCACCGAAATTACATGTGGAATTTCGATGCTACACATTTGATTTTAAGGTAACTATCCCAGTTGAAAATAAAGTGGCTTTTCAATTTTTACTCCGTGGTCCTTGTTATGCGATTCCAAAGATCACGAGTATTAATTGAAGTTATCGTTTGAGATGTATCCGTTTTTATGTTTCACTGTGTTACATTGTGTATATATTGTTTGATTATGGATTTTAAAATGTAAGCTCCTCAATTTTCATAGAGGTATAGGTGTGACCTCACCACGATAACATATAACGACTCGCCACCATTTTTTATGTATACTCACGTTATATATATATATATTTATATATATATATATATATATATATATATATATATATATATATATATATATATATATATGTATGTATATATATGTATATATATATATATATATATATATATATATATATATATATATATATATATATATATATATATATATATATATATATATATATATATATACTTATATCTGTTTGTGTGTGTATACTCACATTTACACACATATGTATATATAAATATATATATACTAGCTGTATCCCGTGCTCCGCCACGGTAAATCATTTTTAAATATACCAACTTTGGAACAGAACAAAACTAAACACAACACAAACGAACAAACGCAAAAAAAAAACAACGAAAAAACGAACACAACACTCATAACATAAACACAATTTAAATGCAATCATAAAGGCATATTGCTCACAGTCTAGCCCGTAGCGCCAAATCGCGCCCTTTCCGAGTCCCGGCGGACGCGTCTGACACAGTGAATGACTACAAAACAGAGGCGTTGCGACCCTTTCCGGCGCCCGGGGACAAACTTTCGATTTGACCCTCCCTCAAACTTACGATTTGCACCCCCTCCCCTCAAAATTTCAATTTCCACCCATCCCCTCAGACTTTCGATTTGCACCACTTTTGATTTGAAATTCCCCCCGCTCAAACTTTTGATTTGCACCCCCTCAAACTTTCGATTTGCACCCTACCCCCCTCCCCCTCCCTAAAACTTTCGATTTCCACCCCCCCCCCCCCTAGCTACGCCTCTCTTATAAAACCCCAGCTTGTCCGCAAACCGAAAGATAGAATAATAATAAATAATATACAATAAAAAAATAGGCAATATCTATAATATCCGTGTTTACCTACCATATATCACTTTATCAATTCACGCATTTTTTTCCCAGTATTTTAATTTTAAAAATTTACAATTGAGTTTCATAACTAAAACCATTGCGCACCCAATGTCTATAATGGTGCGGAATAGTTGATTAAAAATTATAATTAGTAAACAGTACATTCAGTGAATAAAAAGAAATAAAAGATAGCCTTTTATCAATCAATGTGCTAATAATAATATTCCAACAATAATGTACTCTTACACGTCAGCATAATTTGCATTCACATTTTGCTAATTATATTATTCCAACAATTATTCCGTCTTGCAGATTTTGCATTCACATTTTTAGCGTGAGTTCAATTTATCTTTGAATTACCTCCATTGGCAAAATTACTAAGCAGTTTAATTAGATTTTTCTACCCTACTGTTATTATGTTAAGAAAATGTATCCACTTTTTCTGGGAATATTAAAGAAAACTATATTTGACATTGATCCTTTTAATATGTTTTAGCAATGTGCGTGTATTTAATATTCTCTTTACGTTATGCAAAATTGTACAAACAGTGGAAATTATAAAATAGCTCTATGCCGCTATATAAACAAACCCTACTCTACTACTTATAATAAGACACTGCGGTGCACTGAAAAGCACAGCATGGTGCGTAGTTTACTTTTATAGTCCCAAAATCTATAGCGATGACGGACGGACGGACGGACGGAAGGAAGGAAGGAAGGACAGACACAGCACGCTTATATTATAGACTAGCTGTATCCCGTGCTCCGCCACGGTAAATCATTTTTAAATATACCAACTTTGGAACAGAACAAAACTAAACACAACACAAACGAAGGAACGAAAAAAAAAAAAAAAAAAAAAAAAACGAAAAAACGAACACAACACTCATAACATAAACACAATTTAAATGCAATCAGAAAGGCATAGTGCTCACAGTCTAGCCCGTAGCGCCAAATCGCGCCCTTTCCGAGTCCCGGCGGACGCGTCTGACACAGTGAATGACTACAAAACAGAGGCCTAGCGACCCTTTCCGGCGCCCGGGGACAAACTTTCGATTTGACCCTCCCTCAAACTTACGATTTGCACCCCCTCCCCTCAAAATTTCAATTTCCACCCCACCCCCTTAAACTTTTGATTTGCATTCCCCTCAGACTTTCGATTTGCACCACTTTTGATTTGAAATTCCCCCCCGCTCAAACTTTTGATTTGCACCCCCTAAAACTTTCGATTTGCACCCTACCCCCCCTCCCCCTCCGTAAAACTTTCGATTTCCAACCCCCCCCCCCCCCCTAGCTACGCCTCTCTTATAAAACCCCAGCTTGTCCGCAAACCGAAAGATAGAATAATAATAAATAATATACAATAAAAAAATAGGCAATATCTATAATATCCGTGTTTACCTACCATATATCACTTTATCAATTCACGCATTTTTTTCCCAGTATTTTAATTTTAAAAATTTACAATTGAGTTTCATAACTAAAACCATTGCGCACCCAATGTCTATAATGGTGCGGAATAGTTGATTAAAAATTAGAAGTAGTAAACAGTACATTCAGTGAATACAATAAATAAAAGATTGCCTTGTATCAATCCATGCTAATTATAATTTTCCAACAATCCGCATCCGCACAATTTGCATTCACATTTTGCTAATTATATTATTTCAACACTAATTCCTTCTAAGAGGTCCGTAGATTTGCATTCACATTTTTTTATTAGCGTGAGTTTAATTTATTTTTAAATTACCTCCCTTTTCATAATTAGAAAGAGTTAAATTAATTTGATTTTTCTACCCTACTGTTATTATGTTATGAAAATCTATCCAATTTTTCTAGGAATATAAAGTAAAATGATATTTGACATTGATCTTTTTAATCTGTTTTAGCAAAGTGCAAATATTTAATATGTTCATAACGTTATGCAAAAAATTAAACACAGTGGCATTTATAAAATAGCTCTATGCCGCTATATAAACAAACCCTACTCTATTACTTATAATAAGACACTGCGGTGCACTGAAAAGCACAGCATGGTGCGTAGTTTACTTTTATAGTCCCAAAATCTATAGCGATGACGGACGGACGGACGGACAGAAGGAAGGAAGGACAAGCACAGCCCGCTTATATTATAGATATATATATACTAGCTGCATCCCGTGCTCCGCCACGGTAAATCTTTTTTAAATGTACCAACTTTGGAACAGAACAAAACAAACAAAAACATAACACAAACACAAACAAAACACAACCACAACACAACACAACCACAACACAACAAAACAAACAAAAACATAACACAAACACAAACAAAACACAATCACAACACAACACAACACAACCACAACACAACCACAAACACAACCACAACACAACCACAACATAACCACAACACAACCACAACACAACACAACCACAACACAACCACAACATAACACAACCACAACACAACCACAATACAACCACAACACAACACAACCACAACACAACCACAACACAACCACAACCACAACACAACCACAACACAACACAACCACAACACAACCACAACACAACCACAACAATAGAATCACCAACGAACAACACGCTTTTATTAGGCATCCGCGCCCAGAGAGAGCCTTTCCAGCATTCTCTATACTATAATTCTAAATTTTCACCATCTGTTAACACCGAAAAACAAAAACAAAAAAATAGTGATTTTGAGAGATCATAGTCTAATTAGAAAATAGTGTAAATAATCTTAACATTTTTTCTATTTTACTTAACATATAATAATCAATGTGGAAGTAATAAAAAAAATTAACTTAATTTATTGAGAGTGAGTTAAATATTTAAAAAAAACATTTTCCCATACGTCCGCGCTCAGAGAGAGCCTTTCCATTATTCTCAAAAAGTCTAATTTCACCATCTGTTTTCGTAACACCGAAAAACAAAAGCAAAAAGATAGTGATTTTAGAGAAATCATAGACTAATTAGAAAAAAATAATAAATAATATAAATAATCTTAACATTTTTCTCTTTTAATTATGAACATTAACATATACTAATCAATGCGGTAGTAATACAAAAAAGATTAACTTAAATTATTGTTGAGTTAAATATATTTTCAAATTACCTCCCTTGAAAAAAATTACCACAAAAAAAGTTGAATTAATTAGTTTTTTCGACCTACTTTTATGGAAATGTATCCATTTATTCTAGGAATATAAACTAAAATGATATTTGACATTGATCTTTTTAATATGTTTTAGCAATGTGCAAATATTTAATATTTTCATAACGTTATGCAAAAAAGTAAACACAGTGTCATTTATAAAATAGCTCTATGCCGCTATATAAACAAACCCTACTCTAATACTAATAATAAGACACTGCGGTGCACTGAAAAGCACAGCATGGTGCGTAGTTTACTTTTATAGTCCCAAAATCTATAGCGATGACGGACGGAAGGAAGGAAGGACACGCTCAGCCCGCTTATATTATAGATATATATATATATATATATATATATATATATATATATATATATATATATATATATATATATATATATATATATATTTATCTATTTATCTATTTATTATTTATTTATCAGGTTGTTTGGCCAAAGACAGAGGTTGTCGGATGTGCGGCGAAGTGGTGTGAAAACACGCTACGTTCAGTTCCTGACTATACTTCAGGCAGTTTGTATGTTTGCCAGTATGGACCCATGTAAGACTTGCCTCGTAATTCATGTGTTCCTCAATTTGAGCCTTTTGTATTGCTCTCAGTGTTTCTTCCTGGTTCTTTCATATTGGTAATGTTACTTCCGGTAAGATGTGAAATATTTGGGAATAATGGGGGAGGGATATTTGCGTTAGTTGGGGAGTGATGATGTGACCCACGACCCATTGATTGATGATGTGACCCACGACCCATTGATTGATGATGTGACCCATTGATTGATGATGTGACCCACGACCCATTGATTGATGATGTGACCCACGACCCAATGATTGATGATGTGACCCACGACCCATTGATTGATGATGTGACACACGACCCATTGATTGATGATGTGACACACGACCCATTGATTGATGATGTGACACACGACCCATTGATTGATGATCCCACGACCCACTGATTGATGATGTGACCCATGACCCATTGATTGATGATGTAACCCACGACCAATTGATTGATGATGTGACCCACGACCCATTGATTGATGATCCCACGACCCACTGATTAATGATGTGACCCATTAATTGATTATGTGACCCATTAATTGAGAATTTGTGACCCATTGATTGATGATGTGACGTGACCTACGACCCATTGATTGATGATGTGACCCAAGACCCATTGATTGATGATGTGACCCACGACCCATAGATTAACTCTTGTTTATTTTTACAGGGGAAACATAAATTTGCAAACAACCCCAATTTATAAAAAGGGGCCGGCGTGTTCAGAGTGTCCGGAGAATTTCCCTCACTGTAATGATCAAATGTGTAGTAAGTCTGATTTCATTTCTATTGTGTGTACCCTCTACTCGCCCTCACTGTAATGATCTAATGTGTAGTAAGTCTGATTTCATTTCTATTGTGTGTACCCTCTACTCGCCCTCACTGTAATGATCAAATGTGTAGTAAGTCTGATTTCATTTCTATTGTGTGTACCCTCTACTCGCCTTCACTGTAATGATCAAATGTGTAGTAAGTCTGATTTCATTTCTATTGTGTGTACCCTCTACTCGCCTTCACTGTAATGATCAAATGTGTACTAAGTCTGATTTCATTTCTATTGTGTGTACCCTCTACTCGCCTTCACTGTAATGATCAAATGTGTAGTAAGTCTGATTTCATTTCTATTGTGTGTACCCTCTACTCGCCTTCACTGTAATGATCAAATGTGTAGTAAGTCTGATTTCATTTCTATTGTGTGTACTCTCTACTCGCCCTCAGTGTAATGATCTAATGTGTAGTAAGTCTGATTTCATTTCTATTGTGTGTACCCTCTACTCGCCTTCACTGTAATGATCAAATGTGTAGTAAGTCTGATTTCATTTCTATTGTGTGTACCCTCTATTCATACGTTTTTAGACCGATTGAATGTACACTCCATTCAAACGTTTTCAGTTCTATTGAATTTCAGATTTTTATAATATAGGATTATAGGTCTACCAATGTCTTAAACGATATGATTACTAACCCTATACTAAATGCTTCCGAAAATCTAAAGGATTGTGTTATAAGTAGCACGCACACATCCATTCGAATCACTAAGCTAAAAAAAATGTGTTTTAAAGTTTAAATGGTTAACTTAACCAACGTCACGCCAGAATTGATGATGAAATCAGTTTCCATTGCAGACGTCCCACCACATAGTAGTTTAATTTCACCAATTCGGACTGTGAGGTTTTTACTAGTTTTAAAAATTAGCAGTAACACACTAATGGAGCGTGGTATGGCATTAGGTTCTGGCATTCTATAGAATGTCTTGCCATCCACCCAGAAATTGATCATGTATCTACTCACTCATACACTCACCCAGTGGCGTAGGCAGGGGGGGGGTTATAACCCCTCCCATGGACCCCGACACCTATATATATATAGTCATATATATATATATATATATATATATATATATATATATATATATATATATATATATATATATATATATATATATATATATATATATATATATATATATATATATATATGATTATATACGTATGAAACATTTTTGAACCCCTCCCATGACCAATTCCTGGCTACGCCACTGCACTCACCCATATAATGAGCTAGCGTAAGATTGTAAAAGATGTTTGAAATAATTGACAGGTAAAGTCGCAGGTCCATCTGGAGCCATCAGAGTCTCACATTCTACAGCCCTGGTTCTGGGCGTGTTGTTGGGTCGCTTCCTTCTATAGAAATGCTTGAAACCGACGGACCCATCGTTGGAGCGGGGGAAAATCAGCAACACCTAGTCGTCTTGTTGAGTTCCGATTCTTTTGTTACATGAACTTTAAACAAAATTTATTAAACTTATGTTTCTTTAAAATAGTATGGATTTTACAAACAATATAGGTTCGAATAAGCTTTTCGGCCATTGTACTGTCTATTAAATTATGTGAATATTTTAGCGTGTTGTGTTAGATCTATGTCATGATTTAAAATCAGCAACACCTAGTCGTCTTGTTGAGTTCCGATTCTTTTGTTAAATGAACTTTAAAAAAAAAAATTATTAAACTTATGTTTCTTTAAAATAGTATGGATTTTACAAACAATATAGGTTCGAATAAGCTTTTCGGCCATTGTACTGTCTATTAAATTATGTGAATATTTTAGCGTGTTGTGTTAGATCTATGTCATGATTTAAAATCAGCAACACCTAGTCGTCTTGTTGAGTTCCGATTCTTTTGTTACATGAACTTTAAAAAAAAATTATTAAACTTATGTTTCTTTAAAATAGTATGGATTTTACAAACAATATAGGTTCGAATAAGCTTTTCGGCCATTGTACTGTCTATTAAATTATGTGAATATTTTAGCGTGTTGTGTTAGATCTATGTCATGATTTAAAATCAGCAACACCTAGTCGTCTTGTTGAGTTCCGATTCTTTTGTTAAATGAACTTTAAAAAAAAAAATTATTAAACTTATGTTTCTTTAAAATAGTATGGATTTTACAAACAATATAGGTTCGAATAAGCTTTTCGGCCATTGTACTGTCTATTAAATTATGTGAATATTTTAGCGTGTTGTGTTAGATCTATGTCATGATTTAAAATCAGCAACACCTAGTCGTCTTGTTGAGTTCCGATTCTTTTGTTAAATGAACTTTAAAAAAAAAATTATTAAACTTATGTTTCTTTAAAATAGTATGGATTTTACAAACAATATAGGTTCGAATAAGCTTTTCGGCCATTGTACTGTCTATTAAATTATGTGAATATTTTAGCGTGTTGTGTTAGATCTATGTCATGATTTCAAGAAATCTTGAGTGGGTGGCGTTAGCCCCAGGGTGAAAGCATCTTGTTTGTGGTGCGATTGGTCTACGGTCATAGATCTGTTTTGTGGGGCATTGGTCAAAACATCAAGTTTGCAGGGCATTTTGTCTAGGGTCAAAGATCTGTTTTGTGGGGCATTGGTCAAGACATCAAGTTTGCAGGGCATTTTGTCAAGGGTCAAAGATCTGTTTTAGGAGGCATTGGTCAAAACATCAAGTTTGCAGGGCATTTTGTCTAGGGTCAAATATCTGTTTTGTGGGGCATTGGTCAAGACATCAAGTTTGCAGGGCATTTTGTCTAGGGTCAAAGATCTGTTTTGTGGGGCATTGGTCAAGACATCAAGTTTGCAGGGCATTTTGTCAAGGGTCAAAGATCTGTTTTGTGGGGCATTGGTCAAAACATCAAGTTTGCAGGGCATTTTGTCTAGGGTCAAAGATCTGTTTTGTGGGGCATTGGTCAAAACATCAAGTTTGCAGGGCATTTTGTCAAGGGTCAAAGATCTGTTTTAGGAGGCATTGGTCAAAACATCAAGTTTGCATGGCATTTTGTCTAGGGTCAAAGATCTGTTTTGTGGGGCATTGGTCAAGACATCAAGTTTGCAGGGCATTTTGTCTAGGGTCAAAGATGTTTTGGTAGGCATTGGTCAAAACATCAAGTTTGCAGGGCATTTTGTCTGGGGTCAAAGATCTGTTTTGGGAGGTATTGGTCAAAACATCAAGTTTGCAGGGCATTTTGTCTGGGGTCAAAGATCTATTTTGTGGGGCATTGGTCAAAACATCAAGTTTGCATGGCATTTTGTCTAGGGTCAAAGATCTGTTTTAGGAGGCATTGGTCAAAACATCAAGTTTGCATGGCATTTTGTCTAGGGTCAAATATCTGTTTTGTGGGGCATTGGTCAAAACATCAAGTTTGCAGGGCATTTTGTCTGGGGTCAAAGATATGTTTTAGGAGGCATTGGTCAAAACATCAAGTTTGCATGTCATTTTGTCTTGGGTCAAAGATCTGTTTTGTGGGGCATTGGTCAAAACATCAAGTTTGCAGGGCATTTTGTCTGGGGTCAAAGATATGTTTTGGGAGGCATTGGTCAAAACATCAAGTTTGCAGGGCATTTTGTCTAGGGTCAAAAATGTTTTGGTAGGCATTGGTCAAAACATCAAGTTTGCAGGGCATTTTGTCTGGGGTCAAAGATCTGTTTTGTGGGGCATTGGTCAAAACATCAAGTTTGCATGGCATTTTGTCTAGGGTCAAAGATCTGTTTTAGGAGGCATTGGTCAAAACATCAAGTTTGCAGGGAATTTTGTCTAGGGTCAAAGATCTGTTTTGTGGGGCATTGGTCAAGACATCAAGTTTGCAGGGCATTTTGTCAAGGGTCAAAGATCTGTTTTGGGAGGCATTGGTCAAAACATCAAGTTTGCAGGGCATTTTGTCTGGGGTCAAAGATATGTTTTGGGAGGCATTGGTCAAAACATCAAGTTTGCAGGGCATTTTGTCTGGGGTCAAAGATCTGTTTTGTGGGGCATTGGTCCCTGTGACAAGGCATTTGATTTCAGCCTAAGATGACCTACATGGTGCCTGCCCACAACTGCCAACAACTAGATAGCAGCATTCAAAACTTGACAAGCCTTGATGTGCCTGGTACTTTTCATAACATGTCTTCATTATCTTTTCCTGTTCGTGCCCTAGACACATGGGGCAGATAAAGTAGAGCTCATCTGTTTCAATGACTTCGGCATACAAGAAAATAGTGTGGTCAGCACTATGCCAAGCTACGTTGTTTTCCCAATCGTGATTTAGGTACCCATTATAGCTGGGTAGTCTCAGGGTCGTCCTAAAGACTCAGACTAGGATCCAAACTCGAGACTTTTGGGTTAGCAGTCATAAGCTCTACTGCTCTGCCATGTCAAGTTTAAATATACATTTTTTTAAAAGGCTTGATTAAAAAAATGTTAGTTACAAGCTATTTATATTTAAAAAGTTTGAAAAAGATAACTAAAGCGATTAAGCAATACTGAAGCGTTGTTGTATGATACTGCATTAAAATGCTTATAAAGAAAGAGCGTATTTCTTTAGTAATCAACTTTGAACACTTAAGCAATCAACTAATGGGACACACAAACAGCAGTCAGTCTAAATACAAAACAATCTGGACACAAAGATTTTAAGAATGTAAAATGATGGTTTTATGATATTCAATCAAAATGTTAAAATTCAAAATGACATGAGCACACTGTCACAAATAGCTGTAACTAAATGAGCACATATACAAGAAGCTGTAAGCTGTCGCTTGAGGTGTCCAAGGGTTTCTATCCTAACCCACCCATTTACAACACTAAGTACAAGTCTCAACTCTGGCTTTGACAAAGTAGTGCTCTTAGTTTGGTCAACATTTACTGTTTTTTTACAAATTCTTAAATATAGTTTAATTAGACAAACATTCAAAAGTTATATAGTTTAACTAGACATACATTCAAACTTAATTACAGTTTAATTAGACAGACATCAAAACTTAATTTACATTTTAATTAAACAGACATCAAATGTTAATTACAGTTTCACTTGATAGACATCAAAATGTAATTTAAGTTTGACTTATAATGCAAAGTTTGAGGTTCAAAGGGGAAACTTATTTTACCTTTTTAAACGTTTCTTATTAAATATTAATAAGGCTGTTGTGTAAACTAAACATATTTTTAAAACATATTTTGATAAAATCTTGTAATTACTCCATACCACAGCATAGTATTGACAGAAATAAAACATTGTACACATTTGAAACAAACAGTCTAAAAACTAGCATCCATAGTTCTAATATGTGTAACCAAAAAGCCCAACTTGTGTTATCGTATCTCAACACCCAACTTAGAGGCGGCATCTGATTCTATTTGCTTGTGGACAGCGTTCACTTCCTCCTGAGTCAGAGTTTTCTCCATGTGACGGTAGGTGATGCGGTAACAATGACTGCTGCGCTTTGTTTTAGGGTGGGTGAACTCATCTATCAACTCCACCTGATGGGCAGAGGAAATCATTAAAACAATAGAATTTGTCATAAATATATCATGGGATTGCTAACCCGAAAGTCTCAAGTTCGAATCAGGGTTCAATTCAATAGAAGTTCCCTGAGTCCACTAAGCTCAGATGGCTATCTAACATACATTAGGGAAAGTAAAGGTGGCTGGGCATAATGCTGACCACACTATCACTTTTAGCCGAGTTCACAGAAATTGGTGAGCTCTACTTCACTTGCCCCATGGACCATTAGGTTTGAAAAGGGAACTATCCTTTAAATATATTAGATAGATTATTTAGCTGATAATATCTCAATACAAAATAGATTTATTTTCACTTGGGTATGTTATGAATGTATTAGATGGATTTTTATAAATAGAGGGTGTTTTAAACAATAACTTAAGTTTAGAGTAGTCCCACTTTTTGTTTATCTATATATATAATTCTCTTCTGGGAGACGCTAGAAAACAAGCTGCAAAAAGTGCTCCCTACCTCCCCACCCCTACATGATCTGGTGAGCTGTGGTTCACTCTAAATGTTTACAAACAGATCAGGGGTTTAGTGACGACTATTAGGGGCAGATAATTTAGTTTGAAATGATTTTAAACATAGGGGGGGGGGGGAACTAAGTGGAGTTTACTTTAACTGAGGGGGGGGGAGGGGGGAAGGAGGGGGGGTTATCGTCCTTAACGAGCTACTTATAGTGTTTTAAAGAAATATTTTCAGTGGCAGCGTTGGTAGTGTCGAATCCACAAATTATGAATAACTGAAAAGTAGAAAAAAAACAACAACTAAATAGCGGCGTATGATATGCCGCGGGTCGGCTCATATGCATTAACTTTCAAACGCTGTGTTGTAATTTGTAAATTTCCAACCATGGGTACAACACACAACATAACACAGGGTAAGTTGAGTTTGAGCTGGTATTTTTGTAAGACATACCATTGTCCAATTCAGTTGGAGCTAAAATTTATATCAGTAGAAAGCAGACTTGAAAAAAAAGATATCAAGCAACAAACAGAAGAAAAGAAAATATTTGCCTACAATAAATCAGCAATGATAAGAAAATAAAAACAGAAAAAATGCATTAAACGACAAGATTTATTCCATTGATTTATGCATAAAAAAGTAACTTAAAAATTCTTTTCCTAATACAAGAAACAAAAGCTATGTGTTAACTTCTGGAGACAACATGAAACCCTCACCTGCTCAATTAAGTCTTCGCTGACAGACCTAACCAGGTCATAGAAATCATTGGATGAAAAGTTCTGCGGGATCCAAAATGAGATGTCGTTAACACACTGTGGGTACTTGCTCACCGGCTGGACAGGAATCAGGAGTAAAATAACAGGAAATTATTGCATTCCTTTTCAAAATTCTATTCAAGAATTATTTCAAAAGTTGTTAATCAAATTTGTAGATCTACGTTTCATTAATATGCAACACAAGTTTCCAACACTGATGCAAGCAAATTTGAAACATCCTACACATGATTAATTTCATTAGCACAATATGAAACACAGAAGTGTTAATTAGATGCTATAGCTAACAGATGTCCTGAAGCCAGTCATATATTTTCATTATGTTAAGATATAACCTATTTCTGATCTCAATACAATCCCACTGTGTATGTTATGATATCTCTTTCGGAACAAATCAAACCATATATGATACACATTATTTAAGCGAATCACACTCTTATAGTTATACCTTAATGGAACAAAGGTTAAATATGCCACTAAGTCAAATCCCACATTATGTTTTCCTCTTCTTCTTCTTCGTTCTTAATTATTAGTGTTGAAGGGGATCGAGATTTATCTGCCAGTGCGTTTGAACTCGAGACTTTGTTCGAATTTATCAACCATGAGCTTTTTGCTGACTCGACCACGCCTCCAACACAATTAAGCGTTACGTGTCAACTGGTTATGCACCATTGAGGCCATTGACTCAGATTTCAGCCTGCTTTTCTTTTTGGATTTGCTTCCATAGCCTTTGTCTAACCAAGAACAAACTACAAGGCAGCAGTTGTTTGATTTTGGAGTTGTCTCTCCTAGAAGAGTGGCTGTCCCCAGCTAACGAGCCTCATCTGCCCGGGGGTTCGAACTAGAGACTTTTCGGTTTAGCAACCATGAGCTTTACCGACTCAACCACGCCGACCCCCCACATTATGTTAAGATGTCCAAATAAAACAAAAAAATCCCACCTTATATGTTATTTTATCTTTACAGTCTTTGCCTTGAAACTGTGATAGAAATCCTGAGTCTGTGCTCCAGAATAATCTGATGTCTGGTATTGAATACAGCTTCATAGCCAACCTCTCTAGTCCCATTCCAAATGCCCAACCTGCTTTATTAATAGCGCCAGCTGAAAAAGATTTTTTTCAGTGTGTAAACAAAATATTTTTTGCATCAATAAGTTAAATGGGTTCATAGTTTTAACTAATGGTCTAATTTATTTATGAATCAATATAAGCTTTCAAAAATAAAATAAATAGTTAATTTCCCTCCATTTCAGAAAATGGTTAGGTTTTTTTAAATTATAAATGCTACAAGCAAACAGTTAAATGATGAATGTTTATTACTGCTATTTCATTCAATTCAATAAATCATTGTTATTATATTCAAGTGCTGAATTAGAAACTAAGTTTCTCCCTCAGTAAAAACTCACAGGAATCCACTAACTTCTGCTCCATTATTCCACAGCCTAACATCTCCACCCATTGACCCTGGTGAAATATCTCTAGCTCCCATGATGGATGGGTGAATGGGAAAAAGGCTTCAACCCACCTCATTTGGAGATCTGAAAAATGTTCCAAATAAATAAACCTACTTAACTGTGTTTAAATAGATAAAGTTAGGGAATGAAGTTAAAAGGATAACGGACTGATGTAAGTATTGTAAGATTGCAATCTAATATTTATGTGTCATTAAATAAAGGGGGTAGGATAAATTAAACAATTAAGTGTTACTTGTAGTGTCAGACATAATTTGTAAAAATTCATTTGTGAAAAACAAAAAAAACAGTGTAAAAGGACCACAGAAACAAGAAAATTCTCTTGCCTAAACTGAAAGAAACAAGTACAAAGAAGATCAAATAAAGAAATATTTTTTGCAATTAATGTCAGAAAAGTAACAATACCTTCTCCAAATAAAGATTGCATAAGTCCTTCTAATGATTTTTTCAGATCACTGCCCACAAGGTGTGATGTTTCAAGTATATGTGTTTCCTGTTTGTTTCCCTCTCTTTGGCCAACCTCAAAAAGTTTGAGGTTTGAGGATTCAGGATATTTTGAGAAAAGCTGAAAGAATTCATCATTAATGTTATAGTATTAGTGATAACACGTTGTTTATAAAAGAAAATTATTAATAATTATTGCCAATGTAGTTATGTAAACATGAGTGAATGCATGGATAATACAAAAATAAATCATTGTTGAAAATATGTGTGATGAGACAAGTATCATATTATTACTATTATAAATCAATATCCTAACTTAATCTTAACAAGTAGGCCTACTCAAACACTGTCATGAACCTAACACTTGTGAGGGACTTCTAGTATTGGCCACTTTAAATTATGTTCAAATAACAGCTGTGCAAGCTAATACTTTGCAAGCTATTTGTATCTATACATCTTTTATTACTTTAATAATAAAGGAATTAATCACTTTTTTTTATCAATATACATAATAAATTTCAGAATAAAAATCCACAACTCTATTTTATTAATCTTGTGCTTGTAGAACATGAGAACCAACAGAAAAATTTCCTTGAAGCGCATACAAATTGGGTTGTGGCCACTGTAGCACTGTGTTGGTGCTGATGTTATTCAACATAGTTACTACTGCTGCAAGAGATCGGAAATAGGAGATCTGGATTTTACAAGGTCTACAACATGATAGATATGGCATATCTCAGAAAGATAAACAGACTATTTGAGAAGCTGGGATGATCTGCAAAGAGATCTTTTATGGTTGAGGAATGGCCAGTGTCCCAGGGTGTAAAATAAATATTTTTTTTTATTTATAGCTTAACATTTTGTGGTTTTTATTGTTCCTGAACAAGCAAATTTTTACCTCAAAATCTGAAAATAGGCGTACACCTTCAACTTGATGAAACACCGGATAATGGGTAGAATCTACAGCATCTCGTCTATACACATCCCCAGCAACTAGAAATGAGTCTAGGCCTGATCGTATTAGGTCACGCTGATGGGCTGATGTATGAGCACGAAGCATATATTTAGAATTGATGTAATAAGTATCAGACGGTGAACGGCTTACATGATTGGGTGGAACAAGTAAACTGTCAAAGTTTTGTTCAAGGGTGACAATTGGAGAAAGCCTGTTGTATGCTGAAAAAACAGGATTACCACGGCGCAAGAAAGTCTGGTGGAAATAGGCTTCTATTCTTTTGTAAATGAGATTAAGAGGATGAAAAGGAACATTATGTAGATTTCTTCCCACTTTGGAAATTATAGCAGGTGTGATGTTGGTTAGATGATCTGTTTGGTAATGTTCACCCAAAATGTCAACAGTTTCACCAAAATTATGCCTATTTGATTGCGTTTTCTGAGAAAGTCTTCTATTCAGAGGTTTCTCGCTTTTTAAAATACAAGAAAATAAAACCGCTTTCTCCAAACGCAAGTTGTTGAGGAAGCAATGGCTTTTAAATACCGGTCGATTCATTGTTGAAAAAAGTTCATACCCTAACCGACAAGGTGACAAGTCCTTTGCGATTTAAAACGAAAGTGGAGATCTGAATTGTTTATATTTTTCTAGCGGAAGATGAAAAAAAAAGGTGACCTTGTCTTTTTTAAATGTTTGAAACTTTCTTAAATTAGTTGATCTACATCTAGAGAAGTAAAATAAGTCCAAAATAGCATAAAACTATTTAAAATATTTATACTTTCAAATCATAAATGTTTCTCGTCGAGGCATATTATTACGTCAAATTATTGTAAAATAGTACACAATCCAATCCACATTTTTTTCATTAAAAAAACAATGGCGGCGCCCACAAAAGTACAGATCTTATCCTTGTACAAACAACTTTTAAGAGAAAGTAATAAGTTGTCAGATTATAACTTTAGGTATGATTTTTTTAAAGAATATTGTGATAGATCTAGATTCTATATTTGTGTAAAAAATTGTAGATAACTGATTAAATTAAAATAAAGTCAATGTAATTTATGGCCCTCTCAGCCCTCTTCTCGGTAAAATCTTAGTTTAGCGTCGTAAATTCGGCCAAAACTAGTAATGTGGGAGAGAGTGAACTAATGAATATGTCATTAAATATAAGTATATTTTCGTATATTTTGATAAAATATTATAGATAATTGAATAATAGATCACCATTTATGATTAAATCAATTTAAATATCCTGAAATTAATTTTTATCAACCCTGTTCGAGATAGTAAATCTGCTATTAAAAACAGCAGCCATCTTGAGAAAATGTTATTTAGAGTAGCTTCCCTTTCATTTCTATTCGTATGAAAATGTATTTAAATATGATTGTCTTGTTGTATAGTCCGTATTACAAAGCATTTTTTTTTTTAAATTCTGCCCTTTAAAAACTGAATTTCCTAACAAACAACTTTATTAATTCTAGAAGCATTGTGAGATGCAACTTGTATCCATGTATTAAATCACGTTTTTTTAACTAATGTTTATTTGATCTTACTATTACTATATAGTTTGAGTTTTTTCTTATTGTTTGAATGACTATTTTCATTTCAGGTTTTTCTTTTCATCAATTAGTGATTATACCGTAACTTATGACATTTTTTTACTTCTCTTTACCTTAATTAAACCCCAACCTCCGTCATATTTTTGTTGTCAATGTCACAACAAGCAGAGGCGTAGCGACCCTTCCCGGCGCCTGGGGACAAACTTTTCGATTTGCACCCCCCTCAAGATTTCGATTTGCACCCCCCCTCAAACTTTCGATTTTGCACCCCCCCCCTCAAGATTTCGATTTGCACCCCCTCAAACTTTCAATTTGCACCCCCCCCCCCCTAAGCCTTTCAATTTATTTTTCCAACCCATTTTGGCGCCCCTTAAGGTCGGCGCCCGGGGACATATGTCCCTCCCCCCCCGCCCCTCCCCCCCCCCCCCCGCCCCCCTCGCTACGCTACTGACAACAAGTCATAATGTAAAAAATTACGCTTCACTCTGCCTTATCTAAGATCTCTAACCATAATTTTGACAACATTAAATGTTTGTCATCATTTATATATATACGGAGAGACAAAATGTATTATCCACCAGCTTCCCTAGTAAAACATCATCTAAAACAGGGGTCTCCAAACTTTTCAGTCCGAGGGCCGCATTAACTATCAAATTTCTGTTCGGGGGCCAGTTTCTTCCAGGCATGTCTTTGATTTTTCTGGGCAAAGCTCCTCAGCCATAACCAACAAACGTTTTTTCCGTGGACAAAAAGATCTCCGCGGGCCGGATGAGAGGACCTCGCGGGCCGCATCCGGCCCGCGGGCCGTAGTTTGGAGACCCCTGATCTAAAACAATGAGCCAGTCCACCCCTTAAGTGCGTGTTGTCATTATGGTCCATCGCAAGTCTCCACCTGCCGGACACATTTTGGTTATCCTTTGTTGTCAAATTGTCAATATCAAGTACCCAAGTGAGTGATATGGGGTTGTCCATAAATGATATCACATATTATTTGCTACGGGAGTGAGTAAAGATTTGTGACGTCAACTCAAGCGGCTCCGCAATTTATGACGTGTCGGTCTCATGAAAGGAGGTGAACGGGGAAAATACCTAGATCATTGACAGAGAACCTCTATAATGCTTTGTTCAATCAAAATAACGATAAATAAGCATTAGTATACGTATACCTTGCTCATCAAAAATGTTGCAAGCCTGATAGTTTAAGACATTTTGCAAAACGGCCTCAACACATTCTCCACGTCAAAAAGGCTTGACACCAAATGCCTGCCGACGAATAAGCCGCGTCTAATGCGGGGCGTTAGGGATACAGCCATTAGCATGGGCCGCGTTAGAGCAACAGTAGGCTATCGCGCTTTGAAAGATGATACTTAAATTCAATTTTGCTAAACAGCGCGAAAATTTAGTAATGTTCCGTCGTTTGAGGAAATTTATTTTCTTGGACTTAAATTGAAATATCATGTTGACTGTCTGGCTTTTAATTTCCAAACATCACTTTTAATGTATCAAGATTCAGAACTATAATTTACTTTAATATAAGTGTCATTGTTTATTGTGCTTTTTATAAAGCGCAGAGTAGCTTCAAAATCGGACGGCCATCCTGTTTTCACCAAGCTTCTTTTGGAGCTTAATATGGGTAGTCTAGTTCTATACGGTGAGAGCTTAATACATTTTTAAAGGGCCGAAAGTCTCAAGACAGCAGAAATAACCACGTACGTTTAAATGGACGAGTGATAAATGTGTTAGGGGCTGTTTAATGAACACCAACTTATGTAATCAAATTAAACGTCGCATAAGCGTCAAAACGGCAGTGCTTGTTTGTATTTTTCTATAAAATTAGCCTAACGGCCGGCGGTACCGGTATATGACATCACGCGCGAGCGTTAACTCGGGTGACGATGTGCTAAGTGGGGGAATGAAAAGGTGGGGTTCAAGAAATGCGACTCAGCATGCTTTTTACATTTCTTGACCCTTCTTAATAGTTCTATCGTCCCTACTGAGAAAATGGATCACCAATGAATGACGCGTCATACTTCTACAGCTGGTCTTTCTCCCACAACCATCCCCTGTTTTCACTAAAAAAAACCTGACCTGTCTCCAAAATCATATCGCTGAGTTCTACTCAACTTCTCCCCACCACAAATCACAATTTCTATCTGAAACAATATGTTCATATGTTTGTTCTGTAATAATGCACGCTGTCATTACTATCTTAAGAGCGACGTCATTTATGAGCGATCTAATATTGATTTGCAAATAAAGTGTTCAAAAGTTTGACCTCCCAACAATTGTTGTGGTCTTGGATGCACACTATTAAGTCTGATAAGGTTTATTAGTCATTCATGTCAACTATATTTTTAAAAAAAAAGTAAAATTACTATACAGGGGGTCATCCATAAATGATGTCACGCTTTTTTGACGATTTTTACCTCCCCCTCCCCTCCGTCACACGTCGTCACAAAAAGCCAGACCCCCCCCCCCTAAAATGACGTCACACCTTAGCCTACAACCCCCCCCCCCCCCCTCAAAATTGCAGTTGAATTGTTTTTAAACAGCTATGTTTTTCCAAAATCTTGTCTGAACTCTGTCAAAACTGTTTTAATACATTATAATAACAATTGATTAATTGTTATTATAATGTATTAAAACAGTTTTTTAAAACGCAAAATAACGTCTAAAATTCGTTTTCTAACATTACTTTTTTAAAATGCAAAAGTGTGACGTCGCACCATCTGAACCCCTCCCCCTCCCCCTCATCACACAACGTCACAAAATTACGGACCCCCCTCCCCCCTACGAGTGTGACGTCATTTATGGACGACCCCCGGCATATATTAAACCAATACAAAACAGTCATATTAAACCACAAAATCAACACAAAAGACATGCGAATAGACAATTTATTGTTTTTAAAACATGGCCGCTGCTTGTATTTACTCATTGTTGTCTTGAACGGGGTAGTTTAAAGTTTATTCCAGGATATTTACGACTGGTTTGGTCTTGGATTGTGATTTGTTATTCAATTATCTGTTATATTATGTAAAATATGACATAAATATGGCCAAATGAATGAAATATTCATTAGTTACCTTCATCGCACATTACTAGCTACGTTGGAATTTACGACGCTAAACTAAGATTTTACCCTCTTCTCTTGGGAGTCTTGTATGACCCAACCAACAGTGAGGTGATGAAACAGAAATTAATCTGATTCTAACTTAAACTTAGGCATATTGGGAAAATATCCCTGATTTTTATATTATTTTACAATATACATCGATTTTATGGAAAATTAAAACCCATTTCTAATATATCAAAAAGGTAATCTATCGTTTTAGATACGTAAAATCAACCGAGGCTAGTAATGTGCGACAAAGTTGCCTCATTTTTAAGGCTTTAATAGAAGTATATTGTGATATATTTGTGTCAAATATTTTAGATTATTGAATAATAAACCAAAATCAATGGCTAAATATATCAATATAGGCCAGAAATTAACTTAAAACAGCTGTGTTTGCTAGCAAGATTTGCTATATAAACAGCAGCCATTTGTAATATAGAGTGGCTTCCCCTGATTCTCCCGCTATAAGTTTACAAAAAAAGCTTAAACAAGATGGCAGCTAAAGTAAACGAGCTTTGTTGCATCTGATGAAAACATCGCTAGTGTTTATTTATTACTGAAAAGTTTAATACAATTGTTTAAAAAAGGTACATGAATGAAACATTTTTTGTAACTTTCAAAACATAAATCTGCCTAAAAATGTGAAATAATTACTAAAATTTAATGACATTGCACAGTATTATCTTTTATAAAATGTTTACTGAAGTTGATGTATCCTTTGATAAATTCTTAAAACCACATTAAAGTGATCATGTTTCTGTGTGAACATTTTTTTCCATTATTGTTGCCGATAAATAAACTGTATAAGCTTTAGCTTATTAAAATGAGCATTATAATTTTTAATTTAGGCTCCTTATAGATTTAGATAGGCTATTTACATTTAGTAGGCCTAATAATTTTTTTTTATATTACACCTAATATTATTTTAGTGTTTTCTTTTCCATTTAGATTCTTTTTTTAAAAATTGTTTGCAATAAATATATTATATATCAATATCTACTTGAAAATGCCTTTATAATCTATTTATCTGCCCAGAAATCATATTTATAATTCATTACTACTAGTTATCTAGATCTAGTTGACCTGTTATTAAAAAGGTTAATAGTTAATAACAATCTGGCTAATTAAAAATGTTATTATTTAGGCCGCAATTAATTCCATTCTTTCAATTTTTATTTAAATAATTTAGATATATAGTATATTTATTTTTAGCCCATTTTATTGTAACAGTCCATGTTTAAACAAATAGCTAATAAAAAAACATTGTATGCACATACTTTTTATCAGTATCTCGTAACTCTGCCATCATTTTGAAATTACGCAGGCTTTCTCGTTCCTTACCTACGAATTTTATTGCACTACTCCTCATTCCTCCGTGCTTAAAAACCCTTAAAGTTGACATTTCTATTTATCAAAATGGTTGGGATGATCTTATATCCGGTTGTCATTTAATTAGGTGCTTATTTTATATCTAAAATTTAGTTGTCAATGCATCTGCTCGATAGCGTTGCGATTTAGACAAATATTTGCTATTATCGTTGATCGCTTTCTGTATCAGACAATGTAAAACGGGAGCTAATTCGTTCCTTAATATATATAAAAGATGAAATACTACTCAAATCTTTGTTTTGAATACATTTTATTCTTCAATTCTGATGGCCATAATTGATATTTTAAAAAATGGACAATTTCTACAACAACGCATAAAAAGTCCGGAAGTGGTAGTACCACATAGGAACTGCGGAAGTCAAAATGCCTAATCTAACTGCTTTCTCCTCAAAATTTCTGCTATATATATAGATATATTATATATTTGTAAGGCAATTATGCCTTCAATTTTACCAGGGCCTTTTCTATTCTATATTTCAGTCTCTAATCTAAATTTGTTTGGGCCTTGAATTCAATGTTAACTTGTAGCCTTGAATAAATTCCACCGATTTTTAAATTGGTACTAAAGCTATCCATGACATCCAAAAGAGTGCTTAGGATACACTTGATATTGTCAGATATTTTTTCTAGAATATGTTGTTATCATTTAAGGGCATGGGCGGGTGATGAGTACCAACTTCCTTATTTCCGAGTCTAAAGATGTAATACTTGGCTAATAGTTATAACTCAAAGAGTTAAGCATAAAAATATTTTTTTTAATTTTTTAAATCTTCCGTTGCCATGGTGACGGCGGCCATATTGGATTTTATTGACGATTTTTAAATGGAAATAACTCAAAAATGGTTTGTACAAATTTCATGAAAACTTAATATAGACTGCAGACACATGTGTTTAAGACTTCTGATAGATTACATTTTCAAAAAAGAAAATAGGTTTTTTTTTTACTTTTTTTTTTCAAACATTACTGTAAAAATTTCATTATTTCGTCCAATTTTTTCACTATTTCAACAACAAAAATTTTTTTTTACAAAAATTCCAAAAGTGTTCTATCAGTTTTATTTGAACATATATAAAGAGTAACTGGAGCAAATTTAGTTCAGTTCTGATAATTATTAACAAAGTTATTTCAACAATTGTACAAAAAAACATCAAACTGAGAAAAACGCAAAAAACTAACAAAAAGTTGCAAAAAATGAACATTTATCGCTATATGTCACTAAAATCGACCACATGTATAGCCTGAAGTATGGTGCTGCTGAATATATTCCTTCTGAGCTTGTTCGGCTGTTAGTTTTCTTTTTTTCTGGCGCTCTTTGTTTTACCTAGAGTTGTAGTAAAGCTGTTGTCATGGCGTCTTTTTTGGCGTCCTTCACTGGGTCTTCGACTATGGTTTCCTTCTTTTGACAGCAATGCCATAGCATGCCTGGGCCCAAAATTGAATTATGCTATCGCAGAAACAGCAGTATATTTTGCGTGGTCTCATGTCTCAAAGCCAATTATGATAAGACGATGTCTTTGTTTATTGTGAAAGGCCTTGTTCTGGATTCTTTTGCAGTTGTATACTTACGGTTTACAACATTTTTATTACTGCCACACCATGCTTGAAGCAAACCCTTTACACTTTTTTTCATCAATAGTAGTCAGGAAATGTGCGAGGAAATGTATTGATAACATCAAGAAGCAAATCACAGTCGACAATAATTCTGCATGGCTGTGGTTTACAATTAGTACTACCAGTACTAGATGTAACAGTACTTTCTTCTGTCTGTAAAAACTGTTTCTTACATTGCCGCAGTTTCTTAGTAAATGTGCATATTACATCTGCACCAGTGCTTGTCTGAATAGTGCTAGATTGAGTAGCGGTAGCTGCAATCAGTTGCATTCGGACGTGCCCTAGCTTTAGTAAATTAGTTAGATGTGTGAATCTATTTTTAGCCAGTGTTTTGTTCTACGCATTATCGAAAGAGAAACAAATTAAATCGTCTCACTGCTTATGATAATTCACACAAACTAATCTAAACTGTTAATAGTATATTTAATTGAAATAATTATATGTTAAAATAATGTAAGTATTTTACAGAAGCTTAGAGAAACAAAACTGGATCAAACTTAGCAACGCGCTGAAACTAAGGGAATGTTTACTTCCGAAGCGAAACGACCAATCGCTAACTAGCTTCCGCCGTCGTATGCCAATGAAAAAATTGAGGTCAAAAATTTGCATACCGGAAAAACCCGACTGAGTAAAATAAACAACTTTATGACGTAGAAAAATAATCACATTAAAATAGGTATTTTGATTGGTCATTTAATTTTAGAACAAATAAAGAAAGGGGGTCACAGCCTTTCCATTGATATGAAACACAATAGGTTTCCGCGAAGTCTAATAGTACTTTTCTAGGTCGAAAAATTGCTATTTTTACCAAAAAAATAAACAAAAGACCCTGTACACACTACATTGAACCCGATTTTTCACAATTAAATACTGTTTTTAGGGTCATAACAATGTCATTTTTAGATTCAACAATGGTTATTCTGTATAGATCAAGTAAAAGTGGGAAATCGATGATTTAGTGGATTTATGACGAAAAGTACACCCGCCCATGCCCTTAAGCTAAATTTAATTTAAATATATATTTTTGCAAGTATTTTCCAGTTTGTCTGAAATAGACAGCAATTGTTTTCATAGGTTAAGAAGTAGGAACAGGTGTTGTTTTTTATGGAAGATACAGATATTAAACATTTGCTTTTGTTGTTTTGATTTTCTGGCCACACACTATACAGAATAACACCTTTCTAAACATTCCTTTAATTTAATGTGTAATATCTATCATGTTTCAAAATTCAGAATGTATGCCTTGAGACGAACAAAAGATGCATTTAAAGAAAACAAAGCAGAGACTAATGTTACCAAAATACAAGACCTGGTTGCAAAAGCTAAAGAAAATTTAGATATTCTGAAACGCCAAGTAGGTTTAGTCAATATTTCTTTTATACTAAGTGTTTTCAAGTTTGTTCTCTATTAAATCAAAATGATTGGGAGTATTGGGTAATCTATACATCTACTCTTTTGCCTGTTTTATTCACACTGTAAAAAATCAATTAAGACTAAGTTTTTAGGATACTAAACTAAGTTTATTCCTACACTTGTATAAATTAATACTATTAAATCAATCCACAATCTAAGTTGCTGAACAATTTTGATTTTGGGGAAATCTTAGAGCAATCATTTATGATTATTTATACTATTTATACTTGATTCAGAATGTACTTTAACATGCTTTGTTTAAAGGAAGAAAAATTTCTGTCCTAAACATTTTCATTCTGTATTAATAAAATTAATTTTCACTAATTTTGTTGGAATGTTATGAAGAGGACCACATTTTCTCTTTGCAGGCACTTATCAGTCATTTATTTGGATCTAATAAGCTTGTCATAGAAAAACCAGCCACACCAACAAATATTTAAGTTTTTGTGAAACAAAAATTACTTTGATCTGGTTCAGTCAAGTAATACACAGTAGCTGTTTCCAGCTGATGTTTTGAAAGAACAAGGCAACAGAGTTTTCTTTACTTAGTACTATTTAAAATATGTTTAAAAATTTGGAATTTAAAATTAGGCTTTCCTTTTCTAAGTTAATCCAAAATAGTGCCTCTAAATAGATCTAGTATATTTCAGAAACTGCAAACCAAGACTGCCATATCCAGTCCTGAAAATATTAATGAATTTGTAACTTGTGTGATAAAAAACACATTAATCTTTATATAGTTTTTTTTTTTGTTATTAAGTTTGTAAATTCTAGGTATAAATACTGATGTACTGTCTTGTAAGACAAAAATAAAACCATTTTTTAAAATTGTGTTATTAAAACAATCTTTCAAATGTTCAATTTCAATTCTTCTATTAAAATAAAGGCGAAAACACTTTTTTATAACACTTCAGCAAAATGTAATTGACGACTTATTACTGTCTTTCGTTAAATTTATGTTCTTAGTTTTATTTAACAAAGAACAATCTATATATATTTTTTATCCTTTTTTTTTCCTTATACCTAATCACTAAAGTAGTTGTCAATCTTCATCAATTAAACTATGTGGAAATCAAGAAAGAAATCTGTAGATAACTGTAAACTGTCTTCATGTTGACATTTCTTATAGTGGAAAACATCCCTTCCTTGTCTAAAATACAGTTTAAAAGGGGTAAAACAAACATCAATGCTGATCTTTACCAAATTGTAGGTTGTGATGATGATGAAATAATTGCTCATTAAGTAGTTCTCAGGTTGTTTTCCACTTATGAAATAAAAGTTATTTATTATGCTTGAAGCTTTTTGTATCAAGCATATATGAAGATGGTGATGTGTGTGTGTGCTTCTTCGTCGGAATACAGTTGACTAAGATATTGTTTGCATATACAGATGAGTGTGTGTGCCCATTTGTGTGTGTGTGTGCATCATCAGGTAGTGATTTAGTTTCACTTTAGCTTACCAGTTATGATGAGGGTAATGTTTCTTTTTTTGTGCAAATCATACTCACTTTTTTTCTAATAAACACAGACAGTGCTTTGTGTTTACACCATTTGTTATAATAAATTATCTATTCTGAAATGTTTTTTTTACAAAGAAAATAAAGTTCCTTTAAATTATTATGAATTTAATATTTGTTTTTTAGAATTCAAGTGTCTCAATGTTGTGTCTTACAAATCTATATAAAGATTTTCGTACTGACAATTTCTGGATAGAGTTTAATTTTTTTGTCAATAACCTTTAATTAATCTGCACAAAAAAAATATTACAAAATGAACTAATTTTATTATATCTTTTTTTTAAACTTAAAAGCACTTAATTAAATATCAAAACATTATTTACAACAATGCTGATTTGGTAGATGTAGACATAAAAATTAAAATTTAATACTGTTGGAAGCTCATATTAATACATTTCATAATATAGTATTAATAGATATGGTATGGTTTTTAACCATGTAAATTAAATAAAAAAAACTGGTTTTCTTTAAAGCATACAGGTCTAAAGGAAAAGAAAAATGTTAGTTTTAACACTGTCCAATTGTCTTAGTCCAATTCTCAGGCTTGTTTCTCTTAGTCTAAATCTCAAGCTTATTCATCAGATGCTCTGCAGTAAGGCTGTTCAAATCTTTTTACCTCCACATTTCACTGGCCACATTTCTATGTTGTTGTGGGTAGGTGTCCCGATATCGAGCGCTGAACATTAGAAAAGAACATATTTTATCTGATTAATTATGAAAAGGTACAGATCCCTCTCGATAAGTTTTAACAAATATATTCCATATTGTATCATGCTCACCCAAATTTCTCTTTGCTTAAGACTTTGTCACTGTATTATTATATTATTGTCTTAATACAGCAAACCCTAATTCTAACACTTAAACTGATATTATACTACTCCTAATATGTGACAGCTAGATCCAATTCAAGTTGTCATCTTGGGCTTTAAAACCATTTTGCCTCGGCCACTGATCTCTTATAGTCTTATATCAGCAAGGATCTGCTGAAGCAACTTAATAACAGGAACAGGTCTCTGGCCTTACTGAAAAGAACAACAAAATCAACTTACTAAATGTTAGCAGGAATTGGTCTCTGGCCATATTGATCCAGCTTGGGTTCAGCTTGCAGGGTAAACTGGAAAGTTGGAGGAAAAAACTATTACATTACATTAAAAAAGGTTTAAAACAACTTTTTTTCTTCCAGAAATTGATTACTACAATTATAGTTCCAATGTATAAACAAGTGTCATATTAAACATTACCTTCCATGATTTAGTTAAATCTGGTCTCAAATATCTTACTGCATAGCCCTGGAAATGAGCATCTAAATAGAAAAATATGGATACTTAGATAAGCAATACACAAAACTATTAAAAAAGGCTCCTTTGTTTATAAAAAAAAAATTGCTTACTTGTAGATTTAGTTTAGGAAAATTTAATTTTGATTATCCAGGAAAAACTTCCCTTTCAGGGGCGGAACTACAGTGCCGCCAGACCCCGCAATGCGGGGGGGCCCAGACCGAATGGGGGCCCAAAAATCCCGGCTAAATTATTAAAAAAAAAAATTTAAATAAAAAATTTAAAAAAAAAAAAAAAAAAAAAAAATAGGTGGAGGTCGAGTTATCTTTTTTCTACAGTTACAAAAAAACACGATAGTCGGCAAACGTCTTTGAAAAAAAAAGTACAGACTATAGCTCGAGAGACCGCCAGACATATAGACAACTTCAAAGACGCAGGGGCGGAACTACAGTGCCGCCAGACACCGCAATGCGGGGGAGGGGGGCAGACCGATTGGGGGCCCAAAAATCCTGGCTAAATTATTTTTAAAAAAAAAATGTAAAAAAAAAATTAAAACAAAAAAAAAATTAATTTTTTTTTTTTTTAAATTAGGTGGAGGTCGAGTTATCTTTCTTCTACAGTTACAAAAAAACACGATAGTCGGCAAACGTCTTTGAAAAAAAATGTACAGACTATAGCTCGAGAGACCGCCAGACATATAGACAACTTCAAAGACGCAGGGGCGGAACTACAGTGCCGCCAGACACCGCAATGCGGGGGAGGGGGGCAGACCGATTGGGGGCCCAAAAATCCTGGCTAAATTATTTTTTTTTTAAAATGTAAAAAAAAAAATTAAAAAAAAAATTATTTTTTTTTTTTAAATTAGGTGGAGGTCGAGTTATCTTTCTTCTACAGTTACAAAAAACACGATAGTCGGCAAACGTCTTTGAAAAAAATGTACAGAATATAGCTCGAGAGACCGCCAGACATATAGACAACTTCAAAGACGTAGGCTACCTTTTTACTTTTAGTGGCGTCGATTAGGAGAACAAAAAAGGATTGTTATATTGTTTACATTATTAAATATATATATATATATATATATATATATATATATATATATATATATATATATATATATATATATATATATATGATTGTGTGTTTAAACTACTGGCCTGGACTCTACAAAAAATATAATTATTTATTTCGATGTCATACATTTATAATTGCGTTCATTTTTACTTTAACAACTGTATCAATAAACTTGTGAAAGTTTAAGTTATCTCCCTTTAGCGAAGCATCTGAAGTTTTTGCCGGCACGCTTTGAAATCGGGCTGGGGAAATGTTGCGGCGACTATTCTGGTCTTCTAGACGACCGGAAAAAGTCGGCACTATTGATGTAGATGTTTATCGGCACTTTCTAGTCCCCTTCCTTTGAACCTTCCCAACTCTCACCCCTCCCCCCTCACCCCCCTCTCACCCCTACCCCTCACCTCTACCCCTCACCACACCCTTAATCTTACAATAAGATGTAATGCATAGATTAACGAACCGTCTATGAACTACTGAACTGTAAACTGACTACTTCTGCACATTTTGTTAAAGACACTAGTCAGTAGTTGTTCATTTACCTGATGAAGTATTTTGTTGACGAGTCTAATTCACACAACAAGGAAGGTAAGGCTCGTCTTTATATTATTAATTGTTTTATAATTAGTACACGTATTAATTGAACATTAGTTATTAACACTAAATACATTAAAGTTAATCAAATTTAGGATACAATGATCTAGCTTTTAAGCCTAAAAACAACCAAAAGATCTATATCACCTTTGAATGTATTAATGTTTAATTTCATGTTTAGCCCGTAACGGGGAGGGGTTATATTCGGTTATAATATGGGTGGGTCTTTGGCAGTGTTTCTTCCAGACTTTTTTCTTCGGGGGGGGGGGGGGGGGGGGGCACTTGAAATTTTCGGAGGGGGGGGGGGGGCGGGCACTGTTAAAAGTATATATTTTCTATATAAATTATATAAATTTAATTTCTTTCGGGGGGGGGGGGGGGTGCGGACCGCACCGGGTGACACCATTTAGGGGGGTGACACCAAGGCAAAAAATAGCAAAATATATAGAGAAAAACTCGAGGGGGGGTGCAAATCGAAAACTTGAGGGGGGGGGGGGTGCAAATCGAAAATTTGAAAGTTTGTCCCTGGGAAGGGTCTCTATGCCTCTGGGGGGGTGACACCATTAAGTGCCGCACCGGGTGATACCCGACCTCGCTACGCCACTGCACCCGATATATATATATATATATATATATATATATATATATATATATATATATATATATATATATATATATATATATATATATATATATACATATAGATATATATATATAGGGGCCTAAAAAAAATTTTTGCGGGGGGGGCCATTTTTTTCTAGTTCCGCCACTGTTCCCTTTCCATGAACTTTAAACAATAAAGCGTTATCGAGTGTAGATCTATTTAGTGTAGCCTATTTTAATTTAGATCTACACTCCAGATTGCATTTAATGCCGTTAAATGGTAATTATCTCCCTTGGATAACACGAATTATTTCCCTTTATTAAAACTACACCAACCTTTGGCAGACTCTAGCTCTGGAAGCGAGCTTTTAGATCGTCCTGTGCCTTTGCCTAGGAAATCTGACCAGGCCAGGCGAGATTGTCTTTAAAAAAAGAGAATGAGTAGATCAATAAGTCTGAATATTTAACACTGAGTGAAAACAAATTTGGTATACTTGGCCAAAAGTAAAACAGTAGGCATACATGACTTACAGAAGATCATCGTATGACACATACTGACGGTGCAGTTTTCGTCCCGTTTCTGTAGCGTTCTGTTGATAGGCAAATTGTAAGATCAGTGGCGTAGCTAGTTCGGGTGTCACCCGGTGCGACACCTTATGGTGTCATCCCCCTCCCACACACATACCTTTTATTTTGTAAATTTTGCAGTTGCTGGGCCCCAACCCCTACCCCGTAATAGATTTAGTTTTTACATTTAATACTAATGGATGTTTATCTATAGTCGGTTGTTAATGCAGCTGAGTGTAGTATTGTTTTCTCTGTAGTTTGAATGATTATGTCATAGTGTCACACTCCCCCCCCCCCCCCCCTTGTTGGGATCATCAATATGTACTTAAAATACTTTTTAACTCGAATTAACCATTCATTGAACTGGCAAAAAAAAACATATTTATTCTATATATCTTGCAATTTTCCTTGGTGTCACCCGGTGCGGTCCGCACCCCCCGCTCCAGACTCACAGCGCCTCTGTGTAAGATGCAGTGTTGTTGTTAGTTTTTCTTAATTTAGTCAGCTTTTTTTTATGACGCTCACAAAATAACTTGATGTTTTTTTCATGGTGTGTATCTCTCCACCCCACATCAATAATCCACTCCAGTAAAACAACGTTCACTTCAGTCTACCCCAATAACTTCTAAAATCAGGTTAAAAATTACACCACCACTTCATTTTCATAGTATATAGTGTCAGTTATATCAAAACAATAATTCACCACCACCCATTCGTGTTATATACATTCGTCCCTATACGACTAATTGATTATTTTCATTTAAATAAGACTACAGAACACATTTCAAATGGCCACTAGAATTCTTTATGACACCGACACCTCATAATGGTGGTGGTGGGAGGGTCGTCCATATATGACGTCACCCTTTTACAGCCATTAACTCTATTATTATTATTTATGTTCAATAACAAAATATAACGAATTAAAATAAACACCAGCTGTCATTGATTTGGTTAAACCTTGCCAATGTTGCTGCTAACATTGGATCAATATCGTTCTAACACTGCGACCCTTGACTAAAGCTAACTCCAGGTCAGATAACATTCACTCTCGTAAGCAGGATTATTTCCTGGGGGTGGGGTGATTTGAACCTCTCTCTTTCCCTTTATATATATATATATATATATATATATATATATATATATATATATATATATATATATATATATATATATATATATATATATATATATATATATATATATATGCCTACATAAGACCTATGTGTGTTTATGATTCCAAAACAATTTGAAGATCGTGAAATTGTGGGTTCCATGGGGGACCTAAGACCCCTGCCTCGCCGTTAAAATATATTTTATGTTCTACTGACCTTAGCTGTTTTTATACACTATCCGAAAAGTATTTGTATTGCGCAACATTAGGCTAATGACATAAGGTATGACATTAAAGGATTGTATCGATTTTCAACACTTAAAAACTGTTCTGATCATTGTGTCGCCTACTGCTAAACTCCCAGTATGCCAAAAAAAATGTTATATATAGAACGGACGTCCCAATTTAATTTAAAATAATTTAATTATGATATATCTTCAATGTGTTGTTTGTGTGTTGGGCGCAAATTATTCGCTGCAACAATACTCTAAAAATAATTCAATGAGTAAATATACTATTATCATTGACAACCACTTCGTATTAATCGTATCCAGCGGCTTAGCTTCATTCTACCCCGATTTAAGTAAGCCTATAGGACCAATTATTACCATAATATTGCATATCACATGACTAAACTAAGGCAGTTGATAATTCGTTGAGCAGACGAATACTTACCATAGAATGAACTCTATGAGGAGGTGGAGACAAGATGGTTGATGTTGAGTTGGCAAAGTCTCCTATACGGTTGACGAAAAGTGTTTATTAAAGAAAAATGATTGATGTAGGCCTATACCATAGGGCCTAATTTACGTCACACACACACTCACATAGATAAATATATATATATATCCTATAGGCATATATATATATATATATATATATATATATATATATATATATATATATATATATATATATCATTATATATACACACTATTATCAACATGTTTTCAATTAGTTATTGCTAAGTATAAAAGTATGACCAACCCGGTTTTATACTTCGATATCAACATATAAGCTAATGTTACTGGCCTACATCACATGACCGTGTAAGATGATGAAAAACGTGCATGCTAATGTACGTACGTGTGTGAAGGACAGACCACCGTTAGCACTTACTTGGGCCACAGGTCGTCGTGGTCCTGCAATGTTCGCTGCTCAGCTTATGCAAGGTGTTGTCCATCTCCATCCGGCGGAACCGGGGCGGGTTGGGGTGGAAGATGCCGTGTTTGACGGCTGCCAGAGGAACTCGGTGGAGGGTTGGGTAGTGCTGGGCGTAGCCTGGTAGTTGGAGGCTTGGGCTGTAGGCTGCAGATAGTACAGCTGCTTGGGCCATGGTCTGATCCCCTGAGCAGACAGGTGACTTGGGTGAGTTCAACTTTATTGCGTAGTAAATATATAAGGAGTGTATGCTGCTAAAGACACATTCATCCGTAGATTATAACAGGTATGGAAAATTTTGTGGAGCGTGAGACATTGCAGTCGTAATGGGAATTTTTTAAACTGGTTTTTCAGTATTCAGTAGCGTCATCGGTTTACTTCATCAAGAGCGGATGTGACACCAGGTTATTTGTAGTTTTTAGGATATCCTTTACACACATTTTAGTGGTCGTCAATAAATTACGTCACACTCGAAGGGGAGAGGGGTCCTTAATTTTGTGATGGGGGGGGGGGGTAAGATTTTGTGACGTCACACTTTTGCATTATAAAAACTCAATGTTAGAAAACGTATTTTATCCGTTATTTCGCGTTTTAGAAAACTGTTTAAATAAAATCTAATAGAAATTGATTAAAATACTCTATGTTGACAGAGTTCAGGCTAGGTTTTGGAAAGATATCTATATTTTCAACTTCAACTGCAATTTTGAGGGGGTGGGGTAGACTTAGGTGTGGCGTTATTTTAGGGGGGGGGTCTGGCTTTTTGTGACGATGTGTGATGGCGGGTAGAGGGAGGAAAAAATCGTCCAAAGAAAGCGTGACGTCATTTATGGATGACCCCTTAGGATAAGCATAGGATTAATTATGCTTTAAGTTGAAAATATATGTGAGTGCGCACGTGTCTGTGTATGTTGCCACGTGATTTTGTCATAGACATACAACTGCAAGTGGTCTCCAAATGTTAAGCTACTTTTATTTTATATAAGAATAGTTTACTCAGTGGCGTAGCGAGGTCGGGTGTCACCCGGTTCGGCACTTAATGGTGTCACCCCCCCCCCTAGAGGCGTAGCGACCCTTCCCGGGGACAAACTTTCAAATTTTCGATTTGCACCCCCCCCCTCAAACTTTCGATTTGCACCTCCCCCCCCCCTCAAGTTTTTCTCTATATATCTTGCTATTTTTTGCCTTAGGTGTCACCCCCCCCCCCCCCCAAATGTTGTCACCCGGAGCGGTCCGCACCCCCCCCCCCCCCCCGCTACGCCTCTGAGTTTACTCCCACTTTATTGTTTACGATAAGGTTGGGGTAAACCTCTCAGTATATGATTAATAATATCAGATATTCTAACCATATAATTAGCGTAGACTACTTACAGTATTTGTTCTGCCGTTAGATTAATGCCTGTTACATATGCCGGAAAAGTCGAGAGTTTGGTTCTCAGACTCGTCCTGGCCGTCCCCGTGTACACCTAGCTCTGACTCAAATTATAACCTGGACATATAACTGACTACACCATCTTGCTCATATGCTGAGATCAGTGACACAAGTGAACTCTACTTCATCAGAGCAAGTAACTAAGCAAGAAATAATGGCGGGGAGAGCATATATATTTTCGGTTTGTGAAAGTTGTAAGGATGTTTGGCTTTGTAGACTATCAAAAGTCTTCTAAAATTTAATAAAATATGTTTGATAGAACTTATTATTTAAAAAAAAATATTACATTAACTAGATCTGTATAGGATAGGCCAATGATAATATTCGCCTATTCTATATTAAGTTTGGTGATAATAAAACACTTACTGGAACTCCAAAACGTTCAAGACAACCTGCCCCTATAAGTCAAGTCTTGTAACCAAACATACGTCTGCCGTTGGTCTGCAGGCAACATGCCAGCTAGACAGACGAGACATGACCCTGTCCCTACATAACGTCCTTCTCAAAACGGCATATGCAGCAAAAAAAAATTCCACATGATCAATAACCAATAAAATAATCACAGGTTAGTCGATAGCTTAACTCTGATATCAAGCAAATCGCCTTTGTTATTCTGACACCTGTACAAATCTCACCGGTATAATGTCACGCTTGGTGGGTTTCGTTTGGGGGGGGGGAGGGGTAAATTATAAAATAATTAACAAGTTGGGAGCGGTCGTCTAGCTAAAAAGAGAAAGGAGATTTTAGGACATTGCACCTCGGGAACTGAAATAAAGCACGTTGACCTGACTGTCAGAGTAGGATAAGAGGCGTCGCCAACTGGGGTGACACTCGTACGGTAAACCATGGTGTGGCCCCCCTTTGATGGCTATATGTATAATACACAGACTATATGCAATTTGGTGCCAATTGTCATCCCCATCCCTGAGAGCGTCACCATGTACCTCAAGACGTATATGACTTATAAAATCTTAAACTACTCCGAAACGGCAGACTTTCTCATTATAAATAGATTTAGTCCTGACGTAACCTCCCTTAGATGGTTTCACCCTAAGCGGTCTTCGCAGCCCGCCCCCGCCCTTTAGTTTAACACTACTGTGTAGGACACGGACCTGGGTACACCTGACAAATCCAGCCTGACTGATTCAGGTTTTGATCGAGTGTGTGCTTTACATTATTCGGGCGTCCTTGTTAACTTTGATCTTTGATTGGGTAACCTAGTTAGGGATCGTGTACATTATATAGTACACACATTTAACTACACGTGTTGTTGTTGGTTTTTTTTTGACGAAACTTATCACTCTCTCCCAATAGTAACTCTTTTTTCTTAATACCATATATTGACCACACATTTCAACCTGCCCACCCACCAGTATAAGCATGTTTCGTTAACTGTCTAAGAGTCCCTGCCTTAGACCACCTTAGCTTATAATTTTTTGTGTCAACTTATGCAATTTGCAAGCAACTATATCCTAGTCAAAATTGAAATGCACACACAATAAAAAAAAATTGAACGCCGTTGTTCTATACCACTGACTCCATTTGTCAATATGGTTTATGTGATATGTATAAATGCAGGATAACTTTAAAAAGTGTAGGCCCTACTTGTTAAATGAAGAAAGTGTTAAATCGACAGGGCCTGCTTGTCTGACCTAATAATCAGTGTATAGTTTAGGTCAATGACCTAGATTTTCAGATTGAGCTTGAATCAGTGACCTAGTTAAGAATGTTTACTTGCTTGGCTGAACTAATCAACATTGACAATTTAAACAGCAATACCAACTGTAGTAAATCTGTTTTTTTTTTTTTTTTTGTCAATTAGACAAGCAAACATACTCAGCGCTATTTTCTTGGGTTTTGATATTCAGACTTTACCATCAGTATAATGTTTATTTGCAGAAAGTGTAGGTTATATAATGCATTTAATAGTCTGTTGATGTAAATGTGAGATACATTCTAGGCTTAAAACCTGTTGAAGAAACTTTAAAAATGGCTATTTTTCCTTCGTTTCTCAAAAGATGGAACACATTTTCTCCTAGCTTTGTATGGATATTTACATGTTACCCCTATTAGGTTTGGCTGTAGTTATTTTATTTTACAAAGGTAATTTGCAAATCATGATTTGAAGTTAGTGACAATACAGAAATGATAAAACCATTTCAGACAATTGCAGTGCAAATGTATTATGAACACAATATTTTATGACAAATAATTTTGTTAAATTAAATATAATCTTGTTAGTATGATAATTAAGATAAATTCATTCAATGCTTTTGCTCAATATTTTAATAATCTCTCGACTATCCAAGCTACACTCAAAACCTGAAGCCTACATTGATGTATGTTAACCAATCAACAAGGTTTATGTGATTTTAAAACAATAAAAATTTAATTTAAAAATTTCCTTGGACAGATTTTTACAGAGCATCAAACATGGCAATATATACAGGACTTGGTTATTAACAGCAATATAATATCATCTTCTGCACAAAAGTTTTCAACACAGTTGTGAAGATAAAGACTACTTAGAGTGTAAGCTGGTAAAACTTAAGGAGTTTCAATCAACCAGTGGCTCTCCTGGCTAAGCACTGGTTAACCACACTTAACAGGTGTGAGTTCTCTAAAGCAGCGGCCACTCTTTCTTTGTCTGCAAGTTGTTTGTTGACTGAAATTTTAAACAAATGATAATTTTTAAATTTTTTTTTCAAGAAAGACTAAATTATACTTTTGTTGTGTATCTAAAATTTTGAAAAAAATAAATAAAAAGAATTTAAAAAAAAATCATAAACAGAAACTACTTTTTCTCTGCAAGTCAGAATGTAATTTAATACTGTGTACCCCTTGCTACCATTTTGAGGCAAAACATCAAAACAGGGGAGATTATGAGCATCAATGGGAAAAAACACTGTTGTATTTTAACATACCTAAACCAATATTTGTAACTAAAATCTTACATATTATACACTAAATTTATCAGCATTTGTAGTATACAATGTAGAGCTAGTACCTAGTAACATCTATCAATTTTCAAATCTAAGTATTCTAAGCCAACATATTTAAAAAAAAGTAACCACAATGACAAAATATTTCAAGGACAAAATATCACTTATTTTAATTGGGACATATATTGATAACATAGAGTTAAAGGAACAAACCCCTTTCAGAATGAATATATTGTCTTTATAAATATTTTATTTTTTTAAATTTATTTAATAATATTTTGTTATGGGTTTTTGAAGTAATTAATTATTTACTTAAATTTAAGGTCACAACACTTTAAAAAAAAACAATAAACAGTTGACTATTTACCAGCTTCTTCTGAATCGTGAGTTCCTGGAGTTATTGCAACATCCACCTGTAACCAAAAAAACATTATAGCTACTGAGTGATGTTTTAAGTTAAGTGGGATAGTGTTGTTGATTTGAAGTGCAAAATATTTCTAACCCAGAGGTCTCAAGTGCAATTCCCAAAGGAGACCTGGATCTAAAAGGTTAAGGATGCCAAGCAGAGCATATTACTGACAACACAATGGCTAAAGTTGAATTCCCATACCATATTGGTATATCTCAACATTTAACTTGGTCTAAAAGCTGTTAACTCTATCAAAATGCAAACCTTGAATCTTGATGGCAATGACCACAAAAGCTTCACCCTAATTGATAGGCCAATCAATGTTGCCATACTACAGTGAGGGATTGTGGGAGTAAACAACACATGAACAGAATTTGCTGAGTCATCTACCTAATGGAAAGTGAAAATAAAAGTTTTTTTATTGTTCAGAAAATCTAAATACAAGCTCATCTAATTTTCCAGAGTAAAATTGTGTAGAATTAACAATGTATATAGTGTTATTACCTAATTATTTTGTTCATTATAAATGTACTGCAACTATTTCTGCTAAAGGTTAGTTGTAAAAATATAAGAAATGCAGTAACCTAGGAAAACTAAATTAAGCAATGACAATTTGTGGCAACCGATTTTTAATTTATAGATCCATGTAGATAATATAAATCACATACAATTGAATTGGTCATACCTTGACCTTAGATTCCTCAACAACATTTAGTTCTTCCAGTGTTAGTGGATGCTCAGGATCATTTATTGTACGTATCAAATCTATTGAAAATAAATATAGTAATATAGTTATAACAAATATTAAGTACATATAAACCCAGTATTAGTTTAAAAGTAAGTTGTTTAATACTAGATATGGGCAGGGCTTGGCCAATAGCAATTAATTTTCTCTTGCATCTTTATGATCTTATCAAATAAATTGTAGATATGCCAATGGTGTCAGTAACTTGGCTATCGTAACTATTGAACATCCAGAAGCAGCTAAACTGGATCTCAAGGAACTTATTAATAATTTTGCAAACTTAATAGCAAGAGGCTAAGAGGAAAAAAATTTAAATAAACAATGAGAAACTTTTTAAATATAGAGTTTAGTTAGTGGCACATTAAGTCTGGTGTCACCCTGTGTGCTTACTGAGTGTGTCACCCCAACCTCCTACAACAATTTTCAGTTTGGTGACACCCCCCCCCCCACAATTCTACTATTTGGACAGAATAAAACATTGTTTTATCAGTAAACGTTAGATTTCTTGTCACAGTGTTGCCAACCTAAATGGTGTCACCTGATGTGGACCTCACCCCCATCTCCGCCTTGTGACATTATTGTGTTTGGCTAGAGGCTTAAAGTTTACATAAAAGTGATATTAAAAAAAATAAAAATAACTTATGTTACAGATACCTACATAACATTAGAGTATAAATATACAATCAGGGTGCATAAAATAAAAAAATGAATAAATTATTTATATCATTTAAACCCCTCCTTCATAAGTAGTAGTGCATTTCTTCACAGTCTAAGTTAAATTCAGGTGCCCACTAATAATTTTTGCACATGAGCCTGAATATCCTAGTTAGGCCACATTAAAGTATAACATTGCAGTATAACATTAGAGTATAAATATACAATCAGGGTGCATAAAATAAAAAATGAACAAATTATTTATATCATTAAAACCCCTCCTTCATAAGTAGTAGTCCATTCTTCACAGTCCAAGTTAAATTCAGGTGCCCACTAATAATTTTTGCACATGAACCCGAATATCCTAGCTAGGCCACTGCTTAGCATTCAAGAAATGGGGCTCTAGCATTGTAGCCTATATTTCTTTTATATATTATTTATATTTAATAAATTTCAAACTGTTATAAAACTAAATTGCTTTTAAAATTTAAATGAACATTAGAATTGAAAAAAAAAAATTGAATAAACACTACATTATTACATTTAGTGAGAAATTTTAAATGCAGTTTTTTAGCTCTGGCTGTTTTGAACCAGAGATCTAGAATCTAGGTGATTTTCAATTATAGAAATAAGTAATTCATTTTCAGTAAATGTCAAATCATGATAATTTTATTAATAACTATAACCAAAGTGCATTTATTCTTATGATTAGATAAAAAGAAAGATGTAAATTTAGATGTAGATTCAATGTCCATACATGCTCAAATTTTGCAGGGTCGGAGAGAGTTCATTTAGAGACTGGCATCAACCTAACTAACGTAACGACTCAGGAAGTATGACATTATATTGTGTATAGTTTATTATAACTATATTTGCAGCCAGATCTGAATTTAATCAAGAATCTAGATTATTGTGTGGAATTACAAGAAAAAAGTCACTGCCGCTTCTAGCTGGAAAAAGATGTGAATGCACTTAGCTCTACAATTACCTGGTTTTTCTTGTTATCTACATGTTTGCTGTTTGGGCCTATGTTTTGTCTTAATGGGACAGGGATTAACACAATAAAAACGTAAAATTTATATGGTTGATTTAAATAGGCTATTAAAATAGATTTTTTAAAATATTTTGTACTCTACTTATAGACTAGAACTCTTTGCTAGCACTCTTTGCTAGCTATACTATATCCTAAAAACCTTCAAATCCTGACGACCCAAAGCGCAACTGCTCAACCACACAGTGCAGATAGTTTGTTAGAAGAATAAAGCTAAAAGAAAGAGTAATTGATCCCATTGTGCAGCTATTACTAGATCTAGTATTTAATTTGAGCTCATTGCACAAATATTTAGGTCAATTCGTTTTGCATCTTTTGCCGGCCAGATAGTGCTTGGGGGAAAAAACTTTTTCCAAGCTGTCCTTCATAAAAGGATACATTTTTATAAATGTACATTTTAAAATATTTAAAATTTTAAAGTTTTACTGAGCTAAATGTTAGGCTAATAAATTTAATTATTTAATGCTGCTGGTCGAAACCTAAGCTATTAAATAAATAGTAAGCTAATAAATTACTAATAATTTAAAAATTAACTTGTCTTAGTCAAAAGTCAAAGTTAAGTTATAACAGATAGAAATCTAGATCTAGATTTGAGATAATAACTAATAAGTAAGTAGTTAATAAAGTAGTGCAAACTTGGCTTCCTGGCTTAGGCCATAGTGACAGTCCGCCATAGGCATAGGCCCATAGGGCGGCAGGGCCATAGCCCATAGGGCTTACTAAGGGTAGTAAGCACTAAAATAAAAGTAGTAGTAGGCCTAGATCTAGTAAATTTAAAATTTAGTTCAGCAATTTGAGTCATCACTCGACACCAGTCAGTCAGTGTGTTAGAGTAGACTAGTCTAGTCTAGTGTTAGACTTAGACTTAGGTAATCTATCGTTTTAGGTACGTAAAATCGGCCGCGACTAGTAGTGTGAAAAACAGGTGACTCCTTACATTTTAATAATTATTTCACATTTTGAGGAGGATTTATGTTTTGAAAAATACAAAAATGTTTCCTTGTTTCATTTATGTACCTGTTTTTAAACAATTGAATTAAAACTTTTCAGTAATAAATGAACACCAGCGATATTTCCAACAGATGCAACCACGCTCATTTACTATAGCAGCCATCTTGTTAAAGTTTTATTTTTATAGACATATAGAGCGCAAGATTCAGGCGGAAGTCACTCTATTTTACAAATGGCTGCTGTTTATATAGCAAATCTTGCTTGCAGACACAGCTGTTTAAAGTTAATTTCTCATTCTGGCCTATATTCAGTAGTTAGTCTCATATAAATTCAATTTTCTTCAAATTATAAAAAGAATAGCATATAATTGTAGAGCTTTAAAAATGCAATCCAACAGTACCAATTTTATTAATTTTGCATAATTGGTTGATTAAATATAATTTTTTTAGTGTCGCAAATAAAATATATAGAAACGCGACCAAAAACGCAGGTAAAAAGTCAAATTAACTTGTTTTAAAGCTAGTAAGCAAGAAAAGACATGATTCTTTCTTACTATTGAAATCAGTTTGCTTATACCTACATTTTTTTACACCAAGGTGAAAGTAAATAGTTTATATAAATTTATAAAATGCCATTTATATAATATATTGTATGTTTTGTGATGAATTTTCAATTGGAAAATACCGCATTTGGAAGCAGAAAGGTAAATTCTACAGAACAGATGTTGTTTGGAATGTTATAGATTATAGATCTAGGCCTATATCAAAATGTTTGTTTAATAAAATTCAATTAGAGTCCACCCATTTCTGATGGGTACCTGATATACATTGGGGAAATTAAAGGTAAAAAGTAAAGGCGGCTGTGAATATCGCTGACCACACGGACAATCACTTCATATGCCGAGGTCAAGAAACATGAACTCTACTTCATCTGCCAAATAGATTGCTTTGCATACAGAGGAATCTTAATTAATGTTTACAGGGGCCTAATAAAATTGAGTTATGTTTGTAAAAACAGTAGGCCTAAGCTTTAAAAACTTATTTTGGTCAATATCGGAAAAAATAAAAATCTTTTCGACTAAATGAAAATGGGTTGAAAAAAGCTTTGAATTTGTTTCATTGTTTATTTGTTATTATATCTTGTAGTATTTAGAATTGAAGCTTTCTTTCTTAATTACAGGTTGTATTAATTTCAAACCTTAATGTAATTTCTTTTTAATTCAGTATTAGCCTAAATGTAAGGTAGGCTACAGAATTCAGATATTACCTATAGTTTTGTGATTTTTATATGTTTATTTGTGTTTATGAAATAACCTAATGAAGTTATCAAGCAAACTGTTTTATTATTTTAATAGGCCTGCAAGTTATAAGTACAAAATATAGATATCTAATCACTAGATCTGGGTCTAAGTTTAAGAAAAAACTACCAAAAGGGTTTGAAATACTTAAATATAGTACTAAAAGTAGCTATGTTTTGAAAAAAAAATATCTTAAACTGGAGACATTCAATTTAAAAGTCATTATAAAAACTCCACGATCTAGATTTATTTCTAGATCTCTAGTAGGAATACAGATATAGAGGCTTTCCCATCAGTATCAATGTACTATCTTAGCTATGTGGGAGGTCAGTACGAGTTCACTGGGAAAAAAATCGGATCTGCCGTAGGGGGGTGGGTTTAGTGCGCAAATGCTCCTGACCGATTGCCAAAAGGTACAGAAATTCTAAAGATACATTTTAAAAGAAAAATGGACGGCTGAACTGCAGTTATCAAAATATCTGTGTAAGTAGAAGTATAAATAATAATATTTTACACAAATATAGCTGTCTTTTGCTAAATCTAGCTCAATTTCCACGAAAATCGCATCCGGTCGCAATAATTTTTATATCAGCTTGTCGGCCATTCAACGATCTATCACGTGTAGCAGACGCCAAACAGATTTACCCGTATGGTATTGCGCGAATGCTATTTTTAGCAACAGTGCCGAGACGCGATCGAAAAAAACGAACTAGAAAGTGGCCATAAAAAAGCGGGTCAGGGGAGGTAATTCAACTCGCGTTATGAGACTAGCTATATATTGATATATTTAGCCATTGATTTAGGTTTATTATTCATTTATCTATAATATTTGACACAAACATATCACAATATACTTCTATTACAGCCTTGACAATGAGGTTACGTTTTCCGTACATTAATAGCCGCGGGCGATTTTACGTACCCAAAACGATAGATTACCTAGATCTAGACTTCTAGACTTAGACAGAGTTAGATCTAGTTACTACTACTAGATCTAGATCTACTAGTTAGTCCTTACCAAACACCTCTCGACTGTCAAAACCATCAGTAATTTGATCATCTTCCTCTTCTGGTAAAACTGCCCGATCTTTCGTTGCCTGAAAAACAACGGGGTTTTCGTTGTCAAGATTTCCCATTTTCCTAATTAATTAAAAATTATTTGTTTACTGTCATGTTACACAACGAAGTAGCCTAACCTAGTTTTCGGCAAAAAAAGTATTTCTAGTTTTGGAGTTTGTCTTTCTAATATTTCGTCTTTTAATTTTATTATGAATTGATGTGAGGTAAGTAGGCTATTTGTTGAGTATCTCAGCAGCAACTAGATCTAGATCTAGACTAAGTATTTGTAAATCTATACTCTATAAATTTTGAAACTGCATTGTAAGCAGCCTAGATTTTTTTTTACCGCCCCCCCCCCGAACGAGATGGAATTTATATAGTAAACATTTACTTTTACCCAGTGGCGTAGCGAGGTCGGGTGTCACCCGGTGCGGCACTTAATGGTGTCACCCCCCCCCCCCCCAGAGGCATAGAGACCCTTCCCAGGGACAAACTTTCAAATTTTCGATTTGCACCCCCCCCCCTCGAGTTTTCGATTTGCACCCCCCCCCCTCAAACTTTCGATTTGCACCCCCCCCCCCCCCCTCGAGTTTTTCTCTATATATTTTGCTATTTTTTGCCTTGGTGTCACCCCCCTAAATGGTGTCACCCGGTGCGGTCCGCACCCCCCGCCCCCCCCCCCTCGCTACGCCCCTGCTTTTACCCCCCCCCCCCCCCCCGGAAAATATCAAGTGCCCCCCCCCCTCGGAGAAAAAAGGTCTGGAAGAAGCCCTGCATACAGATCATGATGACAATGTAGTAGGGCTAGTAAATTAAGCAATAGGCATAGGCTTACAATTTTTAAAATGTAATCCCAATTAGTTTTTCATTTTTTACATAGACTCTACAATTATCTCCCTTCATTTTAGCTAGACTGCTAAAATTTTGTTGGTTTCACCAATGACGAGGGGGTGGGGTGGTAAGTTAGATTTTCTAGGATTATCAATTATATAGCCCTTATTTTGTCATACATTTATATATGTTTATATAACTTAATCTTGCGGTACCACGTATCGTACATATTTCAATAAGTAATCTCCCTTTTGTCTGGAAATACCGAACAGATACGCTGTGCTGTGTGACATAGTAGGTCTACATTTGTGTAAGCCCAGACGGTTCCGCAAATATCTTGATAACCATTTGACATCAGACGAACCTATAGTCGAGATCTAGACACAATCGGTGACTCTAACCTTTTGTTAGGGGTGGTGAACTGACGTTCTGAGCCTGTAAAAGCTAATACAAAAAAATTGCTCCTTAACTATGAAGGCATTCATGTCAGGTGATTTTTTTTTAATTCCGACCATTGAATACACTGTGTCCTAGTAAATTGCTTAAATTACATAGGTCAATGCTGCTAGCCTACGATTGCTGCTGTTGTGAGTGATTGGGACTCGAAAAACACATAATCCAATACGTGTTCGATCGAACCCAAGAGGTTCGGCATGTCAGTCACAGGGCTCTGGCGAAGGTCATGGCGCACACCCGACTCATAGGATTCACCATAAGATTTTGTCAATGTGGACGGATACAACTATTAAGAAGGATTCGGCGAAGGCGCATATGAAACTGGTGTTTGGTTGAACAAAGTAACGTAACAACGCATTAGCAGTCGTCGTGTTGTACCATTTTTACATCGTTTAGTAAGTCTATTTTGGGGGGGGGGGGGGGGGGGGGGCGGACTAAAATTTCCGGGGGCGTACACTGTTGAAAGTATATATTTTCTATATAAATTCCATTTCGTTCGAAGAGATGCCTGGAAGAAAAGAAACTCTGACCCGGATTTTAACTCAGAACTTTTCGTGTTAGCATTTAATGATTTAGCGCTCTTCCGATAGGCTATCCCTAACCTACTGTAGTTTATTTTTTTAGATTATCGATGTATGCTATTTTTAAACTTGTGCAATATCGATCCCTAGTCTATATTTTTTTTTATTTCACAGTCAGCATATAAGTGTAGACCTAGATCTAGATTCTAAATTAAAGTTAAAATTAAAATAAATTTATTGCTGATTTTGTACCCTCCATAAGCTTTACGCCCCCACCTTCTGAGCAGGGTTCAGCGGCACTGTCACTGTAATTTGCCACTGATACATGCCTTGATGTCTGTTTAAATCTGTTCGTCAGTCCTTGACCTCATTTTATAAGGCGCTAGGCTGGCCCAGAGCTAGGCCCTATGCGGCAATGATTTGCCCCTGTTAAAAAACCTGGTGGGAAATTAGTTTTTTTTAAAAATAGGTCTAGATAGACCAGAACGTCACATCCGCTTATTGGCTGCTTTCGATAATGTGTCTGCTACGCTAGCCTATGATTCTTTATCATTTGCTTAGGCCTAGGCATATTAACTTATTAAGATTGTCTAGATATTGATTCTAGATTTCTAGATCAATTACACAGATCTAGATCTTATAATCTAGACTAGTTCTTTAATATACGCTTGAGATGCAGGTATCTAGATCTATTACTATGACTAGATTATAAACTAGTATAATATAAAATATAATTTAGCGTGTATTGCGGCTTCGTAATTTCTAAGGGCAACCATTTTGGAAATGGCGCTGACTTCCCCTTTCGCTTTTTGTCCCAGGCTTCCGTCACCGCCGCGCGTGAGTCTAAAAATAGACTAACGGCTTGTTCCAACCGGCATTTTGTTGACGCTCTCTTCCCTTCGGGTTTACTTGACATATTGGAAAATATTTTGGCGGACGATATTTATTAATTTAGTTTTTCTTTCTTCGGATTATTGGAGTCAAAAATAGAGGTAATTTCAGCATTTTTTTTCTATTTGAATTAGATTCTTGTTCTTGTTAAAAGTTTGGTTGTTCGACAGAGTTTTGCAAATTTTCTTTAAATTAAGTCTGAAAACGGCTAATTTCCCACCAACAAGTCGTTTAAATGTCCCTGCAAAGTCTGAATCGATAGCTTTGTAGCCGCCATTATTTTAAAAAGATTTTTAAAATATTGTATATTTAATTTATTTATTAAGTTTTTTAAAAATAGCATTATTAAAAAAAACTATTTTACGAAAAAAAGTAATTAGGTTTAATAGTGACAGTGGAGTGTCATTAGGTAGATTTAGTTAGATCTAGATCTAGAATCTAGACTAGATTTAGATTAGGTTGAATTATGGATTTTTTAAAATAAAATATTCTGTTATTTCAAATACACCATTAACTTCCTTACCCCTTAAGAGAACATTTGACACCTCATTTAAATATCTAGCTTACTCGGTTGACGAGAAAATAGAGAATTTGAAAATTAATCAAAAATGGAAAATGAATGACAAATCAGCGTTCTTGGCCCTCGACCGGCATAACATGACGTCGTGGACTTGTGTGCACGAGCTTTTAATTCCCGCCATGGTAATTGCGTCAGCTTAGGTAATTTACTCACCGGAAAATAACAAAAAGCAACTCGTTGATAATAAAACTATATCTAGTTATTTTATTATTTATTAAATTCTACTCCACATGATATTCATACCATTTTATGAAGTAATGAACACCTGCATAAATCAAATGACCATAATAAATATTTTTATTTCAAATTCTAATTTTAAATAATAAATATGCTTAAAATAATATGATAGTAATAGTTATGATAGTTTATAAATACAAATACTTTTTACACTCAATTCACATTGTATTGAGTCAACAGCGTGGCAGCTGAGGTTCATACATGGTATTAGTGTCTTTTTTTTTTACATTACATTTTTTTTTTCATCTTGAAAACATGACGTATGTGATTATTTTTTTAAAATAAAATCTCCAAACATCGTCACTCGCGTGATTGCTTGCTTACGTTTACTATCCTGTGGATGAAAAATCCCACCACGGTCGCGGGGTCACAGTGACCTATAGTACACGTCATAGAATGAACACGCGTACACGAGATGGTCGGTGTCTTCACTTCTCTCTCTCCCCCCCCCCCCTTCTTCAAGCAAATTTAATTACAGACCTACTTCCCTACTTCTGGTCATTTTTTTTAAAAGTTCGGTCATTTTTTTTAAAGTTCACATATCAGGCATGCTAGACAGCCAGCTGTATAAAAAAAAAATTTAACTAGATCTACGTCTAGCTTAAAAAAATAAATAAATAAACGCTTAAAATGACCGTAAACAGATTATTTAGCGCCAAAAAAAAAGGCAGCTGAACGAGCATTTTTTTAAAATACGCAGCAATGAAAAGGGCTAACGGCCGATCAAGTCTAAAAATCGCCAGTAATTAGGCCTAGCTCTGAAAAAGGCCACTGAACGAGCATCACTGATTATATAAACGAATAGGCCACGCAGCGTTGACGAGGTTAACCACCGGTCACGAATGCAGCAACTGTCGGCCCACAGTGAAGAAAAAATCAATATACTAATAAAATTACTAATACAATAATAATGTCCATAATTTTACTTTTTCCACACATGCTACAATTGAATTATAATTAAAATACTAGACTTAACAGTTCATTCCGTAAAAAACAAAAACTAGTTGTTTCTGTCTGGCAACTAGCGTAACAATGACGCAACGTTACTAAAAATAGCAGAGAGAAATTGTCGCATGGTTACTTACGGGGTAATTGGATTTTTGGTAAAGATCATCCATAATACTGTAAATATACATGGTAAATATCTCAATTATATATTAATCTACCGTTATACGGGCCGTTTTCCCCGTTATACGGTCGTTTTTGGCCGCGGTTCAGTTTATACGGAGAGTGCTCCACTGGAAATCCTCTCATTATTTACAACTACAATTCTAGCGTTTTTTTCTGGCATTCTAAGGCATATTATCCATTTTATTAGCATCTTGTGTTAAAATAATGATAAGAATTTGCGAGATTAACAGTTTTTTCATTTGTCGTGGATTGGACCCTAAAATAAACGTAAAAACCGTCAGAAAACGACGCGTGACGTTTCAGGGTCAGAGGTCAATCCAGCCATCTAAGCAATGAGGCGGCCTAATTTAGATTCTAGAGTCTAAACTAGACCTAGAATATCTAGATTCTAGATCTAGATCTAGATCTAGTAGATCAGATCAATTCTAGATCTATAATCTATAAAATCTAGATACTCTATAATCTATATCATCTAGAAATCTAAATCCAAGTCTAGATCTTGTAAAATAGATCTAGAATCTAGTCTAGTCTAGATTCTTAGATCTAGATAGATTAGATCCAGATGATCGTCAAGCTAGACTAGATGTAGATCTAGATTCTATACAATACATTCTATAGTATAGTATACTATAAGCCTAATCTAGATTATTTTAAAAGATCTAGATCTCTATTAACTAGATCTAGATTCTATCTAATTTTCTAGATATAGACTCTAGATTCTAGAATCTCTAATCTACTTTTTTTTTTCAGTCTGTGGTCTTGCAGCTCTTTGATTGAAATCTGAGTGAGAAATCATTCAGCCATCGGAATCACATTTAGACATTTCTGATAAGTGACAGTACTTTAAGTGATCATAATTATTTACCTAATTATTAATTATAGACTACTTTTAATTATACCTATTTAGTGTTAAGTAGCCTAATTAAATCTAGATCTAATCTAGTTCTAACTTACCTCTACTCTAAACAATAGTAACTTTTTTTTTTACTAGACTCACAATTTTAAAAACAAATGGTTTTTTTTTTTTGTGTGAAATAAACCTAGTAGGCGTAGTCTATTTATTTTAAAATAAACCTTATGCCTAGATATCTATATCTAAATTTTCCAAATGTATTTTCAGAAGTTCGAATGAGGAGATGGAGATGGCTGGGCCATGTCCTACGCATGAGCAAAAGATGACTCCCCAACATGGCACTGGAAAACGAAAGAGAGGAAGACCACTGGGAACATGGAGGAGATAGATGGAAGAAGAAGTGCAAGCTGCTGGCAAGACCTGGCATGAACTAAAGTGGCTCGCCCAAGACAGAGTGGAATGGCAGGGATTTGTTGCTGCCCTATACTCCACAGGGAGTGATGAGGATTAAGTAAGTAATTTGTAATAGACTACTAATGTAACAGACTTTTTTCTAACACTAATTGTTTATTTTAGTATACTAAGTCATGACTTGATTCATCAACTTACAGCTATAAAATACAGTTGCACAGAACTTCCTTTATAATTCATATTTTTCTACAATAAGTAAACTAAGAAAAGATACTAAATCATTGCAGAGAAAGCAGACACAGATCCAGTGTTGGAAGAGGAAGTATTTTACATAAAAGAAAAAAAAAACAACAGATGTCAAAGCAGGTATTGGCTGGTGCAGAAACAGCATGAAAGGGTAAGTTATTGATGATTTCAAACATAAAATATGCTAAATTGCAGGTTAGGTTTCAAAGAACAACTGGACATCTTCAGCAAGAGAATTGAGAACCAAGATTGATAGTGTTAAATGGGAGATGGATTTGCTGACAATGACAGAGTATTGAAGGAGATAGATGATGCTTTAAGAGGAGAAAGGGTCAAGATCTCAGTAAAGAATGACATTGTTCAGGCAGAGAATCTCAAACTGATTGAGGAGTTTGACAGGGTCATCGACACAAATCAGTTACAGCACAAAATAGACACAGACATTCAATCTCAAATGAAGAAAAAGTTGGAAGCTATGGAACGCAGAGATACTGAAAATTCCATCTATGATGTGTTGTCTGGATCGAATGTCTCAGTAAACCATCCCCTATTTCGTGGTGTTGACAGAAGCTGAAACCCTCTTTGTCAAGAATTGTGGGTGGTAAAGACCTGGTTGTTGTCCAGCTGACTGACAAGTGGGAGCTAGATGATCAGAAAGTGCATCGCTATTATGTGAGGATTATTAACAGAGTACTAGCTAAAAAGAACAAGTCTGTTGTCTACACTGTAGGCTACTGGGCACCGGATGAGGATGAAGCTGAGGACTTTTGCCTACCTGCTGAGTCACTAATAGCTGACTTGATTAGTAGTGATTGATTTTTTATAGAATACATAAAAATTATATTGGCTATTACATTTACGCAGCAAAGCAAGTTAATTGAGTAGGTTAAAAAATAAAGGTTGGTATGTAATGACATGGTATTATTTTTTTTTAATCTCTTTTTTTATATTTTACTTATGGTATTCTAATTTGATACACAGTATAGTGTAAACAAATCAAATAACTTTTTTTTTTCTTTGCAGATTTTTGTATCTTTCCTGGACTGATGACTTTCATTCAACCTGATCATTTTTTTATTTGCATCAACTAAAACTTGTTATATAAATCACTTTGTTGTACTCACACCTTAAACTTAAACCCATTATTACTTTTGTACTTTTCATTGATAATTGAAATTTATATAATTGCATCTAAATCTAATAAATAAATATTTTTTGGAAAGCAAACCATTTTGATTCTTTTTATCTTTTGTTTGAATTTGAAACCAGGTCTTGTATAAGAAATTATACTGGTGGGTCTGTGAGTAACACCATGTTTGCACTTACCACATGAATACTATACATGTCTAGAAAAAAACAACAATCTCCAATGAGTAAGCCTTCATATACATGTTCTGATAAAATAAGCTTATGCTGAAGTTTTTTCTCTAGACTTGCGCAATTCACAGTGCAACAACAATTATTGGAAGTAAGCAGTCCATTAATAAATAAATATATATTTATTAGACACCAAATTACATATTAAATATTTAGAATGAATAAATAATCATAGTGAGAGATAATGGTTCCATTAATTAGTATCACTAGCTTAACAGATGAATTTTTATAACTTACTATAATGTGTTCAAGCAAGGTTAATATTGATAATCAATAGGCCTTACTATAAGAAGCAGCTGAACACCTTTGTAGAGGGTCTATATAAACTATATTATAACATTTTCACTATTTTAGACAATGGTATTGGTATGAAATTGTTGGTCATGTAGGGCCCTACACAAATGTTAAAACCTAATAATAGAAAAAAAAATATTTTGCTACTACTAGGCCTACATGGTGGTTGTAATTCAAGTTTTCAGTAGGCCTATGCCTAATAATTTATTCAATTATTAATAGGCCTAGTTGTGTATAGTAAATAAAATTTTGATTAGTCAAACTCATAATAAAATACTACATTAACAATTTATAGTAAAATGACGAAAAGTCCGAAAATATAATTTGACGCGTATGACGTCATCAAGTTGTGTACTACCAATATCGGAGACACTTTTTTTTTTAATGTAAGAGGAAAAATAATGGTGGCAGGTTAATCCAAATTTTTTATAAACACAAAAATTTTAAAATCGAAATAGGCTAAATAAACTTTTCCTAGACACACACAGAGTATAAAAAGTAGTTTCAGTAAAAAATTACGCGTCGATCGGTATCTTTTCTTCCCGAAACTAACGAATTTTCATTTTTCGAAATACACGCTAAAATATAATACTAGATCTAGATCTAGATCTAGACCTATAATAAAATAATATTTTTAATATAAATCTATTAATTAAATTAGTAAAATTAGATCTTCAATGCAATAGCAGATAGCCCTAACTAGTAACTAAACTCAAACTGAGAAACTCTAAACTCTAAATAGTAAAACTAAACCTTAAGGCCTAAATACTAAATAATAAATATTAAATAGAATCTAGTAGGCCTAACTAACTAACTAAATAATAAATAATAAATAAATACTAAAATAGTGACACAAATTAAATAGTTAGGCATAGGCCCTAATAAAATTTAATAAATAAATACTAGAATCTAGAAAGATCTAGTCTAGTCTATTAAATTTATAGTTTATAGTGACTATTATTAATATTATACTTATTATATTATTGACTAGCAGCTTTCTCTCTAGTCTCTAGGCATATTGCTCCCACCCCCACCAGTCTGGTGAGCTGTGGTTCACGCCAAATGTTTACAATCGTAGTGACGGCTATTAGATCTAGAATCTAGATAATTTACTATTTAGTTTGAAACGATTTTAAAGTTACGGGAGATAACTAAGAGGAGGCTGCTTTCACAGGGAGGGGGGAGGGGTTGGGGCATTGGAGGGGGCGGGGGTTATCGCCCTTAACAAGCTGCTGATAGTGTTTTATAGCAAATATTTTCAGTGGTAGCATTGGTAGTGTCGAATTCATAAATTATGAATTACTGAAAGGTAGAAAATAAAACAACTAAATAGCGGTGCATGCTACGCAGCGGGTTGGCTCTTTAATTATATTATTTCTACCAATAAAATTTGTTTTTCTTTCATTATTGACATTATAGTCTTGTTGTTATTTAATTTTTCATTGGAATTAGAACTGGAATCTAGGGCCTAAAAAGTAATTTTTTTAATTTTTAATCTGACCTGTTACTTATCTTTACTCTAAAAGAAAAGGTTTTATACCAAGTTCCAAAAAATGCCCTTTGAAGAGGATGCAACACATGAATTCAAAGGACACAAGAATATTTGTAAGGAGGAGCTCCCAAAATGGACTTTAGAAACTAGTCAAAAAAAAGGAAGCAGGAAACCTATTTCAAGGTAATTTTTTTTAATGAAGATAAAAATTGTTTATTTTTTGAGTGGCACTTAAAATTTTATGGAAATCTATGAACATTATTGTATAAAAATGATTTAATATTTTATGCAGAAATCTTTGTGGTTTCCTCAACACTGGTGTTGGTGGAACTATCTACTGCGGAGTGGTAGATAATGGAAAAATCATGGGACTGAAGCTCTCCCAATACCAGGTTGGCCCTACAAATATTCAACTATTTAGGAAATTAGGTATTCCAAGTTAAATACATAGTACAAGAAAAATTGTGTTCTAAAGATAGCTGTTAATGTTAAAAAGAAAGTAATTCTAGTGTTCTATGGTGTCCTATTAAATCTGTGTTAAATTTGCCACAACAAATCAGCCCAGACAAAAACACCCTCAAAATAGAATATCAAAGGACTCCACTTTATTTACATAAGGGGTTTTAACAAGTTAGCACTATCAAAAACATCCTTGACAATTGGACTCCTGAGAAAATAAACTCACAGTATTATAGTTCCCAACAAAAAGACTCAGACAAATTGCTTCAACAGATTCCAACCATATAGCATTGATAGTACAGTTCATAACAGCAAAACTACAGACATATTAGCTAATAAAAAAGACTCACAGGATTATTGCCCAGACATTACTCTAACTCTTAGTGTTGACATTAGTTATTGGTAATTGTTATTAACTACCAACAACACATCATATTGGACTAGATATTAGAACATCATTTTTAAAATGTGCTTAATTTAGTTAGGCTTATATATTATTTGGATTTATATCCCTTCTATAAATTATTTCCAAAATTTTATAGAAAGATCATGTAGTTGGTAGCCTACATGATTTAATGACAAGATACGTTCCGCCAGTGGCCCCACATAGATACAAAATTAAGTTTGTGCCCGTGATTGCACCTAAAGATAAAGAAGAGGAAATGATAGAGCTAGCAAACTTTGACTCAAAGTAAGGCATGTTTATCATTTACTTTATACTTTAAAGCTTTAGTTTGAATTAATTCACAAGTTTGTCATTTTTTTTTAACAGTGCCAACTTGCACCAGCACTGTGTTGTTGTTATTATTTTTTGTAGAAAAGATTTTATTAAAATGAACAAGCTTTATTTAAATGATTGTGATTCTCTTAAGAGAAATTGTTGACCAAGTGGAAAGAAAACAGTTACACACGTTTCGCACTCCTCACTACTGTTGGTGTGATTTAGATAGCAAGGCTAGGTGTGAAAATGTAAGCAAAAACTGATGTGTGTTGCTATTTTGATAAAATTGTTTTGTTTTGTAACTAGGAGTCATTTAGTAAAATTAAAAGTTAAACCTCAAACATTTTTTTCACACTTATAATTTAGAATGTTGTTTATGGTTTATATTTCACAGTATTGAAAGCAGAAAAAAAAACTATTACTTAATTAAATATTTGCCTTATTTTAAATGATGGCAAAATGTTTGATATTTTTTTTTTCACTTATATTATCCAACTAATGCATTGTTTATAAGTAATTCATGTTTCTCAGGGAATCATCATATCTGATTACATCATTGAAATAACTATACACCCTTGGGATCCTGATGATAACAGAAATCAAGGTCTTGGCAAATTGATAAATCTACATCCAATTCATGCTGATGAAGAAGGCAGGATTTACTTTAGGCGGCAATCAAGTTTGATAAGAGTATGTAATTTCTATCCAACCCTTTACTACCTAAGCACCCCAGATTTTTCTTATGCACCAATGCACCCAAACTATGTATGTTAAGTTCTACATAGTACCATATTTTGAAAATACCAGGAAGGGAGAAATACATTTTATTTGCATTTGTTTCTCATTCTGTCATTAGCAGTTTATTTTCTACAATTTATTTTTTAAACTACTGGCAATATAATTTGTGAAAATTTAATTAAATTAAAATGCTTCTGTAGAATCTGGCTTTGTTTATAATTCAACTTTTCATTTATTTTCCTTGTGCCCACTTGCATGAATTTCCATCAAGTAGGAAAGTACTGGGATGAATGTGAATTTAATAAACAAAAAAATCAAACCTCTTTTTTGGTTTTAAAATTATAAATACACAGGTCCTTTTGATTTTTTTGTCTGGACCTGTGGGTATAGATAACAAAAAGTAGGTCAGGGTTATAAGCAGTGCATGTGTCAGGTTATTTAGCACACTAGGCAAAACTTATTAAAAAGCCTCCTCCTCCCGGACCCCATATTATATGTATATATATAAATATATATTATATATACATACATATAATATCTATAATATTATTTATATGTATGTATATATATGTATATATTTATTTAGTTATTAGTAAACTGTTTCACTAAATTTTAAATTAAACCACTTAACCTATTTCATTGCAAAGTTTTATTCTTATGTTGTTTTTTTTTGCATTTATATTATTAATTTTGAATTAATATCTTCATTCTTTAGTAATTTTTTAGGATGCTTTATTTTAATAATAATTAACAGAAGAAATGTCTTTTTAATTTGCTTAGTAAAAAACTATTTAAATAAGCTTTTTGGGCAACTCTATTAGACTATCAATAGAGGAATGATAAGTCATTGATAATTTTTGAGGGTTTTCCTATATGTCCTATCTGTTGTAGTTTTTTTTTGTGTCTATACAAAAGTGTGTGTTAGTTATTGTAGAACAATCATTGCTGTAGTCGATTTCTTTTTATTTTTACAAAACTAATATATCAAGGTGCAAAAAAGTATTTTTTTGAGTAGGCTTCTTTCCCCCCCCCCCCCCCCCCCCCACATCAGCAGTATTGCAGGGTCTGGTGATATAGTAGTTCCACCCCTGCAATTCTTTTGAATTTTGAAAAACTGTGCTCTTCACAAGCCAACTGACACTGGAAGTGTTAATAGTATGCTCAAAAAAACAACATTTGGTACACTATCTTCCAGTTTTGTTTGTACTATAGCGAAGCACTTCTGTTGGTGACATATTAAAGCTACTACTTGAAGCTCATTGCAAAGATCATCAGCATCAATATCTTTATCATCAAAATTAAACCTGTCTTAGAGCGATCAGTAAATTAACATAAAAATTAGATATCCATCTGAAATGTTCAAAATTAAAGGATTTATATTAAATATAATAACCATCTCATTATATTACCAGAGATGTAGCTAGAGAGCAGATGGGTAGATAATAATATAAAAAGCTCAATACTGAATTATATGCAGTCGAAGTAAGAACATAGACTGCTATTTGACATTACAGACTTATTTAATTATCTTCTACATCAAAATATCTGATACCAAAGTAAAAAGCCAAATGAGGGAGGTGTTGGCACATTTACACCAATGCAAATATAGGCCTAATTTGGGGAGAGGGTGCAAAATCGATAGTTAGCCCCGGGGGCCGAAATAGATGGTTACGCCATTTTATATTACACTTTCTATAGTTTATTTTATCAAATAATTATATAATTATAAGGTACTTTTTAATAATGGCGATTACACATTTCTGCCTAGTTTTCCTTATAGGTAGCGCCGGCCCTGGTTATAAGGGTTAAGTAAATTTCAACACTTTTTATTTCATATAGTTAGATTTAGAAACTTAAAAGCCTGATTACTATCTTGTTACATTCTGTTTGACAATGTTTAGTTTTTTAATGTGCTATTGAACTTTACAGATGTTCCAAGTTTTCAAGTAGAATAGTTTTGATTGCTTTGTTTTAAAAAAAATCATTCATATTTTTCAGATAACAAAATATAGTTTCAGAATTTTTTAATTTTTATTTCGGCAGTACAATGCAACTGAAATAGCCACACTGTCACACTTTGAAGCTAAAAGCAGATATGATCAAAAAATCTCTGAGTAAGTTATACATATTGTTTATAACTACAAAATTTTTTTTTAATCTTTTTAAACATGTTCAATGAATCTGAATTTACTTATAGTAATCCCTCATTTGGTTAAGTGTATGAGGTTTAAACATTTTCTAATTAAACTTCTTGTTATTTCAGGTTAAAGAAAGAGATCAGTTTAGCCAAAAAAGAGATAGAAGACAGAAAAGCTAAAAGTAAGAATTCTAAGTGTTTTGAGATTTTGATGGTGGAGAGACCAAAAAATAATAGTTAAGAAAAAGCAACAAAAGCATTTTTGTTGATGGTTTACTTGCATAGTCTTTAATGATTTTTCTTCTGCATTTTATATTTCAAGATGTTTAAAAGATGTTTTAAAACAGCCAAGTTGTATGGTAAAAATATCTGCCTAATTTAACAACAAATACTTGGACATTCATCCTGAGCATATTGTGCTGGGTTATACTCTCCAGGTTCACAAGTACAGCATTCACCCAACTTTTGAAGGGGCACTTGTCTGCAATCACAAATCTTTTCCTGTAATGTAAAAAGAGGCAATTTGAATCCATCATATGGAAACTGTTAACACTCACTTTATTGGACAACAAGTTGTTTTGTACTTACTGGTTTGAATCTGAAGAAGCCAAGTGTTTCCCCATATGGCAGACCCAATTTTGAGTAGGCATAGTTTCTAGTGTTGTGATACGGTGGGACTGTGTCATTATAAATGGAGGTTGTACAGCAGGGGTTAAGTGCCTTTCCAAATTGATTGTCATTGAAGCCCATGGTCTGTAAAACATGTTAGAAAGAAACATTGTGTAATTTTCTAAAATACTCTTGTTGAATATGTATTGATTAACATCTCAAACTACTGAACGTCTACCAAGAGTTGAGCATTACATTAGGCAGATGTTTTATTTTATCATGATCTGACAGATAATGATAAGAATATTAAAAAATGATACTTTTATTTTTTATGTAAAAATGTTGATTTTTCTAAAGAATATGAGCAGAATTTGTTATTGTGAAAAATCTACATTTTTTGTTCATATGTACTTTTTATCAAACATTAATTTTAAAACCTGCATACTATACTATAGATATTTAGCCAAAATACATTCTTGCTAAAAAGCATTCAACTTGATTAGAATTATGTATTTAAATTTTATGCACAAAAACAACTTACTGTAGGGGGTATGTCTCTTCGTCTGTATGGACCTAAAATTTGTGGAGATTTCCCTGGATTCTGTTGAAAAAGTGTTTTTTTTTCTGGTAAATTAACTATGAATATATATATCACTTGTGGGGAAACAACAGCCTTCTTATTTCTTTACAAACAGTAACAGCTTCAAAGTAGAGCATAATGAAGTTAACTGATGCCTTAGAATTCTGTCTACAGACATTATTTTTCTTTGCAATGTTCTATAAAATATTTGTAATACTTTTGCACATTTTAGTTCTTGTTTTTTTTTTTAATTTACTGTTACAAAAGCTCACAAGCTATTAGCTTTTGCTAAAAAAAATTGTATTGGTTCATCAAAATTGTGTATAAAATTATTAATAAATACTTTGTTATGTTCAACAAAATCTCAGCATTATTTGTTTTATCTTTTTGTTATTCATTCTCCAACATCCTTCACACATTACTGCCTCTCCAACATCCTTCACACATTTACTGCCTCTCCAACATCCTTCACTCATTTTCGCCTCTCCATCACCCTTCACATTTACTGCTCTCTCCAACATCCTTCACACTTTTACTGCCTCTCCAACATCCTTCACACCTTTACTGCCTCTCCAACATCCTTCACACCTTTACTGCTCTCCAACATCCTTCACACATTTACTGCCTCTCCAACATCCTTCACACTTTACGGCTCTCCAACATCCTTCACACCTTTCTGCCTCCAACTCCTTCACACATTACTCCGTCTTCCACTTCCTTCACCGACTCCTTCACACCTTTACTGCCTCTCCAACTTCCTTCACACATTTACTGCCTCTCCAGCAGCCTTCACCTTTACTGCTCTCCAACATCCTTCACACCTTTTCTGCCTCTCCTACATCCTTCACACATTTACTGCCTCTCCAACATCCTTCACACATTTACTGCCTCTCCAACATCCTTCACACTTTACTGCCTCTCCAACATCCTTCACACATTTACTGCCTCTCCACATTCTTCACACCTTTACTGCTTCTCCAACATCCTTCACACCTTTATCGCTCTCCAACATCCTTCACACTTTACTGCCTCTCCAACCAACTCCTTCACACATTTACTGCCTCTCCAACATCCTTCACACATTTACTGCCTCTCCAACATCCCTTCACCACATTTACTGCCTCTCCACATCCTTCACACATTTACTGCCTCTCCAACATCCTTCACACATTTACTGCCTCTCCAACATCCTTCACACATTTACTGCCCATCTCCAACATTCTCTTCACACATTTACTGCCTCTCCAACATCCTTCACACATTACTGCCTCTCCTACACCTCACACTTTACTGCCTCTCCAACATCCTTCACACTTACTGCCTCTCCAACATCCTTCACACATTTACTGCCTCTCCAACATCGTCACACTTCTGCCTCTCCACATCCTTCACACATTTACTGCCTCTCCAACATCCTTCACACTTTACTGCCTCTCCAACATCCTTCACACATTTACTGCCTCTCCAACATCCTTAACATCAGCTCATACCTTACTGCCTCTCCAACATCCTGTCACACATTTACTGCCTCTCCAACATCCTTCACACATTTACTGCCTCTCCAACATCCTTCACACCTTTACTGCCTCTCCAACATCCCTTCACACATTTACTGCCTCTCCATCATCCTTCACACATTTACTGCCTCTCCAACATCCTTCACACCTTTACTGCCTCTCCAACATCCTTCACACCTTTACTGCCTCTCCAACATCCTTCACACCTTTACTGCCTCTCCAACATCCGTCACCTTTACTGCCTCTCCAACATCCTTCACACTTTACTGCCTCTCCAACACCTTCACACATGTACTGCCTCTCCAACATCCTTCTCACCTTTACTGCCTCTCCAACACCTCACATTACTAGCCCCTCTCCACATCCTTCACACATTACTGCCTCTCCAACATCCTTCACACCTTTACTGCCTCTCCAACATCCTTCACACATTTACTGCCTCTCCACATCCTTCACACATTTACGCCTCTCCAACATCCTCACAGACTTCCTCAACTCCTTCACACTTTACTGCCTCTCCAACATCTTCACACATTTACTGCCTCTCCAACATCCTTCACACATTTACTGCCTCTCCAACATCCTTCACACCTTTACTGCCTCTCCAACATCCTTCACACATTTACTGCCTCTCCAACATCTTCACTCATTTACTGCCTCTCCAACATCTTCACACATTTACTGCCTCTCCACATCCTTCACACATTTACCTGCCTCTCCAACATCTTCACACATTTACTGCCTCTCCAACATCCTTCACACCTTTACTGCCTCTCCAACATCCTTCACACATTTACTGCCTCTCCAACATCCTTCACACATTTACTGCCTCTCCAACATCCTTCACACCTTTACTGCCTCTCCAACATCCTTCACACATTACTGCCTCTCCAGCATCCTTCACACCTTTACTGCCTCTCCAACATTCTTCACACATTTACTGCCTCTCCAACATCCTTCACACCTTTACTGCCTCTCCTACATCCTTCACACATTTACTGCCTCTCCAACATCCTTCACACATTTACTGCCTCTCCAAC